GGAGTTTTGGGAACCGTTATGCTGACAATGATAGTCTTAGTCATCAGTGGTCTTGATCTCGTGACCGTTTGTCGATACTTCCGGAACAAAGGCAACAAGGTGAAGGTCAACCCAAAGAAATGAGCAAATCACACAGTGTATCTGATTCAAGAAAATTGAAAGTGCTGGTAATGACACGCGCATATCAGGTGACATTTTTGAAGCAATTTAAGATATGTCGTTGGCAATATCAGTGAACATTATCTTTCGGTTGTGATATCTGTTTGATGACCTGTGATGGTAATAACGCTTACATGTATGCGACGATACAGAAACACGTGTCAAAGATAATACAGATACGTGTACCAGTCGTGATACAAACAGATAAAAGTGTCGGTTGTGATATAGACAGATGTGACAGCGGTGGCTGTGCCTGTGGTGATACAGATACACTCATGCGTCGGTGGTGATATAAACACACACGTGTCGGCGGTGATACAAACACACACGTGTGTCGGTGCTGATACAGCTGCATGTGTCGGTGCTGATACAAACACACACACATGTGTCGGTGGTGATACAGCTGCATGTGTCGGTGCTGATGTGTAGGTGCTGATACAAACACACACGTGTCGGTGGTGATACAGTTGCATGTGTCTGTGCTGATACAAACGTACATGTGTCGGTGGTGATACAGCTGCATTTGTCGGCGCTGATACAAACACACACGTGTCGGTGGTGATACAGCTGCATGTGTCGGTGCTGATACAAACACATACATGTGTCGGTGGTGATACAGCTGCATTTGTCGGTGCTGATACAAACACACACATGTGTCGGTGGTGATACAGCTGTATGTGTCGGTGCTGATACAAGCACATACATGTGTCTGTGGTGATACAGCTGCATTTGTCGGTGCTGATACAAACACACACATGTGTCGGTGGTGATACAAACACACACATGTGTCTGTGGTGATACAGCTGCATGTGTTGGTGCTGATACTATCATATTTGTGTGACAGTGATGATACAAACAGACACGTGTCTGTGATGACAGTGAAGCAGATATATATACGTCAGTTGTGGCTTGAGACAATGTACAAATCATCCTACCCTATATATTGTGTCTGATACGAAACACTTGCATTAAAATAGCCCTATTGAAGAATTTGAAACACAGGTTTCCTCCTCATGTAACAGATTCAATTTATCCTTTTTGCAATAACAGAACTGATCATTATCTTCTTCGACACAATAGACCCTTTGCTGTATCTTTAGCAATGACTCATCAGCATAACACTAGTTTTCCCCAAAATTTCCATGTCTTAATTCACTAATACATCCCCCCTTTTCAAACCATGACATTCACAAGTGCTCTAAAAGGCATAACCAGAGCTGATATTTTCAAGTATTAAAGAAACAGAATTGTTATTGCGATCTTACGTCGACTGAACAACTCTGTTGTAAGTTGATTTAAGATTTATTGAATTTCGAGTTTAATTCCTTGTTACTTTGGTCATCCTGTAGCTGATTATACTCACTTCTCCATCTATTGTCCTCATTTCACTATTCTGAAACAACTTCTAAGCTTATTTTCTACTCTAAAAGATTCTTTACTTCTTAAGACTCCAATGGTTCTAGAAGATTCTCATACACTTTAGGAAGATATGAATATATCTGTTTTTATGTTAATTCAGAGATATTTTACCGAAACCGAATGTCCTTTATTTTTCCTTAATTCAATCTACAAATATCTCAAGATTGGGTCTGGATGGTAAACGTGCGGATAGTGCGAGTTTGTGGACAGCTTGAGTCTGTTCCTGCCTCCATTTAAGGGGACATTTGGACTTAATCCTGACATAATTAAAAACAAAATTCACTCCTTAATGTTATTTGATGATAGTGTTTCGTCTTTATTTATTTAAAACTACATTTTAGATTTTGATATTCCAGTCTCATTGTTATTTAGTATCTTTCTGTCTTTTACTGACTATTTGCATGATCGATGTACCTGTATACTTGTTTTTTTATGTATACAGCTTTCATATGCTTTCGTCATGATCTTGACAATAAAATATTCTGAAATTAATATGTGTCGGAAGTGATGGTGATAGATACATAAAAAAGAAGTAATGGTGATACAAGCAGTTACGTGTATCGGTAGTGATGGTGATACAGGCAGTTACGTGTATCGGTAGTGATGGTGATACAGGCAGTTACGTGTATCGGTAGTGATGGTGATACCAGCAGTTACGTGTATCGGTAGTGATGGTGATACAAGCAGTTACGTGTATCGGTAGTGATGGTGATACAAGCAGTTACGTGTATCGGTAGTGATGGTGATACAAATAGTCACGTGTATCGGAAGTGATGGTTATACAAGCTGTTACGTGTATCGGTAGTGATGGTGATACAAGCTCTCACGTGTATCGGTTGTGATGGTGATAAAGGCAGTCACGTGTATCGGTAATGATGGTGATACAAACAGTCACATGTATCGGTAGTGATGGGGATACAAACAGTCACGTGTATCGGTAGTGATGGTAATACAAGCTGTTACGTGTATCGGTAGTGATGGTGATACAAGCAGTTACGTGTATCGGTAATACCGGTGATACAAGCAGCACGTGTATTGGTAGTGATGGAAATACAAGCAGTCACGTGTATCGGTAGTGATGGTGATACAAGCAGTTACGTGTATCGGTAGTGATGGTTATACAAGCTGTTACGTGTATCGGTCGTGATGGTAATACAAGCTGTTACGTGTATCGGCAGTGATGGTGATACAAGCTGTTACGTGTATCGGTAGTGATGGTGATACAGGCAGTTACGTGTATCGGTAGTGATGGTAATACAAGCTGTTACGTGTATCGGTAGTGATGGTGATACAAGCAGTTACGTGTATCGGTAATACCGGTGATACAAGCAGCACGTGTATTGGTAGTGATGGAAATACAAGCAGTCACGTGTATTGGTAGTGATGGTGATACAAGCAGTTACGTGTATCAGTAGAAATGGTGATACAAGCAGTTACGTGTATCGGCAGTGATGGTAATACAAGCTGTTACGTGTATCGGTAGTGATGGTGATACAAGAAGTTACGTGTATCAGTAGAAATGGTGATACAAGCAGTTACGTGTATCGGCAGTGATGGTAATACAAGCAGTCACATATATCGGTAGTGATGGTGATACAAGCTCTCACATGTATCGGTAGTAATGGTGATACAAGCAGTTACGTGTATCGGTAATACCGGTGATACAAGCAAGCACGTGTATTGGTAGTGATGGTGATACAAGCAGTTACGTGTATCAGTAGAAATGGTGATACAAGCAGTTACGTGTATCGGCAGTGATGGTAATACAAGCAGTCACATGTATCGGTAGTGATGGTGATACAAGCAGTTACGTGTATCAGTAGAAATGGTGATACAAGCAGTCACGTGTATCGGTAATGATTGTGATACAGGCAGTCACGTGTATCGGTAGTGATGATGATACAGGCAGTCACGTGTATCGGTAGTGATGGTAATACAAGCAGTCACATATATCGGTAGTGATGGTGATACAAGCTCTCACATGTATCGGTAGTGATGGTGATATAAGCAGTCACGTGTATCGGTAGTGATGGTGATACCAGCAGTTACGTGTATCGGTAGTGATGGTGATACCAGCAGTTACGTGTATCGGTAATGATGGTGATACAAGCAGTTACGTGTATCGGTAATGATGGTGATACAAGCAGTTACGTGTATCGGTAGTGATGGTGATACAAGCTCTCACGTGTATCGGTAGTGATGGTGATACTGGCAGTCACGTGTATCGGTAGTGATGGTGATACAAACACTCACGTGTATCGCTAGTGATGGTGATATCGACAGTCACGTGAATGCTGTAGTGATGGTGACACAGGAAGTTACGGGTATCGGTAATGATGGTGATACCGGCAGTCACGTGAATGCTGTAGTGATGGTGATACAAGCAGTTACGTGTATCAATAGTTATGGTGATACAGGCAGTTACGTTTATCGGTAGGGATGGTGATATAAGCAGTTACGTGTATCGGTAGTGATGATGATACAAACAAACATGTTTTTCGGTAGTGATGGTGATACAAGCAGTTACGTGTATCGGTAGTGATGGTGATACAAGCAGTTACGTGTATCGGTAGTGATGGTGATACCAGGAGTTACGTGTATCGGTAGTGATGGTGATACAAGCTCTCACGTGTATCGGTTGTGATGGTGATAAAGGCAGTCACGTGTATCGGTAATGATGGTGATACAAACAGTCACATGTATCGGTAGTGATGGGGATACAAACAGTCACGTGTATCGGTAGTGATGGTAATACAAGCTGTTACGTGTATCGGTAGTGATGGTGATACAATTATATACGTGCATCGGTAGTGATAGTGATACAAGCAGTCACGTGTATCGGTAATGATTGTGATACAGGCAGTCACGTGTATCGGTCGTGATGGTAATACAAGCTGTTACGTGTATCGGTAGTGATTGTGATACAGGCAGTTACGTGTATCGGTTGTGATGGTGATACAAGTAGTCACATGTATCGGTAGTGATGGTGATACAAGCAGTCACGTGTATCGGTAATGATGGTGATACTGGCAGTCACGTGTATCGGTACGATGGTGATACAAACACTCACGTGTATCGCTAGTAATGGTGATACCGACAGTCACGTGAATGCTGTAGTGATGGTGATACAAGAAGTTACGTGTATCGGTATTGATGGTGATACCGGCAGTCACGTGAATGCTGTAGTGATGGTGATACAAGCAGTTACGTGTATCGGTAATGATGGTGATACAAGCAGTTACGTGTATCGATAGTTATGGTGATACAGGCAGTTACGTTTATCGGTAGGGATGGTGATACAAGCAAAGAATTGAAAGAGAACTCTTGTTATCTGAAATCGAAATGGACTGATTGTGGGAGGTGGCTAGTCATTACCGGATATGTCCCCATTCTCTCTCTCCACATTCCTTTTTCTCCTGGGCATGGAGTTCATGAGTGAGTTCATCCTCCTCATTGGAATGTTGGCCTATTCTTCCAAGAGGGCTGCTCTCAGTTGGGCCAGAGTAACAAGGGTAAGATCGCGACGTCGAACCTGTCTATCCAGCTGGTCCCACAAGTGCTCAATGGGGATAGGTCGGGGTTGTATGGCGGCCAGTCCAGGGGGTGGATATTGTTGTGAGCAAGTCGCGACATATCCTCTCTACATGGGGCCGAGCATTATCCTGCTGGAATGTGAGGTTGTTTTGCTGCAATAAAGGGACAACATTGGCTCGGAGGATCTCATCTCTATACCTAGCGGCAGTGAAAGTAACCTACCCGACTCTACTACGCAGCGGGCGGCAAAACGTTCTCCACGACGTCGGAATACACGACGTCGGCCGCCTGCTTGAAACAGGGTGAACTGGGACTCATCAGTAAACAGGTCCCGCTTCCACTGCCTCAATGTGAATATTCTGGGGGCATGTGCCACCATCCAAGCCATACAACGCTGGCGACGTGAAGCGGTAAGGGACAGATCTACAAACAGATGACGTGCCTGCAGACCGACTTCCTGCAATCGTTTCTTTACAGGTTTTGCATGGATATGATGGTTATGAGTACCTATGGTATGAAGGGCAGATTCAGTGGCAGTAAGGTGCGGATTGCGCAAATGCTTCAACAACAAATATTGCATTGATTAAGTTTGTACAAGTTTTAGATCAATTAGCAAGCAAGATCCTATAAATTCTTCCCAGACTGTATTTATCATCATTCGAACCTGTAAGCTATATTTAGCTGTACAACAATTACACTGAAAGTAAGTCGACGTGACCTGCAGGTGAAGGCTATCAGTCTAACAGACCGATCAGAAAAGCAAAATAGTTTGGCAGTCATCTTACATTATTACCATTAAAGTTTGCTAATGCTGTTTCCTGAGAGTATTGGAGGACTATTTCACAAGCTTTGTATGAAGATTTCCATGGTCCCTTGTTTTCTTTTATTTTTGGAGAGAGAAAAAAAACAAATTGTTCAACATGCGACCATCTTTGAATTTAAAAGTTAATGAGAAAAGATCTAATTCGAACATCGAAGATCAAACAAAGGTGGACGTAACGAACCCTCTAGGATCTATCGTGGCAGATATGATATATATTGCCAGAATTGAATGTAAACAAACGACATTACCATCTAACGTTATTTCAATGTTAAAAATAAACGCTCGAAAAGTAACAATAATTATGATATATATAAAAGATGCAACGTCTAGTTAACATCAACATAATATCGATAACATTGAAATAGCGTTAAAAATATCTTAACGTTGTACTATAACATCATTCCAACGTTGATTTCTTTTACGTTATCTGGTGTTAGAACGTTTAGAACCATAGTGTTATTCTAACATCAGGATTTTACTGTTAATGTTGAAAAAATATCGTCGATGAAATGAAACTGTCAGGATGCCATTTCTTAACGTTGAAATCACGTTATGAAAAATTGACTGTGTGGCATTATTTCAAATGTGTCATTAGATTCCATCAGTGGCTGTCTGACGTTTGGAGTGAACCTAATTCCCAATAGATTCTATGAGTATAAGCCGTGCAGAGTTTACTAGATAAGTCTCGCTGATAAGAAACATATACCATATATCCATAACCGTTACGCCATACGTAAATAAATATTGAACATCAAAGGTCTGCGTCAAAAGAATCTCTTTTACATGATTACCCTTGTTGATATTATTTAGTGAAATTATCATTACGATCTAGTCAGATATGAAACAAACGATATCTTTATTAAATATTGATTGATTTACAATAGCATGATGTAGATGCTGTAAATATTATATATCGGCATAATGCACATTATAGTCGTCGGCGAGTATTTTTTTTATTGAAATGAATTGAGACAATGGGTGTTCACCAGCCTGTCTTTTGTTTAAAACCCAATCATTCCTGTTTTGTGGCAGATAACGATTATTGTAAGGTTATATCAAATTCAGTAACTTAATTCTCCCATAGAAATATCCTATTAATTATATACGTTCTTAAAGATAATATGTTTTGATACATATTCGACCGATAGACAATTATTGACAGCTATGATTTGTTTAACTTTTGTTCATTGAAAAATGTTATGCACGTGAAATTGTGTGTCTATAGCACAGTAATGTGATAAAGATATCATTTATATAAGGCCTGTTCTATATTACCTCATTACCAGTATGTAGACTAAATAGTTCACTAGAAGGTTTTACTCCTTAGACGCCATGGTGACATTTCCAGATCAAGACAAATGGTCAAGATTTTCGGGAACAGCCATATTTGTTGCTTATCTTTTACTCTACAGTATCTTAGGTAAGATATTTTTACTCATGTTTTAAACCATCATTTAAATGGCATTTAATTGGTGCTGGAATATCCTTGTTATGATTCGAATACAACTTCATCATTTTAATTCATGTCGTTAGATTCGGTTACAAACGCAGTACGAAATTATTTTGCTAGATAGCTGAAACTTCACCATGACTTTAACATTTCTAACTGGTTAAATTTCGCAAATGTATATTTTGTTCTTTTAATTCAAATTTGTACCGATAGTGAAGTTGATAAAGATTAAATGTACATATATGTATTTTAAAATAAGTTTAGAATCACATATAAATAAATAAATGATAAACACATACAAATGTTTGTTTCAGGGTTGATGTTACCTTATATTATGTTTAAAGGTCTTGTTTTAGTCTGTTTAGGTTACGCAGTACATTTCTATCAAAATATATAACTGTTACAGACCTCACGCTAAAACGATAGTAACGCTCATATTATAAGTTACGCTGTTTATGTCTCAAAGACATCTAGCTAATTACTGAAAACTGCTTATGGCATGGGTAAAGAAATTATTTATATAATGAAATTTTAAAGATAAATAAATAGTTCAAACAGATTTAACAGGCCGGAAACAGAATTAAACGCATCCTTGTAGACTTGCAAAGAATGACTTGCATTCTGATAGGTTTAAATGTATTTCAGTGTTGACAGAATGTCACCAACTGGGAAATGAATATCACACTGATAACGTTAAGGATGCCGACCTAAGGAAATATTTACTGAAGAAAGGTAGGAATATTTTACTGAAGTCATTAGATTTCTTCTGAAACACGCTTGTTCCTGTATATTGTTGTTTATATATGTATCATTTTTCTGTTATTTTTTTTTTTTTTTTTTTTTTTTTCAAATATATGTTGTATACTTAGCGGAACACCGTTTGGTTTGTTTGTTTAGGGTTATGTCAGATCGCAGAAAGCAAACTTCATTTCAAGGTTTTGTCCCTGAACAATAAAGCCTGTGATGGGTAATTTTTTTATGGCATCATATTGAAATGTCATAGATGCACCATTTGCTCGGCTGACTTTTTCCTGTATCTAATCAAGCCTGTATTTATCGAAGTTTTACTAAAACAGGTTAAATAAAATATATGCTCCAGAATCAATAATCTAGCATGGAACAAATTTTCGACTTTTGATATTGTCGACGAATGTGATCTTGAATTTCGTTTTGACCTTGGCTTTGGTTTCATGAACGTGAAAAGGACATGCTAAAACTCGTCTAGTCATTCTATACAGTCTTTAAATCATATGATTTGACGCAAACAAGCTTATTAGATGGACAGAAGAACGGATAGAACTTCGAACTTTAAAAGTATCGCCTTCAAGAAGCAAAAGCTACATCAATATAAACATTATACTGATATTAAACGTTATTAAGACACTGAGACAATATTTTTCCTATAGTACCTTAAATAATAAAACCACCTGAACTATCAGAAAAGACATTTAAGGGTTCAATGTTCTTAATTCTAACGTGAAGTACCGATAACTTGAAAATATAATGAAACAGCGATTTGAAAAATATTGAAATTTAACTACATCATGAAAGTTAATTATGATTTCAAATGGTAGTTGAACGTTTGTTCGTGGACAAGTGGCGCATGTGCTCGGGGTTCGACTCCCGAACGAACGGGAAAAGATATTGAGTCACCAGCTCGACCAGTGGATTTTCCGAACTGGTTTACAATCAACATGTTTGCGGACGACACGTGAATTTTAAGAATCCATATTGGACACCTCAAACATTCTGAATTGATATGAAAATCTTCAGGATCAAACATTAATTTAAATGAAACAACGGTTATATATTTGGCCAATCTACAGAGGGATCAATTGGTCGCTTATAAATATGATAACTCTTGCGGTTTATCAAGGTTATGTCGTCGATGGTTGAAAAAGTAAGATAACGGAAACAAATTCGTGTATTCAATTTTAAAAAGTAGAAATCTCGCGTTGTACGAGAAACAAATCTTAATAGGGCCAGGGTTAGGACTTGGGAGAAATATTTGAAAGAAATTGTGTCATTAGTTTGGAATTTTGTGTGGAACGATAAGAAAGATCTGGTCAAGCGTACGTATTTGCCTCTGAATTTAAGTAAAAGGGGATGTATATTATTGATATTGTATCGTATGTATTGAATAATAAAATAGATTTATTTACACAATAATGAAAATTGTAAATGCAACATGGAATTCAATACATTAACATTGGTTATGTTCATTCCATATTTTTAATGCAAAATGCATGCCCGACATATCAAATATAACATTGTCAATATTTCAGATCTGTAAAAATCTGTTTCATTTGTATAATGTGAGTTATGAAAATTCAATCGCATGTTTTCAACAGTTTTAGTTAGGAACACATCTGCTGTTGGTGCTTTTTATCTATCTATCTATCTATCTATCTATCTATTTAATTATGTATTGATTAAGAATGGTTTGGGGGTTGTTATCATGATTTGGGGGACTTCATGTGTTATATGCATCGATGAAAGTTTAAATTAGTGTAAATTGTTTGAAAATATTTCAAAGAACATATGGAAATACATTGTATGCAATACATTGATAAGCGTAAGTGGAAAGCGGAACTAACCTGAATTATACGAGCATTTCCAAACGAAATATTACCATTTTTGAGAAGGCCAAATGATACTATGCGGCTATCATAAAATACATGTTGAATAATATTATACACACCAAAATCTATGATATATAAATTTTGGAATTAAAACGGAAATAGTTTTTTTGTAAAGTGGATGATGAATATATATACCATCTTTTCTTTTAATGTGTTCATGTACAAACTGTCATAGACATTTGTTGTAATTAAGTTGCTGATGTTCCAGTTCAAAGAATTCGTAGAAATAATTATGTTTGGTTTCCATAGCAACAATGAGGAATCGATTATACTTAAAATTATAAAATGGATGTTATGAAAATGATTTTAAAGCTAAAATCTTCAGGAAATATTTGTAGAATGAAAAACACGTTTCATATCTGTTTAGTAAATAAAATGTGGCTATATGTTGATTCAAAGGAAAAGGAAACAATGTCAGAGAAATGTGATCATAATATCATTGCGCAACTGACAGTCTAAAACAAGTCTGAAGATGTACACAATGAGGATGCCATACTGCGCTTATGTCTATGCAATATTTATGTCATACTAAGTATATTGTTCGTGTGTATGAAACAATGTTCAGTGTATAACTGAACTTTATATTGAATAACAACATAGGAAGCTGCAAAAATAAGCAATTGATAATACAAGTGGTGAATCATCGGTGTAGTTATATTATCATAAAACATGCAAACTCAAAAAAGGGACATCCGTTAAACAGATATTAATATTAATACACCATTTGTAACGTAATGCTGACACGGTTCCGCTTCAATGACAATGGACATCGCGATACATTTTATTTTTTTTCAAGGAGAGGGCTTTCATAGGCTCTGCCTGTTGCCCAATTCCTACTGTCAATACCACCATGACAATAAAATATTCTGAAAGATACATTTTATGATGTGAATTCGCACATACTGAACGAGGACTGCGCAATGCAAAATAAATCATTGTCAAAACGATAATGAACAATTCAGAAACGAGATAAGAATCAATGGAATAAAATGTCACAGAAAGGATACATGGTATTAGGGTCGTCAATTGTCGAAATAAATTACAGTATAAAAGAATAATTGACGAAAAGACGGACATTGATATCGGTACGTCATTGGTCCAACTCCTGTAGCGCGCCCAAGGTGTCCTTATCTCTGGGTCACGGGTTCGAGAGGCCTACATGGGGTATTGGTCACATGTCCATGGTCCTTCTCCTGGAACTCCGACTTTCTTCCACCATCCAAACCTGGCACGTCATTAAACGACCCAGACTGTTAAAAGGACGTTAAGCAACAGGAAGTAAACAAGCCCCGAAAAAAACTACATCACCACGTATACGCAAAAATACCACTTTCACGTGCAACCTCACACAGTATGCACACTTCAACATAAATGTACCTGGACGCAATGGATAAACAGTTTACCTATAAGTTGAAACTCAGAAAACCATGAAAAGCACATGGACACTGTAAATAGATATACGGATATACAGGACCGTGGTTCGAAGCTTCCTACCCGCCGCGGCTTGTGTTTTCTTGGGATGATTCGAATCGGACAGTTCTGTGCCTTCGTGGTTGCTTCCATTCGCTAAACATTTCACCCTAATTGCTCTGGATTGCATACGACCGGACGCCCGTATGTTGTTCCGTGTGGTAGTAACCAGCGTCTTATGTACAAAGATGTCCCCATTAAAATGACATTGGGTGTGATGACAAACTATGGACATAGCGCATAGAAAACCACGTACATTACTAGGCTCTCTATGTTTTTCTTTTCTTCCTCCCTAATATTTTTATGCATTCGTATCTTGGTTTCCTTGTTACTGTTAGGTTTTGATTTTTTGTTCTTCTACGTATTCTGATCATATTTCATCAAAGACTTATTTTATTGAAACTGCTGATGGTAACGTTTTTGTCACATCCAATAAACTTGTAAACTTTTGGCATGACTCTTTTTTTATCGTAATTCTCTCGTGTCTTGTTTTTTGTATTAGTAGTAACACTCGGTGAATCTCAGGCCAAGACATTTCTTCGTGTTCATCAACGACAAAAACGTGCTGCCTATGACGAATGCCTGAAAGGATGTTTTTTTACAGAACTGATGGAATTCTCGGACTACGAGTCAAAGGTAAAATTGAATCATGTTTGTCCGAAAATAGTAAAAAATTAATAAACATTCATCTTACTCCACAACCTTTGTTATTAAGTATGATATAAGCTATCAGGAGAATAATCTAATTTGTCGTTTTAATGACATTTAAACTAATTTGTGTAATATTAAATCACAATATGTGAAGTGTCTAAGGCGCGAGCCTTGTCACTATCCATACGCCGTTCACGTGTTTTGTTTACACACAATACCCTTCAATAACTCACCTACAGGGATGAATAACTACTTTCCTGTTTCATTGAAAGATTCTGTTAATTTCACACCGGTAAAATTGTGCTACACAATGTGCTTTGTCTTTTACAGTCATTCATTAGTCTACAATGTATGCCGACTGCTAGCAAGTGATTACTTACATATGTACATATTCCAGAGAGAAGTGATGGTCAAAGCCAAGTGTTCAAAGTATTACTGCAGCCCTTTAGGCTACTGCGTAAACAGCAACGAAGACTATTTTCATAGCAACTCGTTGATCGTCCACTGTGTCGGTTAGTAAACCCAGAAATCATTTTTGATTTCAGTTCTCGGAGTGCTATGTGATTGTGAAGCAAATAAGCCTAACGCAAAGTAACACAAATTACATCCCCCACCACCCCTCCTCATGGTATAGTGAAGCAGACTTATATTTTACTTAACATTCTATCAGTTTGCTTTATATTCTTCCTTCACCTATGGTATGGGATTGGAAAATTTAATGTTGGGCACGGAGGCTGCATTTAACCATGACCGTATAGTGAAGCATTTCATTATTTCGATGTTCCCTGCAAATTTTCGAGGGAGAATTATAGTCGCCGCTTTGTCTGTCCGTCCTTTTTTGTCCGAAGCATAGCTTTGCCCACAGTTATGCAAGGATTATGTAGTTTCGTATGTACAGTGGTCATAGCAAGGCGATGTGCAATATACCACACTCTTGGCCCTAAACAACTAAATCATGGCCCTTTGTTAAATTTTCATGCCCGGACTTCACTTTGATTGTATTTAATGTTGGACTTTGAAACTTGGTTTATGGTAAGGCGATGTGCAGTGTTCAAACGTTTGTGCCGCAACCCTTTAAAAACAGAGTTAATGATCTTTGTTATAATATCGTGTCCAGAATACAGCCTTGCTTTCAATTAAGCAAGGACAATGAAACTTGGTGTATAGATTTGTCATACTAAGAGGAAGTACTTGTATCGGGTTCTGCTACCACTTAATGAGAGAGATATTGCTCTTTGGTGGACGTTTTGTGTCAAGATCATAGCTTTATCTTCATTTAAAAACTAGGATATAGGAACGGTGTGCCAAATATAGTACCTAAAACCCCTCAATTACAAACTTATTGCCCATTTGTTTTAATTTTGTGTCCAGTTAAGTTCTTTTTGAGGACCATTGATCAGTTTTACTGAAATCCTATGTCGTGCTATTTATACTTTAGTTAACCCATCTTAATACGCTGTACGTCACCAATTACGAATTAATTTGTTTCACAAAATATACTCGGGATGGGGAAATAAATTGAACACGTTAATCTAAAACAAATTTGGTAATAAAATCTTAATCAAAAGACCATATGGAATTTCTTCATTTTAACATAACGATGAGTGAAGCCCTGCACTCCACCATAAGTTTCACCACCTATGATATAATGATGGTTGATAAATTGAGGTATTTTAAACACACATGTTTTTTAAAAAAAAATGCGAATTCGCAAGAAAATAGAGAAATGTTTCCCTTTCCCACAACGAAATAGTGAAGCCCCCGGCCCCACCCTAAATTCACCTAAGCCAGATATACATTTTTTTTGTTTAAGAGTGTAAATGAATGAAGTGAAACTCCCTTCCCTAGACCAATCATATTTAGGTTATTTCTGCATTTTAAAATGAACGAGGGTAATTCTTTTAAAAATCGGGGGAAAAAAATGTTATTGATATGCTTCGCTTTATCATGGCCATGATAAAGTGAGGACCCTTATAGTCAATATCCGGACCTTTTTCACATGTAAAGGAATATAATGAAGCAAACTGAAGCGAAATAAAGGGATTTCGCTTTACCATGGTGGGAGGTGCAGGGGTTAGGGGGAAGGGTCATTTCACCATTGCTGTAAAGAGATCCTCTGTTCAATTTAACCGCGGGTTTACTTTATCATACTACACCGATCTACTTTATCATACTACACTGGTCTGCTTTATCATACTACACAGGTCTACTTTATCATACTACACAGGTCTACTTTATCATACTACACTGGTCTGCTTTATCATACTACACAGGTCTACTTTATCATACTACACTGGTCTGCTTTATCATACTACACAGGTCTACTTTATCATACTACATTGGTCTACTTTATCATACTACACAGGTCTACTTTATGATACTACACTGGTCTGCTTTATCATACTACATTGGTCTACTTTATCATACTACACAGGTCTACTTTATCATACTACACTGGTCTGCTTTATCATACTACACAGGTCTACTTTATGATACTACACTGGTCTGCTTTATCATACTACATTGGTCTACTTTATCATACTACACTGGTCTGCTTTATCATACTACACCTGTCAAAACTGGGTTCATTTTAACCAATGTAAGAAATGTGATATAAGTAAGGATTCAGTTTTATTTAAATATTATATGTATTTAAAAAAATACCGGTCTCTGTGTGGAAAGAAAAATAAGATACTGCAGACATGCAAGACAATCAGAAAGGCATTAAGGTAACTGTTACAATTATAAAGTACTGCCATATATATATATATATATATAAATAAAGGACAGACGTTTTACAAGAAAGTCCAATGGTTTTCATTGAGCAGGACACTATAATTAAAAATATGTTAATTTTTTAGAAGTGAACAGAACAAACGGTAAATATAGTTAATGAGTATGACGTTACATGGAAGTTGGTATTGCCACAGTAAATACATGTAAGGAGTGTGATGGTACATGGATGTAGGGAGTGCCACAGTAAATATATGTCAGGAGTGTGACGGTACATGGATGTAGGGAGTGCCACGGTAAATACATGTAAGGAGAATGATGGTACATGGATGTAGGGAGTGACAGTAGATATATGTAAAGAGTGTGATGGTACATGGATGTATGGAGTACCACAGTAAATATATGTAAGGACTGTGACGTTACATGGATGAAGGGAGTGCCACAGTAAATATATGTAAGGAGTGTGATGGTACATGGATGAAGGGAGTGCCACAGTAAATATATTTAAGTAGCGTGATGGTTCGTGGATTTTTAGGATGCCACAGTAAATATATGTTAGGACTCTGACAGTACATGGATGTAGGAAGTGCCACATTAAATATATGTTAGGACTCTGACAGTACATTGATGTAGGAAGTGCCACAGTAAATATATTTAAGTAGCGTGATGGTTCGTGGATTTTTAGGATGCCACAGTCAATATATGTTAGGACTCTGACAGTACATGGATGTAGGAAGTGCCACAGTAAATATGTGTAAGGAGTGTGACGGTACATAGATAATATGTTAACATTTTTAGAAAGGACAAATCCTAATTCGTTTTGTGATTCTATATTGTTTTAAGTTGATGGTTCCTGGGGTACATGGAGTAACTGGGGCACCTGTTCATTATCCTGTGGTAGCGGCATTAAGACAAGGTCCCGTATATGTAATAACCCAGCACCACAAAACGACGGAAAGTATTGTACAGACCCTAGTACCAGCAATGGAGAGGCCACGTGTAATGAAACACCATGTCCGAGTATGTGTTGTTAAACAACATTCATATCGCAAAATACTTATTACAGTCATTTAAATATTTATATCGTTATTACCTTTGCAATGAGCAGTACATAATTAACTATACATGGTTGAAGATAGTGTGACCGTACATCTATGTAAGGAGTGTGATGGTACATGGATGATGGGAGTGCCACTGTAAATATATGTAAGGAGTGTGATGGTACATGGATGTATGGAGTACCACAGTAAATAAATAGTAAGGACTGTGACGTTACATGGATGAAGGGAGTGCCACAGTAATTATATGTAAGTAGTGTGAATGTTCGTGGATTTTGAGGATGCTACAGTAAATATATGTTAGGACTCTGACAGTACATGGATGTAGGGAGTGCCACAGTAAATATATGTAAGGAGTGTGACGGTACATGGATGTTGGTAGTAACATAGCAAATATATGCAAGGAGTGTGACGGTACATTGATGTTGGTAGTAACACAGTAAATATAGTAAGGACTGTGATGGTACATAGATGTTGGTAGTAACATAGCAAATATATGTAAAGAGTGTGACGGTACATTGATGTTGGTAGTAACACAGTAAATATATGTAAGGAGGGTGATGGTACATGGATGTAGGGAGTGCCAAAGTAAATATACGTAAGGACTGGTGATGGTACATGGATGTAGGGAGTGCCAAAGTAAATATACGTAAGGACTGTGATGGTACATTGATGTTGGTAGTAACACAGTAAATATATGTAAGGAGTGTGATGGTACATGGATGTAGGGAGAGCCACAGTAAATATACGTAAGGACTGTGATGGTACATTGATGTTGGTAGTAACACAGTAAATATATGTAAGGAGTGTGATGGTACATGGATGTAGGGAGAGCCACAGTACATATATGTCAGGAGTGTGATGGTACATGGATGTAGGGAGTGCCACAGTAAATATATGTCAGGAGTGTGATGGTACATGGATGTAGGGAGTGCCACAGTAAATATATGTCAGGAGTGTGATGGTACATGGATGTAGGGATTGCCACAGTAAATATATGTCAGGAGTGTGCTGGTACATGGTTGTAGGGAGTGCCACAGTAAATATATGTAAAGAGTGTGACGGTACATAGATGTTGGTAATAACACAGTAAATATATGTAAGGAGGGTGATGGTACATGGATGTTGGTAGTAACACAGTAAATATAGTAAGGAGTGTGATAGTACATGGATGTTGGTAGTAACATAGCAAATATATGCAAGGAGTGTGACGGTACATTGATGTTGGTAGTAACACAGTAAATATAGTAAGGACTGTGATGGTACATAGATGTTGGTAGTAACACAGTAAATATATGTAAGGAGTGTGCTGGTACATGGTTGTAGGGAGTGCCACAGTAAATATATGTAAGGAGTGTGCTGGTACATGGTTGTAGGGAGTGCCAAAGTAAATATATGTAAGGAGGGTGATGGTACATGGACGTAGGGAGTGCCAAAGTAAATAAATGTAAGGAGTGTGAGGGTACATTGATGTTGGTAGTAACACAGTAAATATATGTAAGTAGTGTGATGGTTCGTGGATTTTTAGGATGCCACAGTCAATATATGTTAGGACTCTGACAGTACATGGATGTAGGAAGTGCCACAGTAAATATGTGTAAGGAGTGTGACGGTACATAGATAATATGTTAACATTTTTAGAAACGACAAATCCTAATTCGTTTTGTGATTCTATATTGTTTTAAGTTGATGGTTCCTGGGGTACATGGAGTAACTGGGGCACCTGTTCATTATCCTGTGGTAGCGGCATTAAGACAAGGTCCCGTATATGTAATAACCCAGCACCACAAAACGACGGAAAGTATTGTACAGACCCTAGTACCAGCAATGGAGAGGCCACGTGTAATGAAACACCATGTCCGAGTATGTGTTGTTAAACAACATTCATATCGCAAAATACTAATTACAGTCATTTAAATATTTATATCGTTATTATCTTTGCAACGAGCAGTACATAATTAACTATACATATTTGAAGATAGTGTGACCGTACATCTATGTAAGGAGTGTGATGGTACATGGATGTTGGTAGTAACATAGCAAATATATGCAAGGAGTGTGACGGTACATTGATGTTGGTAGTAACACAGTAAATATAGTAAGGACTGTGATGGTACATAGATGTTGGTAGTAACATAGCAAATATATGTAAAGAGTGTGACGGTACATTGATGTTGGTAGTAACACAGTAAATATATGTAAGGAGGGTGATGGTACATGGATGTAGGGAGTGCCAAAGTAAATATACGTAAGGAGTGTGATGGTACATTGATGTTGGTAGTAACACAGTAAATATATGTAAGGAGGGTGATGGTACATGGATGTAGGGAGTGCCAAAGTAAATAAATGTAAGGAGTGTGATGGTACATGGATGTAGGGAGTGCCACAGTAAATACATGTAAGGAGTGTGATGGTACATGGATGTAGGGAGTGCCACAGTAAATATATGTAAGTAGTGTGATGGTTCGTGGATTTTGAGGATGCCACAGTAAATATATGTTAGGACTCTGACGGTACATTGATGTAGGGAGTGCCACAGTAAATATATGTAAGGAGTGTGACGGTACATGGATGTAGGGAGTGCCACAGTAAATACATGTTAGGACTTTGACAGTACATGGATGTAGGAAGTGCCACAGTAAATATATGTTAGGACTCTGACAGTACATGGATTTAGGAAGTGCCACAGTAAATATGTGTAAGGAGTGTGACGGTACATAGATAATATGTTAACATTTTTAGAAACGACAAAAACTAATTCGTCTTGTGATTCTATATTGTTTTAAGTTGATGGTTCCTGGGGTACATGGAGTAACTGGGGCACCTGTTCATTATCCTGTGGTAGCGGCATTAAGACAAGGTCCCGTATATGTAATAACCCAGCACCACAAAACGACGGGAAGTATTGTACAGACCCTAGTACCAGCAATGGAGAGGCCACGTGTAATGAAACACCATGTCCGAGTATGTGTTGTTAAACAACATTCATATCGCAAAATACTAATTACAGTCATTTAAATATTTATATCGTTATTATCTTTGCAATGAGCAGTACATAATTAACTATACATGTTTGAAGATAGTGTGACCGTACATCTATGTAAGGAGTGTGATGGTACATGGTTGTAGGGAGTGCTACAGTAAATATATGTAAGGAGTGTGACGTTACATGGATGTAGGGAGTGCCACGGTAAATACATGTAAGAAGTGTGATGGTACATGGTTGTAGGGAGTGCCACATTAAATATATGTTAGGACTCTGACAGTACATGGATTTAGGAAGTGCCACAGTAAATATGTGTAAGGAGTGTGACGGTACATAGATAATATGTTAACATTTTCAGAAACGACAAAAACTAATTCGTCGTGTGATTCTATATTGTTTTAAGTTGATGGTTCCTGGGGTACATGGAATAACTGGGGCACCTGTTCATTATCCTGTGGTAGCGGCATTAAGACAAGGTCCCGTATATGTAATAACCCAGCACCACAAAACGACGGAAAGTATTGTACAGACCCTAGTACCAGCAATGGAGAGGCCACGTGTAATGAAACACCATGTCCGAGTATGTGTTGTTAAACAACATTCATATCGCAAAATACTAATTACAGTCATTTAAATATTTATATCGTTATTATCTTTGCAACGAGCAGTACATAATTAACTATACATGTTTGTAGATAGTTTGTAGATAGTGTGACCGTACATCTATATAAAGAGTCTGATGGTACATGGATGTAGGGAGTAACAAAGTAAATATATGTAAGGAGTGTGACGGTACATGGATGTTGTAAATGTAACGGTATACCATGTATGTATTGGTGGAGACGGTTACATGTATGATGTGAATGTTGCGATATATATATGGTCATTACTTTTACTTTAGTTGATGGGGCGTGGTCATCATGGCGAGATTGGAGTGCATGTTCTCTCATAAACAATGACGTCATTCGATCGAGATGTAGGAAGTGCACAAATCCAATCCCTCAATATGGAGGAGCAAACTGTCCTGAAAAGCCTTTGAATTCCGAACAGTGCACATTGACACCAGGTTGGAACATTAACAGTGCCACTGAATTCTATAAACAAGATCAGTGTCTTTCGTTTTACTTTATACCGGTATTAAATCACACTGGTATTTTCATCATTGGTCAATATGCTGCGATGAAGCAATCGAGTCAAGTTTAGCGCTATTCCCTATAGAGCACAAATGATGTGACATAGGTGTTGTATGTCATTATGTCATTTATTGCATTTACCAATTACAATAAGACAATTAGAATTTACATTCAGGGGGAAACAAAAAACAAAACAAAAACAAACAAAAAGATATTTTTTTCAGGTAATCTGGAGACAGAAAGAGACGATTGAAAATATAGGCTTTCATTATAGGATTCATTTCTTGAATTCTATTACACGGAATATTGATTAATGTTTATTCACACACGTTAGCATATTTCTTCAGTATTCTGTTGTTCATGTTCATCAAGTAGATATAATCCGAATTATTCTGACGTTCTATCGACTTTTTATATCAATCTGGAGTCGATAGAACGTCAGAACTCCAACCCTTTATAAAAAAGAGGTAAATTTGCGAACTTCGCCTTGATCAGCATTCAAGCGATAGTTGCGAAAAGAAATCGCCATCGATAGAACGTCAAAACATTTCGACAACGCTAAAGTGTGTTAATATAATTTGTTTTTCTCTTGTACAGATAACTTCAAGAAACGATGTAGATGTCGCCAATCTCGTATGCCTGTGGTGAAGAACATTAGTATCGCGGAGTTAGCCGCCATTATAGACGAAATAAAAGAGGAACTGACAGTGGACAAAACCCAAACGGCCAGTAAGTATCCTTTATGCCTGGACTACTAAATCATTAAAACTGCGAGTGAAGTAATTATATGAACACAAGAAACGTTGTCTTCAGAGCAAAATGTTTACTCTAGATCAATAAACTGTTGTTTTTTTCTGATATCGAATAGAAATTTGCAAACAATCTATCGTATGACAAGAAACTTTATTTAATTATCGGACTGCTGCATCTCCATGTCTAGATTTGTATTTTTCTTTTGATCACTTTGGAATTTCCTCATTCGCCTTATTGGCTTCACATTTTAGGCCCTTAGCATCACTGACGCGTCCTAGAAGGACGATACAGCTGTATGATGCAGTTTAATTCATTGTTTGGCTCTACTGTATCTAACTTTAAATCATTGAAAGGTGCTATTCACTTGGGTGTCTTTTGTACAATCTTGCAGTGGCAACTAGGAAGAAAATTTCCGCCCCAGATTCCCGAAAGTCTTCAGCCATAATAGGAACACTGCTCGGTGTCATCATGATGTCAATACCTTTCGTCTTCATCTTTACCGTCGACCTTGTGAATGCCTATCAATATTTCACGGTCAGAAACAGAGTCAAGCCGTCATCAGCAAGACGGCGTCGAGATCACACCTCTCCAATCCGTTCCATGACTTCTTCGGTGTGATCATCGCACCGTTCCTTGAAGGGATTTCCTGTTTGATATTTCACATGAAAATTATCAACAGAAATGTTATTCGAGATCCCAAACGATTTTGCCCTGACATTCCAAGGACGATTTCAGTTATCAATTTCCATGGTTAAATGTTATCTTAATGTTAGACAGCAAATACATTGCAACAAGTGATTATGTACATCGTACTCAGAAGGACAGCAATTGGAAACGGATGTTACATAAGAGAACATGCGTTACTCTATCATACGACATGTAATTTGATAAATGTTTCTAATGAAATTTGTTTTTGTTTCAATCCCATATTTGGTATGAATGATCCCTGAGACAAGTCCTTTCTGATGGTACCTAAATGTTTGACCATGTTATGTTGCAATCGGGGCATAGTGTTTCATAAACACAAGTTGTTTAAACAAATAAAACTGAAAGAATAAAAGAACAAAATTCATTTGAGTGCTATCTATTACAAGTTAAACAGGAGATCAGGAAGACTGGAGAGGTTGTAAGCACTGCAATATTAAGACCTTAATTAAAAATATGACCCCAAAATGTTGTTATCGGTGTTCATTTCGATAAAGAATGTAACTTAACCAATTTCGTAGTTGTTTTACTACATGTGATGCAAACATTTTAACAGAACATTTACAAGAGAATTCTATTTGAGCAGCCGCATCCAAAGTACTCGGTATCAGATATTTGTCAAATCAGGCATACTGACTAAAAATTCAATTCCATCATATCAATATTCTGATCTCCCAAAATTACGTCCCTTCTGTTCACTAAGCTTGACAGTTGATAAAGACCTAAATTGCTCATAGAGGGATTCGAATTAGATTAAAATCATGACAGCTTTCGATCTGTCCTTTTGTCAATAGTGGTCAAAGAATCAAAATCATATCAAATATCAATCAATATTGATAATTCTAACTTAATTTGAATTACGTTCAGGTGAGTATAAATCAAAGTGTTGAATTCTGAAGCTTCCTGGTCACACACTCCGGCTTCTGTTTAAGATCCTGATCTAAATATATATATGCCATCCACCTGTGAGTGTAGTTACAGTGTCTCCAGAGAGGGAGAAGAATGGGAGAAGTCCGGGATTTTCATATTTCTTGAGTTTGATCACGCGCATTTTTTTTATCCCTTTGTATATATGTTTCATCTTCAGTTATTTTTATAATTACCAACAATGGTTATTCTCCTTTTGCTTTCTTTGGCCAATCTTTCCTGTAATAGGATATCAATAGGGGTACACTGGACAGGTAGTCGCCTAGAGGTACCAGATATTACAAGATATGAATTAAGAGAAGGTTAACAAAAATGACAGGATCTCTCTACTGGCTGATATCTCGATCAGCTGACGGTTCCTAGAGGAAGTGGAGTAATTTAGACACCTCTTTAGTGCCCAGTGGTAGGAGCTAAAAACAAGAGCTCGATTATGTAACAACCTAGTACTACAAAATGGAGAGAAGTATTATTGTAGATACCATGGCATCAGCAGTGAAATGGCAACCCTTAATGAATAAGCAGTCTAAGTATGGAGTGTTTATCAACATTCATTTCGAATAAAACCTATCGGATTTCTCTGAATATTTGTGATTTTTTATTTTCAATGAGAAATTTTCAATCTGGGTAAAGAGTGCTGGTGTGAGGGAATGTTACTATAAATTACTACAAGGTGGCATATTGACACCAACCCATTGTGACAGCCAAGATGTAATATCCTGTTATGTTGTCGCAATAAGTGAGTGAAAAACATAAAATCCAAAAAAAATTTTCAACTTGAAAATAACAATTTATGAAATATTGTCAAATGATGAATGGAACTTTATCATGCAACTGTTTTGTCCTTTATTAACTCGACAGATAAACTATGGGCTTGAAGTGTTACAACATAGACGCTAAAGGTGAAGATAACATTTGTTTGAAATAGGTATGAGATAAAGCTACCCTTATTAATTCTAAAGCAGTAACAAAACAATGTCAAGTTTCGAAACTTAAAGAAAAAAAAATATCAGAATAAATGATATTGCTTTAATATCAAAATCGATATGGTGAATTACATCAACTGTTTCAAAAACTTTAACTCAATTCTATATCTCAGTGAAAGATTCATAGAATGTTTTTCTTCTCACGTGCTGGTCAAATTGATAAACACTTAAATCGATGCTATCAAAATCATAAAAGCAAGCTCCACTAAATCATGGATAACCAAATTCATTTTGAGACAATAAAATGTCTTAAACTGGCTGGTCAGCTTGAGCAATTGCAGAGCCTGATTAAGAATACAGACATGCAGATTTAGAGGACAATGTAAAACAGAATATTTAAATCAATCTTTCACACTAAGACTGAATACATGTTTTTTAGAATATCACTATTTCTGAAATGCTCTATACAGAGAAAGTGGCATCATCAATATTTGTTTACTAACGGTAACGCTTAGCTATCAGATGTTTTGGAAATATTGGATACATAAAGGTGATGAAGCCGTGTTGTTTTCTGAATGACCAATAAAACAAATAATAAAAGTTCATCCAGATAGTAACAAGTGAGTACTTAGAAAGTTCTAAATAAACAGGTATGTAAAATGCTTCCTAATTTGACCAATAACGGTAAAGTTGAAGAAAAACTCCAGAAATAGTTGATATCACAAACATAGAAGACGTAGTAAACCAAATTCCTATAGGAATGTATCATGAAGAGAAAAAGAAAATATGGTGCTGTACATCAAATCCGGGATGTTATCAATGTGATGTTTATCAGGCAAAGTGATGACGTCACTCCTACAAATTCTACTTAAACTTCAATTATTATCGGCATTCTCTTTTCCCTGAACTATGCGACAAATCTGAAATGAAAAATAAGTTAACACTTAAAACAGAATTGGACCAATTCTACTGTAAGTACAAAAAGGTAAAATCTGTTAACACATTGCAAAGTAGTAGCGTGGACATACCTTGTGGGGACATAATACATACCTGTGTCTAGGTTTCTCTACCCAGAGAGAGGCAAACTACCTTCGCTTGAAAATGGTTGGGTAAGGGCGGACGGATATTTGTACATACCTAGCAATGTACATAGTACCTACATACATGCAATGATGGCATTTTCCTTTCCCAGATTCAGCTTAATATTCAGATTTATTTATTTCGCTCAGTCACGCGTATAGCGTGAAACAAGAGGTCATTTTACAAAGTAAGGATTGAAACATGGCTGGCAATTTAAGTTTTAGCTAATTACATAGTAACACATGTATGCTGAAATTGCAAAAATAACTTTTCTCTAGAAATCTAATAAAAGTAAGTTATACAGGCAGTTAAAACCGGAAGCAGTGCATGGAGTAAATAAAGTTGTTGTAACTTGTAATATAGGTAAAAAATATTGAAACATAACTTACTAGTGAAGTCAACGTTCTAGGAATCTATAAACGTTTGAAATTAAACACTTATTGAAAATGGAAAACATTCCCTTCGTTTGAATGAAACTTGGACATTTGCAATAATAATCTGGAATGAATTTGTTTCTAAGTTGTAGTATTTGTATATTATTACAGTTATACAAATAATGGTATTCATCATCAATTTCATTAGCACAAAACGTACACACTCTATCCTGGTGTGGAATGCCCCTCCAGCGTCCTGTTTCAATAGGAAATTTCATATTTAAAGTTCTAAATTTACTTTAAATTAATCGATCTTTCTCATTAAGTTCAATTAAGTACTTCTCAAAAATGAATTCCCATTTGAATATCTTGCACAATTGTCCACGAGATTCATTCTCCATCTCATTAAACCACTTTTGTATGTATTGATCTTGAAGTGTTTTTCTACTGGTAGATTTTAACCATGTTTCATCCGCGGAACAAGTTTCTTATAAATTCCTTATAAGGCTCATATCTGTGTTATTAAAAGTAAATTTCACTTAATTAATCATTTAACTTGTCCCACTCCCCTTTCCTCTATCACATATAGTAATCCATACATTTCACTAGATAACCTGTTCCCACCAGCAGCTTACTTATACCATCACATAATGGTTCTAATTGTAACTTCAATTTCAATTAGAAATCTCCCAAACTCTTCATAAACCGTAACATTGGGTTTACTGCTTCTTACTTTGATAAGTCGCTTTAAAAAATTCTCTGTATTTTCTAATTAATATTTAAGTTTTCAAATCCCCGTACTTTCATAGAGTACAGCAATATTGATGTAAATAATGTATGAAAGAGCTTTAACTGTAAGTCAGCTGGGAGAGATATATTTCTATTTTTTCTATAACGAGCAAAACGTGCATTTTGAGCCTGTTCTGTTACTTTTTTTAATGAGGAGGGGCTTCAGTAAAGTTACCATTAAAGTCCATGATTATTCCCAGATAAGACCTGGAGTCACTTATTTCCTACGCAGTGTTGTTGACAGTAAACCTTGACAGGTTTTTACATTTGCTTTTACAAAAATATACAAAATTCTTTGGCAAGTTACTTCAAGCTTCCATGGTTTTCAGTACTCTTCAAAAATGTATGAGGCCGACTGTAGACCATTGCTGGTCTCTGACAGGATCACTGTATCGTCTACATCAAGTAAAATGAAAAGTTTAAGGTAAACATCGATGTTAGTCACGCACAAATTATTAATTCCACCAAGGCACTCTGCATCGTTTTGGTCAAACAAGTCCTCTAAATAATTAAAAAAAAATACAAACAAAAATGGTGACATATTTCCTCTTGTTTTACGCCGACATCACACACACACACACACACACACACACACACACACAATCCAGACATTTCTTGCCCATTTACGGCACAAGATTTTGCCCTTGAAAACATTTTTGAAATAACATTAAATATTTTTCCTGAAATATTACTTTTAAGCAACTTTCTCCAGAATCAACATCTCCAAACACTTTTCGAAAATGCAGTATAATTTTTTAACCCATAGCAAAGTATACTTATATATTAAAAAATAGAGTAGAAATATATTATCTGCTGTAGAAAAACCTTTTCTGAAGCCCGCTTGAGCATCGGATATAATTTGCATTTCGTCAATAATGTCGTAAGTCGTTTGTTAAAGATAGAGTTTTAAAACCTTTCGAAAACAAGATGTAAGAGTTATCGCCCTTTAGTTATCAGGGTCTTTATAGTCACCTTTGTTTTTATAGATCCAATTTCCATTGTTCTGGAACAATTCCTGTATCTAATACAAGTTAAATAATTTGACATATAACTGGCTAAAAATAAACAACGTACTTTTAAGATATTCATTCATAGTTCTATCATAGCCTCCAGTTTTATTATTAGATAATTTATTAATAACATTTATATTACCATCTTATTTAACAGATCATCATATGCATTTTCATCATTCTCTGGTAACGCCTCATCGTCCTCATCAGTACTAGTGTCACCTGTATTAAGAATTTTGAAATAATTACATGGTTAGTAAACTGGTTTGTCAACCTTCTCTTCATTTTTCTGACCACAATATTTGTTTGAGATTTTCCAAAAGGATTAAGGGTCATATTCAGAGACATTTTCTATCACGTTATACATTTTGTCATTGTTCTTTCTATAGCACTGTTTCAATTCTTTTTTATAGAGTTTAATTTTATTTTCAGTACATTTTTATTAGTAGATGTTTTGTATTTTTATTACGGTGTTTGACGCTATGGTATTCCATCCTTTTTACTAAACATTTTCTACAGAACCAGTACAGTTTCTCCTGAGGTAATTCTTTGCTAAGTATCACGGACAACTCCAGTCCAAGATTAAACAGCGTCGTCGCATTGGAACGCTCCGCGAAAGATGAGAATGTCCTTCTTACGAGATCCGGAATGCTTCCATAAGGACCTCCTTATGATTTGACACGGGGCTGTTCCGCAGTGACGGCAGACGGAAGGCCTGTACAGACATATAACATTTATATATTTATGGTACCTCCGAACACAGATTTTTAAAAGGAATCTGAACGATTTTCAATATCAGTTCAAAAAATAACATTCGCTCGCAAATGTTGTATTTACAGTTCTGTTTAGAATTATCCATACAGTGGATGAGCTATTGCAAGTTGTTTTGAAAAACACTGAAAGTATTGAAGCGTAAACATCTTAATTCTATCTTTAGCTTGTATGATATTGATTGATTTAATCTAATTACTTTAAAAAATATTTTTTCTCATATTGCTTTTATAGTCCGTTTATAATGAATATGGAAACATATCCCTCCCTTGTATTACACCTTTTACGTCTAGGAGATAAAGTAACATTAATTATCGGGAGGAGCGGGGGTTATTAATCAAATATCGTCAAAATAACGTGGAAAGAATATTGTTTTACTCTTTTTCTGAGCAGTATACGAAATCATGACATGCTGTCGTATGTATCACAAATCCCCTAGTTAAGCTAATTAATATGGCATAGAATGGATACATTAAACGTAAGACAGAGAAAGCGAGTCGGTCGAGGCGTCCTTTTGTGAGATGCTAAGATATGAACCCCTCCCCTCTTTTCTTTCCCTTTTTTCAATAGTTTAAATTACCATATAGTATATATATATATATATATAGGCCTATAGATTTCTAAAACTAGTATGTTTCCCAAGCAACGTCTCAAAGACGACTCGTAAATGAAAAACAATATAAAGAACGAGACTCCTTAAGCTATTCTGATTATTCTCAAAGCATGAAATATTCCAAAAATTATTAAATACAAGAACAATTTTGACATTACCTTTTTAAAATGATATCTGAACCACGCATGTTTGAAACATCCTGAATTTACCAACATTTTTAAAATTTAAATACTCGCCCGGGACGGACTGTAACCTGTAAAATAATCACGAGTCCGATAAATGAAGTATTCATTTAGAAATTATTAAAAGTTCCTCTTAAAAACATGATTTGTGAAATCAATCATGTGTGTAAATATTTTATTTAAATGATCAGCGATACAGCAGCTGGAGGAGTCGTGTTTATCTTTCTTTTTTTCTGTCTTTTTCCCCGTAGACTTGTATTTCTGATATCAGATTAGAAACATGTAAATTTTACCGACCAAAAAGTATGCATATCCTTTTTTTAACATTTTTGAAAATACCTGTATATGTAAGTCTTTTACCTGGTTCTCTCAGATACGATTTGGCCAATTCTATTTCCCTCGCTCGCCTCCTTGACTTCGAATTTAACACTCCGGCTCCGATCGTGCGATCACCAGTTCCAAATAACACGTCCTAAGACAAAACGGCTGAGTGTTGATATTCGATGGTAAAAGTGATATTTTACAACTGTTTTCACGTATACAATGCTATTTTTTAAGAAAATACATACAAGTTTAATTCAATCTGCTTGTTAACTTTCAAATGGAAAGCAGCGTATTTTCATTGTGCCACAGGGACTCTATCACTTGTATATGACTAAGGGTAGATAACTCTAATATTTATTGTGTCTAATTCATCAAATGTCATTCAACATGGCGTCTGCCTGTGCATTGGAATGGGTGCCAGATTCCTTGTACAACACAGCAGTTTCAGCCATCGTAGCTTCATATTATCGGTACAAAAGGGACGTTAAGGCTTTACCAGAGAACGTACAGTTTGATATTTATTACAAGGTATGAAGGGAAGTTACGTTTTTTTACATAGGAACAAAAATATCTTGCGTTTCGTCAGCAACTTTCGTTGAAACGTCAGACTGGAACATGAATCATTCGATTGTTATAGATAATAAGAAACGAGAAGTTTAATTTTGGAATGTTATCACTTCAAACATCTAACAGAAAGTTGATTTGTTTCGCTTGGTATCGATATTGAAGTGTAGGTCTGTTGTTTATCGTACTGCAAACATCTGTAGGCCTATTGTTGTAAACAGACTACATCATGTAAACAAACAAAAATACACAAACTAACAATGTATGTCCGCACAAATCTGATCTAAATGTGGAAAATGTAGATACATTTGAAAGGGATATTATAAAGGAATCCATGAAATTATGTAGGTATAATGTTGGTTCCTGATATTTTATTCCTTCCGCTAATCGTGAACGTGGTACAGTAGAAATATGAATATGACTCATTTCGATAGTTCACAAAATAGCGTACACAAGTCTGATGAAATTGTTTCCGAAAAAAAAGACCGTTAAATGCAGACATCAGTCAGTAAGTGTAATATATATGTTGGAAAGGAAGCTGAATTCTTCCCCTACTGATATATAAACTGGCTTCAGACAAAATGATTACCACACTGGCTTCAGGTTTGAACCCTGGTCCGGTGGAGCTCCTGTTATAATTACAAACTGGTGCTTAGGACTAACCCTGTTTCAAGTAGGACAAAGCTTGACAAGGGGATTGAAGACTCTAGGTTGTCAATTGTTGTATCTTCTGGAGAGAAGACTTAGATAAAGGAACTAGGACAGGGAAATGGGTACTGTTATTTAAATTGGTAGAGTAAATGCCAAGATTTAGGAAAGTCCAGAATTTGAACCCATGTCTGGCTGTGCATTTTCCTGCTCTAGGTACAGAACAGTATACTGCACATTATCTCTAGGGATTTCTGAAACAGGGCATTCAATCAACTCTTGACATGTTGTAATATCCTTATTACTATATCATACTATATTGTTAAGTGGCATCAGGTCCTCTATTTCATGTCAAGGTACCAAATTTGATACAAACAGATAATGAAAATTTATTGTACCTCCACTGAGACTTGAACTTATCCACTACTACAGCCATGACCATGAGGCACCAAAGTGGGTTAGTGTACATGTGCATCAGCATTATGATTAGAAAGAATTGATGTATGTACATGCAATTGTTGCACTACATCTTTTTCCAATTCCTGTTTCATAAACCATTATTTAATGATAATGATTTACAAACATACATGAGCCACGCATAATCTGTGATTGCTGACTTGTGATTTAAGGATAACAGACATGCATGGGATTATGCATTGATCCAGTTTAAGCTGTGAGTACATTCACCTCACCAGATGATGTTTAAGGTTGACCTGCATTACCTCAGGTGAAGATGCTATTTACAAGGTTCAAGTCTCCCTACCCCTGGTGGTTTGTGTTTCTCAAGAAGCTGAGAAAGAGACTGTGAGGTCTTTGCTGATGTGGTTGTGTCCATGGGCAAATCATTTTACAGTAACTACTCTTGATGGCATGGAATGGTCCACCCATATGATGTTCAGTGAGGTAGCCACCAGCTGGTACAATGAGACAATGCCTCAAAATGAACATGGTTGGTTGTTCACTTGCCAGTAATGAGATGGTTTTAAGATATTTAGAAAACAAGACCTGTCTGGATTTTCTACTGTCATTGTTTGTAACTTATTGACATTTTGGTTGACTAAATACAAAATTATTTTAATTACAGAAATTTAAATATTCATAAGACATATTCTTTGCAATATACATCACTGCAATTGATGTTAATCAGTATAGAATTTGAATACAATTAAACTAGTGATGTGTACCTTTATATATGGCCAGATTTGCAGACAAGCAGCAACACCAAAAATCATGATTATTTGGTATATCATTTCCAGTTTGTCATCAAAATACAGTTGTTAGAAATAAAGCGGACATGTGTATTTATAGTGCTTTTCAACAATTATCATTTAGACTTATGAAAGTATGGTCAATACCAAATGACGGTCTTTTGAAAGCTTCTTTTCAATAATTCTGTTACATGAGGAATAACATACATATAATAGCAAAACAGTTAATGTAATTTCTTTACTGAAAGTGAAGAATGCATCACAAAATTAATTTTGATGTTTGTGAGAGTAGGGCTAACCATAATATTCTAGACATTTTGTTCCTTAAATTGTGTGTCCATAACTTAACTGGCAATGAAATTGTGGATTATAGATTTAATTTAAAAAAATAGTCTGTATAAAAGCACATGAATGTAAATGAGAGACATAAAAACATTTATAACATTGGGATATCATGTATTGAGACAATCCCCTAGTTTGTCATACTAAAGCTCACCAATAAGTATGAATCACTGAAGCCTTCAGATTTTAGAGTTTTCAGTTTTCACAAAGTATCTGAAATTTTCTTTGTTGGGTAAAATATGTACATAAAAATCATTTTGTTCAAAGTACTGTTTTAGCACTGGGTGTATTGTGTTAGAATGTGGTTGTGCTAATTGCTTTGTACTGTTATAAAACAGATACTAGATGCAGGAATTTATCGTTTTACCAAATATGATTTGTCAAAAACTGATACCATGTTGACATTTTCTTCACGAGAATGATAATTTTGCTGTTGCGCAGTACATTAGTGTAATTGTGAAAATTAAATGCGGGAAATAATGAGACACCTGTGTATTTGATGTCCTTTTACATCCGTATCCTGAAATGTAATTTGTTAGAGTATGATTCAATTATTTTATAAGAAAATCCTTAAAAATTTTACTCGTAAAAATTACCAGCTATTTGGTAATTGCACTAAAATTTCATTGCACCAAATAAGTACAGTTACAGTATCTTCGTTCATTACTAGTTCTTTTCTTGATGCAAGGTTGGTCATGACCAATACAACACTTGTTATTGAATCCCTAATCTGCTACTGGTTTATACTGCTTTATCATTAGTATAAGAATAACAAGTTACAAGTCTTAGTTAATTTAAGTTTTTAATGATTTTAACTGTTTTTGAAATATTTTTCATTTTATTTTTCAGCTCTACAACAAAGGCCAGCTATGTCAGTTAGGAATGGATTTTTCAGACCTAGATACATTTTCAAAAGTACTGAAAATTATTGACAAAAGGTAACTGTACGTTGTAAAACCAGATAACAATTCGTATTACTATAAATGCTTAGTTTGCACACCAAAAAGCACAAATATACATTTTTTTCCCCTTTCTTGGTCAAATATTAAATAAAGATTATAATTTATTTTTTCAAGACAACCCTTATGCTTTACATGTGCTATTTTCAGACATTTGCTGCACCACAGTTTTCAAGCATTAATGGACCACTGTGTGCGTTTGTCCGACATTCTGGCTGATGCATTCACGGTTCAGTTAATGCCATCCTCTTGTCCAGACACAGTCTCTAGGGACAGAGCTATTCAGTTTGGTTTGTCACTTGGTAAGATCATACTCTTCTTCTGTGTTCTGTCTTTGTATAGCTGGGGTTAAATATTACCTAATTCTTTGCACTTGATTTTTTTTTTTGATGCAATATAATGATCAGGTATCATACTACAGTCTAACCAAAAATCACAGCTTGTCAGCCTTTTAATTTTTAATGATTTACTTCTGTCAGAACCAATCAAACAGATATCTGTTTATACACATTTGTGTGTTGTCCTAACCAGTTTGACATTGACATACATTCAAAGGATGCACGGAAGATATTGGTATCACAAATTAAAGACAAGTCTAAGTGAGTTTACAGATGTTACTTACGGAGGAAACAGAGGATCCAATAGTTCATATTTTCCAAACATTTTGATGATGAAGTAAAAAACATTTTGAATTACTACATTGCTTTCCAAAGTGGATGGCAATTATGTACATGGAGCTTGGCTTTTATTGGTACTAATAATAAGCAAGGTTTTGGTTTTGGTAGGTGAGGTTGAAGCATTTTATGGAATATTTCATGTTTTGTTGTATTTCCAGGTGGATTTTTGAGTGATGCTGGATGGTTTTACGCAAGTGAGAAAGTCTTTAAGGGTTGTCTCCTCTTGTGTCAAATGGATGATGTCTCATCTAGTCTTCATAAAGCCTTGGACTGTAGTGTAAGGTAAGATGTCTACATGTTTTTCATTTTACCCAGGGGTACAGGTATCAATTTAGTATTAGCTGGTGACTTCCTCACTTAACAACTGAGGCCTGTCTTCTGTCATTCATAGCAATTAGAGATGAGTGTCTTTCCAAAGGGCACAACCACATCAGCACAGGAGGAAAAACACTAACAGTCTTAGGTAGGGAATGTCAAACCACCTATTTCTTATCTACACCTGAGTTCAGGTAGGTCAGTGGTCAAACTCACTGATTTATTGTTGCTCTTCAAAGTGAAAAGGTGTGATTATTGCAGGACACCTCAAAAATATAGCCTTGGTAGACAATTTTACTTCAAATATAGTTGATATGTATGAATTATTATCAAAATGAGCTTATTGCCCAATAAGTAAACAAGATGTTTGTACTTTGCTTATTGTAGTGAATAAATAAACTATTAGAATTTGAATAAATTAAAATCAAAGAAATTTCATTTCTGTTTTTGAAAAAAAATGGAACTCTATTTAAAAAAAAAATGATAAAAGTTATATATTACAAGTAAATAAGGTGGACTCATGTTGCTATGTAAACACTCCTACATGTCATACTTTGGTCATTTTCATTCAATTTTCTAATCAACTTATTAATCAGCTTGGACAAAGTGATTTTATGAAGTTCACCAAACATGTGATCTCACTTAAACCAAATACTTGGATAACTCCAAGTTTTCCAACGTTCCTGCAAACTTTGATATAACAAGATTTGACTGTATTTGAAAACAGTTGACTGTGATACTTCTGAAATAAATTATGAAGGTGGTAACTCACTTATTTTTCACCTAGACTGCTAGAGTTCAATTTCTAGAGTGGACACAAAGAGGTTTAGATTTTCTCTGTGTACTTCAGTTTCCTCCAGTTTCATCCCACAGTAAGACCAATCACATGCTTCCGTCTGGGGGAACAAGAGTGGTTACATTAAGCTGATAACTTGTTTTATAATTGTTGTAAAAACAAAAGTTTACATTTAAATCATTGTACTATGTAGATAAAATGTGATACATTTAAAGAAAACAAATGTGTTTTATTACTTTGGTTTGCAGACTACTTCATGTCCAGAATGCCAACTGTAAATACAAAGAGGCAGAAGTAACCCGTTCTGTAGCATGCCAATGTTTGGAAATCTTAAAAGAAAGGAATGTTCCAGTCAACACCTCTGCATTTCATACTGAGTGTTGTGCTCTGCTTTTTGCAGAAAGTCTTTATGATGAGGTATTTAATTTTAGATGCTTGTAACTTACAATTAGTAACTCTGCCAAGGGTATCCCTCAGAAAGGCATAGTTCACATGCAAACCCAATTTTTTTCAATAGAGATGATGAACCCGAGATTATCTGCAGTCTTTCTCAGTCTTTTTATATATTATTTGAAAGATTTTAGAAATAATTTATATTAATTATAGTAGGACTGAAGTGTCAGTGAATTTCGTTGGGTTCACATTGTATACTAAATGCATCTTAGACTTCAGTTTCTGGAATATTGTTGATGAAATCATTGTACAAGTTTCTTTTTTCCATGTCAAAAAGTTTTACTAAATGAAAAAAAAATTATTGATTGCTTTTTCTCTTTTCCAGGCAATCAAGTACTGTAGTATAGCTGTTAAAGAACTTTCTGCATTATTACCTCACAAGGTAAGAAAAATTCTTCTTTTGAAAATTATCAATATGTTAATTTATCAAATCATTTGTTTAAAGGAGTTGACTATAATAATTTACTGTAAATTGGAACACGCTACAATTGTAAATTGTTGTTGTAGCAGTACCAGTATCTATAAGATCTTACATCAATCATAGACTTGGTACCTATAAACAGACATCATGTTAGTTCCAATTTATGTTGAAACAATGAACTGATGTTGCAAATGGTGTTAGAGGGCACCGATGAAGGCAAATATTGAAGGATATCTGGTAAATTTTTTAAAAACCAGCATTGTGTAAATTCTATAAAATAAAATAATACTGGATCTGAATTGTTATAATGCAATTAAGGAATTTTTTTACATTTCAGACAGTAGTAGATGTATTACGACAGTGTTCAAAGGTAAAAGTACTCTAATATTAAGTTTTCTTTCTTATCTTTAAGTCTTAAAATATAGTAGATTGAAATTACCTAAGTATTGTACAGTTATTGAAAATTATAAATAAAATGTAGAAGATAGCTAAATTTGACATGAAATTGACACAAACTGTTAAATCATTCATGTATTTTTCATATTGAATTTTGTATCTGTAACTCAGACAGTTGGCTCTGAGAAGTTTTAGTTGTGATTAAGTTTAAATATAAAGTTAAAGGCATTTTCATTTACCTAAAATGATTAACTATTTCTGAGAGACAGAATTTTGACTTCTTTTAAAAATCTTGGAAGTTATTTATCAAAAAACATTAACAATATACGATTGTACAGGAAATGTATAACTGGTGTTAATGGAAGCTTGCTTTGATATCAAAAAATTTCTTTTTAGGCATGTGTGGTAAAAAGAGAATTTAGTAAAGCAGAAACACTTATCAAGCATGCAGTGCATTATGCCAGGTAAAACCAAATAGTAATATTGCTGTTATCAGTGTTATAAATTTGTCACAAGTAACTTGTTGACTTTACTTGGTGTGACATCATTTAGAATTTTGGTACATCGTGTCATATCTAGTTGATAACATTAGATTTGTTTGTCCTGAAAATACAGATTTTAGTCAACATTTCAAATCTGGCTTCATTTTAATTTTGAAAAATGGAGCAGCTGTTGAATTGACATAGTATAAAAAGGAGAGATTTTGATTATTTATGAAAACTTTACCTCCATTTGCCTACATGATTGTATCATACAATTTCTTATATATTTTGTCAATTTGCAGAACAATGTTTGGTGGACAACATCCTAAATATTCAGATGCTCTCCTGGACTATGGATTCTACCTTTTAAATGTTGACTCTATAACAGCAGCAGTTCAAGTTTATCAGGTAATGGATGTTGTGCTTGTCTTAAGGATGTATGCTACATTTTGGTGGCCTAGTCAAAACCTCCTGTACAGAAGAGCTCCAAAGAATTAGAGAAGCTGCTACAGGACACAAAATTTAATATAATCAAAGTTTGATAGTGGTTTAACTGACTTTTAAAACTGACGTGAAGAAGTGTTTGGTTGGAGTTTGTACAGTAACACATCACATGTATTATTAGTCATAGATTTAAATGATAACAAAACCATATGTGAAAGAACAAATTGATGCTGATTGACTTAACATGTTCTTTTTATCAACATATTGTATTATATATGTACTTAAAGCATGGATGTTTTTTGAGGTCATATAAACCAAACAATTTTGGACAGCCAGAAAATTCTTTGAAGTCAATATAACATGCAATGGAATGACCTATTTTTTCTCTATGGTTGACTTATGAAGAAAACCGGTAATTAAGGGTATACTCCACTTTGTTTTCAGTTATCATGAATCATTTGTACTACACATTTTAATCTGCAAAATCCACCATAACTTATGTTTCAGATGGCTCTAGATATTAGACAGTCTGTGTTTGGTGGAAATAACCTTTATGTAGCTATTGCCCATGAAGATCTGGCTTATGCCTCCTATGTGCAAGAGTACAGCTCAGGCAACTTTAAAAATGCAAGGTACTTTAGAAAACAAAGGATGACTATCTCACTCTGTACTATCTTAGTTGTTCCAAGCTTCTAACATAGAAATAGTTCAATGATGATTACTCTGTTTGAGAAGCATGTCTGTTTCAGAAGTTAGGATGATAAGAGGGTACTTAAGTCAAGTTTCACACCATAGTTTCACAAGATCTGCATGAGTCTACGTTGTCTCCCTTAGATAGTTACAACCAAGGGAGATAATTTCCCCAGTTTTTCACTACTGTACTATACACACCACATTTTGTTTAATTTTGGATAATGCTGAAACATCAAATAGATCATTCACACTTCAATTTTATGACTTTTCCAGTAAAGCCTCTATTTCACCCCAGAACTCCAGGTTTTGTTTAGGGGTACCGCAAATAGAATTTAGTCGATAATTTGCTTAGAACTATAGGCGGGGAACCACACCATGATTAGAGGTGATTTAGTTTTTGGAGTCCTGCGGCCATGTATATCTTTAATCCAAACAGCTCTTAGGTAAGACTCTGTTTACTACTGCTTGTATCTCATCACTGAAAGGCTGAACAGATATAATAGTAGAACCCATGAAATAAATTTGTAAACTGCTTGTGTTTGTAGGGATCATGCAGACAAAGCCATAGAAATTCTCGGTCACATTCTACCACAAGATCATTTATTACTATCATCATCAAAACGTGTAAAAGGTAAGGAGCAATGACTATTTGGTATACACTATGAATTGTTCAGTCGATATATATGTTTTATGTACACTTGGTTCCAGTTCAGCAATAAGACATTCTCAACAGTGTAAGTATCATCCTCGATATTCACTATTGCTCTCTGCACCCCTTGAACAAAATTGGCAAAATTGATGGTTACATGTGTGACACCTTGTGGACAAAACAAGAAGATTTGTTTGATCCTTTGATGTACATCAAACAAATCTCAAGGTCACCTTATAGTATATTGTAATGGCTTTGAAGTTGGGTGTCGCTCCTTTGTAATCTCCAGAGTAGGGTATCAGTCCGTGATGGGTCAGGTTTTTTTCCTCCTGGAACCAGGTTTAGCCCAATTAAATTACTTTACTATTGCACCTTCAATTTTGCACTGACATGTACCAGTTTTAGTTTTGATGTGTATTGACATTCTCAAATTATATTGGAATCGATATTTTACAGCCCTCATTCTGGAATCTGTAATTTATACCTATGGCCCTCATTCTAGAATTTGTAATTTATACCTACGGCCCTCATTCTGGAATCTGTAATTTATACCTACAACCCTCATTCTGGATTCTAAGTTATACCTACAACCCTCATTCTGGATTCTAAGTTATATCTACAACCCTCATTCTGGATTCTAAGTTATACCTACAACCCTCATTCTGGATTCTAAGTTATACCTACAACCCTCATTCTGGAATCTGTAATTTATACCTATGGCCCCCATTCTTGAATGCAACCCGTGTACAGCCTTTATTTAAGAATCTGTTAATCCCTATAGCCATTATCAATATTAGGAGTCTGTATTATATACCCACAGCCCTTATTCTGGAGGAGATTGCTATTGACAGTCATGATAAGGAGGAGGAGAATTGTATGTTGTTGGAATCTCAAGATCTACACCTGCAGTCCCTGGCCTTAGCCAAGGCTGCGTTTGGTGAGAACAACGTCCAAACTGCCAAACACTATGGAAACTTAGGACGTCTGTACCAGTCCATGAGGAGATATGATGTATGTTATCAATTCAGAAACTGAATGTCTTATACAAGGTTCCCAGATAGAGCTTGGTTGTATAATCGATATTGATTTTTAGAAAAAAAACAATATACAATAAAGCATGCTTATAAAGGCAATTCAATGAAAAAGAGAAAAGTGACCTTTATACACAAATGGCCATTACATAGAGGTTTAAATACTATGAATTGTTTAACATGGGGAACCAAAAATTCAGCCTTTACATACAGATAGCCTTTATAAAATTGTGACCTATACGATAAGTTTGATTATATGATTGTTCTCCTCCTTTTAAGTTTGAGGTAATATTTCTACATAAGAATGGTATTGAACTTGATGTCTTTACTTAATGAACTAAATGTTGTCGTGTTTCTTCATGCATTTATTGTTTTATGACAGGAAGCACAGGAAATGCATTTAAAAGCCATAGAGATCAAGGAGAGACTGCTGGGTACTGATGATTATGAAGTTGCTCTGTCTGTCGGCCATCTAGCATCTCTCTATAACTACGACATGCGGAAATATGATGAGGCAGAAAAACTCTATCTACGATCGATAGCAATAGGTTAGTTCTGTTTTAGATTAAATGTCTACATTGTTATATTTGCGGGAAAATAACTCTTTAAATAGCATCAAGTTTCAGGATCTGATTAAGAAATCTTCATCCATTGTAACTAGAAACAGAAAAAAAGGGAAAGAATATTTATTCAGGGAATGAAAGTATATTTTGAATTAAAAGTTCATAGAATAGTTATATTAGAAAACTTTGTATGAGATTTAAAATACAAATGTATCATAGATACCAAGTAAAGTACAATCAAAGTCCTAGGCATTTGCTGTGGGAATTCTTCGTGTTATCTTCAGGCAACACAGTGATGGTGGTAAATGTCTGCAAAACTGTTGAAGGTACCATAATACCAAAGAGGACTTGTTATGTATTTTACTTTTGTTCAGTGAAACTTTAAAGATAGTCTGATCAGAAGAAATTCATGTTTACCAGACATGTCAGACAGTCACTGTTTTACTTGGGGGGGAAAAAAGGCATATATAGAACTTGTGTAATTTGTTGTTTTAGTAAAAGAAATGGTATTTAAATAGTATATATCAGTTATATTTCATATGGTTTTCATTATCGTGTTAATATGTAAGGAGAATCAATCACAAATTGAAATCCCTCAAAATTATTTGTGCAAAAATAACACTGGATGGCATTCATATTGGTTTGGTTACCATTATCAGAGTTCTGCAGAGTCCAATTCTCTCTAAAAGCTCATCTTTCACACAGAAATATATATCAGTTGTTGTATAGCTGGTATTAATAAAACATTTTCTATCACTAGTGTCATTTAACATTTTTACAGGCAAGAAATTATTTGGTGAAGGCTATAGTGGATTAGAGTATGATTACCGTGGTCTACTTAGGCTGTACAGGACTACAGATAATCATAGTATGGCCGATATGTACGCTAGTATCCTTCAACAGTGGAATCAAATTCGGGATAGCAACAATGCTAAGGAAGTAAGACCTCTCGATTTCCAAGTGTTTGACAATTTGCAAGATCTTGTACAAGATTGTGTGGCTAAAATGGACTGATTCAACATACTCTGCAGCCAATTTTAAGAATTTGATGATGTCATAAATATGTGAAATAGCAACACTTTGTATACGACTATATCTTTGAAATTGGCTGTGTTCGTATTTTTTCACTGCCAGATTTTCAATTCAATTTTACAAAAGGCGCAAAAGAAAAGAATTTATACTAATGAGAGTTTGATGTAGATGAATATGCATTTTTATTGAACTATTTACAGAATGTTGCCTGTGCAAATTGATTATGTTACAAAAAACATCCTGCAAAACATTCTCTTAATACAGGAGAAAGATTGAAATGTCATTTGTTTTACATGTAGATTGTCAATTGATGGTAAGAATACTATTGATAGGGCAGAGAGCTTGTGTGTTACCCAGAACAGATTGGAAACTTTTATCATATATCTGAGAAGAATACGAGAAACTACCTAACGGTTAGAATATTTAGAGAAGAAATGTTGAAACAAATGGAAATGGTTAAAGAAATGTTTTACACTTTGTCTGTGAAACAGTGGAATAATTTATGATGTAGGCATAGAACATGAACTTATATTTGGGCATGGAATGATGAACAAATTGTACAGTGTGTAGTTGTATCTCACAAGGAAGAGAGATACCTAGATTTTGCCACTAAAGTTTTAAACTTTAGGTCTGGTATGGCAATTGTGATTGTATTGTGTTTTGTTGTATTTCTGCTGAAACAGTAGGGTTTGGTCGACCTGTTGTCTCGTTTGCGTTGGATACATTGTCTTTTGATAAAAATGTTACGCAAAATTAAATTGATAATGCAGTTTGTTGATATTAAGGGTTATTCCAGTAACAGAAATATCTAACCCACTTCAGGACTCTGGGGTTTGTTCAGAGGTAGATATGAAAAGAATTTACTTGATTATTTGCGTGGAAGTTATAAGTTTTAGACAGGACACAGAACTATTGACAGACAGAAACGAGTTATTTTGGAGTCCTGAGGTCAAATAGCTATTTTACTGGAATAGCCCTTAAAGGTGAAAGGTGACTTATAAATAGGCTTTTGTATGGTGTTATATATGTAGATGGGAGTAATTGTAATCAGTTTTGTTGGCACAAATGGAAGTGTGCAGTGGGATGTTAATGAGTACCTCAGGGGTAAAAATCATACAGTTGGGCAGTTGACTCCTAACCTTTCACAATGGTTCAGGAAGTCATATCTTGGATGTCTAGGTGAAAAGCAAGTGTGTTACCATTGCTCCAGCAGCTAATTGATGGTATTTTGATTTTTGAAGGATGGCTTACATTTAGCTTGGTTAGAAAGATTTTGTATTTAAAGGAAAAGATTATATACAAAATCTTCAGGAATCACCAGGAAAAGTAATCACAAAGTAATTGATAATACTACATAATGATTACAGGAAGGAGGTCCTATAAGGCTGCTTATTGAATATATAGTAGTTGGTGATTTTTTTACTGACTGAGGATAACGCATCTGTTTTGCACATGCAAGAATGATGATAATCTTGACAGTTATATTGAGTATCACATCCAGTAGATGCTCATGTACTTTAAATATTTGTAAAAGTAGAAGGTTATGTCTGAATTTTGGGCAGTTGGTTTTTGTCAGATACTCAGAAAATGTTTTAATATTTAGTAGTGCTCGTAGGATGTGTTGGGTATGGCATACTTACTGAACTAATACAGAGTGCACAGTCAAGAGGTGACGGCCACAAAAATGAAACTGATTATGAAGTGATAATAAATGATATCTTATATCAATCAAGATCATATCAGCAGACAACTATTTTCAGATTAATTTTTATCTCATAACTATCCTGTTATCTGTATAACATCCATTACATGTACATAAACTTTTTATTATGACACACATGTAATATGACCTAGCTGAGTTTTGATTGGCAGGTTTCCATTTTTTTCCCCATTTTGATGTCATAACTTTATGACATCATGTCCATTGGGACATCTCAAAAGAAAGAGATCTTTGTGAAAATATCAATTTTGAAATTTTGATTTTGTTGCAATCTAATAAAGTGCTGTTTTTGCAATGTTTTGTAAAGTATCTTAAATTAGTCATGTGATAAACAGAATCTTTGATTTGTTGCTAGTTAATATGAGATTTATGAATAACACACTTGTCACAATTTGTTTGTTTTACCAGAGGCTTGTTATGAAGAAAAGATAGAAGATAATTTATAGATCAGATATGAATGGAAGTAAGTTTTTAGTTGTTAAGCTAATAAAATACACCCTTGTTGTATATCCAATTTCAAATCAATCCTTTACCATTTTCATTTTAAACATTGTACATTACAATGTGCCTGAAAATCCCTTCCCTCCTGTTTTATTCTTCATATACTGGTGCTAGTTCTTTCAAGCATTTACCAGATTAAGCGTAATACCATTTTCATTGTCATAATCATTATGATAAAATTTTACATCCACAGGTAACATATTTACATGAAGGATGCATAGAATGCAACTTGACTTGATAGGAATTTAAATATAATAGCATAAGTCTATGGATTCTTTTGTTGATGTACATGTAGGAAGTCTGCAAGTTACTGTTTCTTCTGTACAAAATGTTAAAAAGTTTATCAAAATATTGAAACTTAACAACAACTGCAAGATGTATATTCATATAAAAGTTCTTTCTTGAAGTGACTTACAATATTGTATGTGATTGACATGTGAAATTAGCTACATACTCCATAGGGTATATCAATGCTGGTGTAAAAGAAAATATGGTGGTATGCATGCATTTGTAATGACAGGTTTCTTTAAAATGCTTTTGTAAGTACAAAATGTATACGAGATAATTGCAGATAGCTACACATAATATTAAGAGTGAAATATTTGCATACTAGTACCTCATCCAAAAAAACCCAGAAAAGGTAGTTTTGTAGAAAACATTTAAATTTGGTATAAAGATGAGGGCTGTTTTTTTCTTTTCCTGAAATGAAATAAAGACAATATTAGCTTTTTTTCTTGAATTTCGTTGAATTCAAGATGAAGGCATAGCTGTATTTTTTTCCTTTTATGTTTTACATAATTTTTAAGATTTACAAATGTCACAACATTTCTGAGAGTTTAGTGTCTTTAATTTTATATAATATTGTACATAGTGATGTGTAAATATATGTAGTGGAGATGTCTAGGACACTTAATAACCCCTACTACAGAGATACAAAGAAAACAATACAAAAAGTGGTTATATCTAATACTTGTCAAGTTCAAAGAAGTTTTAATATTTCAAACTGCAGAGCTCAGGATTATTTTATTTTTGACACACCAGTACTGTGTTAACATTGATTGTAAGTATATATTTTTCAAATTTATTTTCAGTAATTTTAGAAAGTAAAATTTGATGGAACTGCCATCAAAAATTTTTTTTTTTTCATTTTAGAGAAGGTTCAATAAAGAATTTAGGAAGTCACACAGTATACATGAAAATGAAAAAAAAATTCCAAGCTTTTAGCAATTTACTTGAAATAAATACAAAGGAAGGTTGTTAGTCACAGTGTAGATATTGGTAGAGTATTATTAGGGATTTGCCATTTCCATAGATCTTCTTAGCTATAGTAATGATCCTGTCCTGCGCCTAAATGCCAATTTGCATACATGAGTGATCTGGAAACAATACAATGCACATGAATCTACAACTAAGGGTGTGTGAAAGTCAGGTTTGACTGGAATAATATGTTCAGAGTTTTTCATGTTTTATGTGCCGTCTTATCTACAGCTGCACTTATAGGCTCTGAAGGAGTGCTTAATATGAGGTTTTGTAGAATTTTTGCTTTTTGGTGATTGGGTAGTTGACATTGTTAGTCAGTAAATAATATCAACATGTTCACCAAAAGGCATAAACTTGACTGGGTGGATGAATACTTAATCAATTTTTTATTAGACTTGAGTAATTATTGAAAAAATGATGCTCAGTCGTAACTAAATTTCATTTAATATTTCTCTTCTAAAGCAGGAAGTTATTACAAAGTCATTACAAATATTAATTACTGAAGAGCAGTATTAGATTTTTTTATAATCTCATATTTTCTTGCTCTGTGATTTCAGTCTGATAAAATAGACGGATAATTGATCTTTTTCATGATATAATTTTTATATTCAAGTATCATTTTGTTACTTTTTAATGAAAGAAAAAAAGTTTCTAAAAAACCCCAATAAATGCTTGTTATTTATGAAGCTAATTACTAAATATACATTTATTCCTTGAATTAAACAGATTCTGATCACTAACAGAAAAAAAGAAACAAAGTGCAGTAGTATATTCTTATGAAGTTTTTGCCATTAAGGTAAATGTACATTCTGAAAATAAAGATTTTAAAAATCATCAGATCAAATAAAAAATCTTCATCTGACCTTCATACATCCTTAAGATTTGATTCTTAATGTTACTTTTTTATAAGCTAGGTAAATTGTGATACACCTGTACTTCTTATTTCATGTAGAGACAAATTTTTATGTCATTAGGAATGAGACGCTGGTATTTTGTGCTTCTGCGAAATAGTCTGATAACTGTTACAAACATTCAGCCATTGTTTCCCCATAAAGTGCTGTTTTCTTTGTTTTGAATGATTAAAAATGTTTTAGCCAATATGAATTTATGATCATTCATAACTTATGAGATGTAATAATCATTAAGCCTGTGATTTATTTTGTTTCCCAAATTTTTGTTGCTATGGTTACAGTCTGTTGCCAAGTTGTTGTTTGTTAAGAGCATTAGGCCTTTGTATTTGTGATAATAATGTTATGATTCTGATTCTTGCCAAAACAATATTGGTAACAAGAGCTCAAACTTTAATATAGTAATTGTGTTATCCTTGGATTTATGTTGTTGAGAAATAACTGGCAGTTTGTCTTTCTGTAGATTAAGTTTTCATTAGTATTGTGGGTATGGTGTTCTTTATTGTCAAGTGCAGTAGCAACAAACTTAAAACTTAAATTATTCAGATTTTATGAAAATCCAGTCATGATGAATCGAAATGCATAATAGAATGAAACAAACAGTTATATTTTGTCTGTAGTGTCAATATTGCATTTGGTTCCAGACTTTAGTCCGATAAAGCGTAGCCATCTTAATTGTTTAGCATACATTTTAATTCTTTTTAAAAAATCATTCAGTTTTATTTATAAAGATTTTGCTTTCGTTCAAAATTAATTTGTTATTTATTAAAAATGTTATAATCATACCATGAAAATTCTTCATAAATTTTCATTTATTTATGAAATCTTATTATGGGTATTATACCAACCTTCCATTCTCATCAGATATGTTAAATTATTAGTATTGTGATTACAACAGTTACCTGTAACACACATTTCATCGTGATCATATTTACTGTAATACATGACGGTATATTAAATTATAATATTTGCAAATTGTTGGATTGTTTTTGTACGAACTTACAGTATGGTAATTCATTGTACTTAATAATAGGTTCAATTGATACATATGTAATGTTGATAAATTTGTATTTGACAAATAGATCAACCATATGTAGGTATATAGGATACAAATAGTCTACCAGACGGTGTAGAATTTAGGTCATAACCAAGGCTTTGGCCGAGGTACTGAACCTGAATTCTATGACCAAGGGTAGATAATCCATGATGTTGTATACCTACATATTGTTGACTACTTTTCTCCCATTTCTAACACGAATATTTGGCAAACACAATATTGATCATGAAAATGCAATGCTGAATATGGCATGATATCTATGTTTGTAGGTCAAATATTTGAACTTAAGTTGGAAAAGATCAGAAAAAAGTATGGTATACCTCAAATTTTAAAGAACAATGCTATCTCTCCATATTTACAAGGTGGAGTCATTTGCTGATGGCCAGATTGTCCTGTCCAGGCAAGCATTGTTTTGATGGTCTTTTCATCGAGAAGTATGCATAAACTAACATTGTCATTTAAATTGTGACATAATTATAACAGTCACTCATGTGTGTCCTATATCTCAAAAAGACAGAGGTAGGAAAATATATCAAAATATCTATATCATGGTATCTCATGGTGCATGTCTACATGTTCAGCAAGATTTGTGTGATTAATAACATGGTAAAGGAAAATCATGTATGGAAAATTCTTATTCAAAAAACAAGATCTGCCATATGAAATTCCAAGAAATGAAGTTGTAAATCTTCGAAAAAAAAATCTTTAATCTATTTGAAATCAAAATGATGTTTAGCAATATACATGCATGTTTATAATACTAGTACATGTAGGTTTGATACTGAATATAATGTAAACTTTTGTAGTTTTTATAAAGCATGATATTTCTCTTTAAGATTTGACATTTTAGTTATTTTTATTGCCAATGTCTCAAAAATTTGAAAATTGTATACAAAAAAAAAAAACAGAAAAAAAGAAAAAAAAAGAAAATTTTAAAGGGATAGTTTGACATATAATAAATAGATCCCTGTATCGGCCATGTACATTTCAGTCACATGTAGGTGAGAACCAGATAGGGCTGCTTTCTTTTATGCAGACAAATGAAAAACTGGTTTATCAACAAATATTAATATTTTAGGAATGAATGAAAACAAACCTGCCCATTTTGATACACTTGCCACATAACGCTTTTTCAAGAAAGCAAATTAAACAAAATCAGTAATGCAGTATATCAGTCCTTATTACACTATTTAACAAACAACTCTGGTACATCTTGTCAAACCAGTAAATGAAAATGGCCAAGTCTAGTCGCCATCACTATGCTGTATTTTATTTTGTTACATATACAATTGGGATATCAAAATAAACTGATAATTTTGTAAGATGTGTTGGATTAATATTCATTCTACAGTCAAAGATGTCACACTTTGCTATGTGACTGTATTCCAACACTTTTTCTAGAATATGGTTTATATTCTGGTAAATTCTTTGTACATTGTATATCTGACAGTTTTGAAAAAAATGAAATAAATTATAACATTTTCAGCTAGACTGTTTATGTTTAAGATAATTTGAAAAAAGGCATTACAATATCTTGATTGAGAGGACAATTCAAACAAGGCACAAATCGATTCACGCAGCTATTTGTACTGGTAATGGTACTGCAGCAAAAAATTGTTCCAATGATAATAGCCTTATCGATAGAAAAATTGTTAGCAGAATTTAAATATGGTAATATATATATATGAAAAGTTTGTGATGCCATTGTTACTCTGTATTCCTTTTATAAGAAAATTCAGCAAAACTGTGTGATGTTTATAATTAAAATGTTTTTAATTTATCTTTAGTCTGATTTAAATATTAAAGTATGAAAAAAATATTCTCTTCAATGATATTGACAAATGCATACTACGTATTAACTCATAGAGAGGGTACTGTAGCAGATCTTGTCAATTCTTTGAGGTATAAAAACGTTTTTATTACATACAATGTATTATGTAGAAAGGAGAGTTTCTGTGTAGCAGACTGTCAAATGATACATATATTATGTATGTTAAACTTTGGTCTGACATACAAGATTTCACTTGAGTCAGACAGAAATAAACTAACATTGACATGCTTGAATGATTTTGTTTAATTTTATTCTTGGCCATAAGCACAATGGTAATGCATGCCTTGTTTCAGTAACAAGTACATCTTGTATGTAGATATGCGGACATAAGCAACTGTATGCATGGCCATTGATGTTCCATTAAATGTCCTCGAACACCAAGCCATTGATTTCCCCATTAATATTCAGTTTTCATGGGATGCTTTAATTGGTTCATGTTAAGGCATTTTTAATGATATCATAATTTACAGTAGTATTTTGATGATTGTTGTATCTGGTAGTGAGGGATGATGTCCCATAGTCACATTGAAACAATTTTCATAAACCTTTTGAGAAAAAGTAGTCTTTTTTTATTTTCAAACTTGAAAATTATACTAGAGGGCCTGTAGGGACCTTGTCTCAAATCTCAAAAGTTATTAGAAAGTTAATGTAGACATTGAATTCTGAATTGCACATTTTGTTTGTTAAGTGACAATTTCCTGTAATGATATTTAAAATGCTATACTTTTCCAGAACTTGTTACAATTTGGCATTGAGAACTGTACAGCAAAGGCGACTTAACTTTGTTTAAAAATTAGTGTGGAAATTAGGCTAGTTGCCACTTTATGTTTAGTAAAGGACCGTTCAACTTACAAGTATTGACTCCTAGACTGAAATTTTATACACTACCACCTTCATCAGTGACCAAAGAGGTACAAATGGAAAAAAAAGGATTGGTATGGTTACATCAGCTAAACTTTTTCATGTCTGTGGCTGATAGTAGATAATATTAATTAAAGTTAGTTTAAAAAAAAAGGAAAACAAATGTTTGCTAATTTTCACATCCTTTGGTCTGAACATCTACAAGTATATGATATTGGAGAACGATCTATCCAGTACTTTCAGATAAATATCAATAACAATTGTCAGATGTCAAAATCCAAGACTTCACATTCTCTTCTAGATCAAGATACGTTGGCCGTTTTTTCAAGATTATCTTTCTGAAAATTGAACAGGTAAAACAAATTTTAGCTGGGGATCGAAAGAAATCTTCAAGTGAGACTAAAATCTGTCCAATACTAATCACAATTTATCAAGAAAATGATTTTTGTCAAAATCCAAAATGGGTGGCAACCTGTTGGCCAATTGTTTTTTTTTTTTTTTTTTCAAAATGACTGACCTTCAAACGTCCAGCCTGAAACGGTAAGAAATATTAGTCAGGAAGCAACTTTTTTTTTATTTCGATGGTCACATTAACAAGAATTAATTTATGAAACAAACCCAATCTAATTTGATATAACATGAAACAGTGACCTTGACCTGAAATACCAATCAAAACAAGAACATATACATTGTTTATATTAAATTTGGAAACAATTGTTTGGCCAAGCCATGCCACCACAATGGGGATCATCACTTGCACATCTTTTCATATAACACAAACAGTTTTGAGGTTGAAGCGCACGGGGATGCAATGTACAGTTGATATGATTTCTTAAATTTTTCTTGAAGCAACCTTGCTCTAAACATCTTCTCGATTCCTTTTCTAGTGTACAATTAAACCTCACTTAAAAACTGCCTCAAAATAAAATCACTTTGTTTGTAAAAAACATCTCCTTTCACTACCTGGAAACTGCCTCATGTAAGTCTCCAACCAACTCAGAGGTGGAGGACAGGTGATAAATACATTCAGAGGCCTATACCACTCAGCCACTGTGGTCAGTAAAACTACTGTAAAAATAAATATGGATAATTTTTTTTCGCTACCAGGGAATTTGTGTCATTTTAGCCAGAAACATCCCTCTATAAATACAAACTCTTATCCAGTGCTATAAAAGTTAATATAGTCTCTGCTATTTTCCACCTTGTGTTAATTTCATCAGCATGTTGACACTGTTTACCTCAGAGATTTACATCTCCTAGGTTATTTGTTTTTATGATGTTAATATAGTCTTCAGACCAGGTATGTACATGTAAATATGGAGTAGCAATTGGGCCCATTCAGCGTTTATTCTGTGACAAGTTTTGTTTTTCTTGAAATTCATTTATTCCACCAGAGCAGTGAAAAAAGGATCCCTGAATCACCAGGAAATGATAGAAAAATTTCACCACAAACATATCTCTAATGGTGACTTTGGTTTTTGGGTACATATTATTTAGATTTGGTGAGAGATAGTCAGTGTAATAACAGACAGGCTTTGGTAAATGTCTAGATCTGCTGAGGTAGTGTCAGAATATTACTGCCTAACAGTCTAATCTGAGGTCACCAAGGCAACTTTTGTTTTTATGCTAAGAGCAGTTTCAATGCTCTTCAGCATGTTGTTTGTTACTATATGTGGAACATGTTAGCCACGTTGACATCATTATTTTATAATCTAATTGATATAGAAAGTATCTACAAGTATATACATATATACAGGCTTATCTTGGATTAGGAACAAATTACAAACACCTCGGTGGAAAAAACTAACAAAAAAAGTAAGACTGAATCAAGTAAATAAATTCAACAAAACCAACTTTATTGACAATGTAAGTGATAACAGCTTGAGTTAAAATCACAGTCATGAACAACAGGTTATTACACATTGAGATAATTACTATCTGGTCAGGTCTTATCTACCTCAGCCAACTTAAAAAATCTTCAACATGTGTAATTCAGAACAGGTAATTTTAAAATGGTCAAGGTTTGGAATTGATGTAATTTGTTTGATCAATGTTCATGGTCACAATTCTTAAAATTTTAGGAGCTTTATCCTGTGAGGAAGCTACATAAGTACCAGCAAAATATCTCCGTTCTTGTTCTTTTGTTACTAAGGTAAAAAGTTTTTTACAACTTTGACCCCTGTACCTTCAATAAATTATAGGTCAAGGTAATTTGTTTCTGCAAACTATCAACAAAATATCATAGTTCTAGGCCTTTGCGGTTAATTCTGATAAAGCTGTTAGTGTTTTAAAACATAATGCACAATTTGGAAACCTTTCACACAAATTATCATGATTCTGGGTATTTCACTTAATCAAGTCATATGAGAGTTTTATGTCATTCGAACCCCGTGACCTTGAGTTTGAGGCAAATATTATTCCTAAACTTTATTCTATGCATCATGACTCAACGCCTTTCAGTTGATCAGTCTTGGATGTCATTAGAGCGTTTTGGCAGATTTGACAACTGTTACCTTGAATATGAGTCAAGGTCATTTTTTCACAAAGTATTGTGGGCTTCATCCTAGGAAGCTACCCACCAAATTTTGTGACTTTGTGCCTTTTGGCTATTCAGAAGAGTTGTTTGTAGGAAAATATTGATGCCGAACATACAGCACATGGACAATGGACAACACACCATGGTATACCTTTAAGTGAAATTGGTCATTGCATCACTTGATCTGATAATGCTGATTGGTATAAAAAAAAACCTTGAGTGGTTCCTTAATAATGACACTGAAAATGTACATTTTTTGAGACTCAAATTTTGTGGTACATGTATTTCAAAAAGTCATCATTTTTCAAGGACAGGTACATTGTATTAATTCGCTTATCAAGAAGACAATGAGATTTACTATTTATAATAATAAATTTTCATTGAAGGTTTAATTCTGTTGAACTTGTATTTCCCTTTAATCCACAAATTGATAAGCAGATCGACATGAGACATATCAAAAGTATTGGTGGAATTTATGAGCAAAATTCATCCAAGAAATCAAGTGCTAATGAAAATACATATTTTTATGAAAACCACAAAGTTTGAGTCTGATGAAAATAAATATACGATTATACAGTATTTGATTAATAAGTTGAGATAAGAATTCACAGATGATCTGTACCCAAGAAAACGACAAAAATATACAGTTGATGTTGATAATGGGAGAAAGTGCTGCCACATCATTACTCACAACTTTAGTTTACAAATATATAAACTTAGACAACACTGTGCTCTCTTTTTACATCAATCATTAATTATTTCATAAAAAATGTGTTCCATTTCAGTGAAGGATAAATAAATATCATTTTGACATCACCAACCTTTTCAAAGATAAATTGTATACATAATCAATATTAACAGATGTGACCAAACATGCTATTCAAAGGGAGATAAGTCAAGTCAACAAATACTTTGTACCATTTGCTCTTTGGTGAGTTAGTTAGCACTCTTCTTTTCAAATAAATAAAATAAAAATAACAAGAGATCCCAGAGGGATCTTGGCGCCCACCATTTGAGGATCTGTTTTCAGTTCTTGAAGATTTGTTTATTTTTTTTTGTTTGTTACAGGTGTTGTAAATGTTCATCAACTGGTCTTCATTGAATGTACTCAATGATGGCACAAGATATTTTTATTAAGCACCTATTAGCAAATATCATTTGAAAAAGATCTCAAAGTATTATTAGATAGCAGTCAGTTACAGGTGGATAATGGACAATATGCTTGTGCTGTATTATTGTCGACATCCAAGATGGCTTCCTGTGGGCCACCTTGATTTCAAATCAGTCCAAAAAAGGTACAATGCACAACTAGGGACCAAGGGAAACCAATATCTATGAAATATCAAAAGGATCCATCCAGTACTTCCTCAGATATAGCAGTAACAAGATTTTACTCTCAAAATACAGGCAGCCATCTTGATTTTGGATCAGTCCAAAAAGGTATAATGCACAACTTGGAACCAAAGGGAACCTGCATATGAAATTTGAGAAAGATCCATCCAGTACTTTCCAAGAAATAGCAGTAACAAACATTTACATTCAAAATCCAAGATGGCCACCTGTCTGCCATCTTGAATTCGAATCAGTCCAAAAAAGGTACAATGCACAACTAGGGACCAAGGGGAAACTGCATATGAAATTTGAGAAAGATCCATCCAGTACTTTCCAAGAAATAGCAGTAACAAACTTTTACATCCAAAATCCAAGATGGCCACCTGTTGGCCATCTTGAATTCGAATCAGTCCAAAAAAGGTACAATGCACAACTAGGGACCAAGGGGAAACTGCATATGAAATTTGAGAAAGATCCATCCAGTACTTTCTCAGAAATAGCGGTAACAAACTTTTACTTCCAAAATCCAAGATGGCCACCTGTCGGCTATCTTGAATTCGAATCAATTCAAAAAAGGTACAATGCACAACTAGGGACCAAGGGGAACCTGCATATGAAATTTGAGAAAGATCCATCCAGTACTTTTCCAGAAATAGCCGTAACAAGAATTGTTTACGGACGGACGGACGACGGACGCAGGGTGATTTGAATAACCCACCATCTATTAGATGGTGGGCTAAAAAGTTGGTGGGATCTGGTTCAATAAGGTCACCACATTGGGTTGAGTTATATAACATCAATACATCTATATAACAACTGGTAGGATCTAGTTCAATAAGGTCACCACATTGGGTTGAGTTATATAACATCAATACATCTATATAACAATTAACCCTTTTCTTTGACATATATCTTTATAGTACATTAATTGGATCATAGAGCAAGATTCGGGGTATTCTGCTCAATTAGAGTGTACAATAGATGATATTTGGTCATTCATACAATAAATGTAAATATGACATTGTATCTTGTTGTTTATAAATGTTATAAGTTCGTTAAAGAGTGAAAAATAAATAAGAGGTTGTTTACAACTATCAGATATTATACATATATCAATCAGTGTTAAAAAATTATTGTTTATAAAAAAAACCATTGAAATCTTAACAAATGATACAAACTGATCACTGCCCCTTGTCACCTGATTACTCCCACTTCCTACCCGTTCTACAAAAACATCATAGACTTAAAATAGTCAGAAATAACTAAAAAAATTACAAATGTAATGAATAATAAATAAATGGCCTTATATTTAAATAAGCTAACACTAAATTGAATTAAAATGATTTATCTTACAACAATACCAAAAAAAATCTTTTCCAACTTTAATCAATCACACTTGTTGGCCCGAACAGAAGCAAGGGGTATTATTATGGGAGGAAACTGTAGTAAGCTGGGAAAATCTACATGGCCAGGTACTAGTGATCCCATATATATACCATTAAATGTCGTTCCAGGAATTGAACCCCGAATGTCTATGTTAAAGCGAGTGCATCACCTCTGCACTACTGGAACAACCAAATTCAAACCAAGCAAAATTTAAGGTAAAAATGAAATTTAATTATCAAGTTTAAACACTTTAAAAAGATGGATGGCATGAGATGGGCCTCCTGTATGTTGTTCAGTGAGGTAGCCACCAGGAATTACATGGCAGCTCTGCCTCAGAATGACCCTGGCTGTTCACTGGAAAATAAACCTAGCTAAAAAACACACTGGCCACTAAAGCACAATAATAAAAATCCCTTTCAGTTTCTTGTTCTTCATGTGATCATGTCACATACTAATAACACAAAGGAGGTGACAACAAACTCCTTATATCAATATATTACAGTTACTGGATACTGTATGTATATACATGATATACATACAGTATTCAATGCAGATAGTGTATTAAAAAGACCCACAAATAATGAAAATAAATTATTTACTCATTTTATGTATCTCATTTAATGGATTTCACATCCATTTTAAGACCTTTCAGTGGAAGAATACATCTTTTTACAACCTGACTAGATCTTTTACAAATACATGATCATAATACAATGTACATGTAAAATAAAATTGCAAAGTATGTTTACCAATTATTTGTATACAATATGTATATTAAATTACCATTTCGTTTGGTTTTTCATCAATTATCAAAATATTTAACAGGTATGCAGTCTACTAGTACATTACATTGAGTAAAGAATGAAAAACAACTAAAACAGACTAGTGAACTTTAATAATACTATTTCAACAAATGCTTCAGTAAAATGTAAACAAAACGCCGCGAATAATGCTGCGTTAAGTGTATTATGAAAATGTAAAGCACAAATGTAATATTCTTAAATAAGGGACCGCAAAGATTACAATCATTCACCAAGTTGATGATTCTGAAAATCTCCAAATGAAATTGAATTGGCGTTGACCCCTATATTGAACTACAATATATAAGACCTATCCGTTAACGCCCCCTGCATTCCCACACGCATAAACAGTAGGTATCATTCTTGGTGAATTTGCAAAAGTTGGTGAATTTTTCTTTTGACCTTTTACCCTTGACTCATAGACACCTTAATCTAACAAGTAGTAGAATTTAATGGTATGATACTATAGGGTAAGTTGTGTGAATAAAATCTGTTGAGGGGTTCACCAGATATGATTTGGCATGGGACGGGACAGGAAGGGATGGAAATGGGAGGCATATTGCTCCCCCACAGAATTGGCAATGGCTTAAAAAGATGCCTTTGATTGTAGAAACTAAAAAGCAACATGAATACCTGATAGTTGATTGTATTATGTGCCCATTTAACCCAAAACTCAAACCCAGCAGCTGTCCTCTATCTCAAATATCATCCTCCAGAACCAGAAACAAATCAAACACGTGATGAGTCTGAGGCGTTGCATACATGTGGTTAAAATACCTTAACAAAAGGTAAAAAGTAATTAAACAATTTCATACATTATCTTATAACTATTTTCATTTTTCATTTGTGAAATCCACAAATTATCCTATAACAGTTGCCTGTGTAACCATACACAATTCCTAAATTACCCTATAACAGGTTCCTGTGTAACCATACACAATTCCACAAATTACCCTATAACAGGTTCCTGTGTAACCATACACAATTCTGAAAATTACCCTATAACAGACGCCTGTGTAACCATACACAATTCCACAAATTACCCTATAAAGGTTCCTGTGTAACCATACACAATTCCTAAATTACCCTATAACAGGTTCCTGTGTAATTATACACAATTCCGCAAACAATCCTATAACAGATGCCTGTGTAACCATACACAGTTCTGAAAATTACCCTATAACAGACGCCTGTGTAACCATACACAATTCCACAAGCTTCTCTGTTGGTAACATTAGCTGGTGATATTGTAGTAAGACTAGCTAGGGCATATAATTCTAATCATTTCTATCATGGTGAACAACAGTTTCCATCACTGGTCCTATATGGTACCACTTCCTGAAAGTGTTTTCCATCAGAGCGTCCACGGATTTATCTATCGGCTTGATGATAAATGGTATACAAGCCAATCCAATTACTGTTGTAATCCATTTCCTGGTTGAAATTGGAAACTTGGAGTTCTTTGTGAAAGTGTATGTACTTAAAGCACACAATCGGTTGATAGTGAACCCTGGTATGATTACAGAGGCAAGCCCCTGCCACAGTAATGTATCAAGGACTGCCCATCGTACCTGTGATGATTTCTGTCCCTCATTCTCCCAAGTTTTCTGAAATTGATAATAGATTTGAATTTAGTACTACAACAAATTTAGAATTCAAAAAAGGAAATGAGCCCATCTTCAGTTCATTTTTATTCTTTTTTAATCAAAAGAAATATTAGTAAAAACAAGAGATCCCAGAGGGATCTTGGTGCCCACATTTGAGGATCTGTTTTCAGTTCTTGAAGATTTGCTTATTTTTTTTTTTTGTGTTACAGGTTTTGTAAATGTTCATGAACTGGTCTTCATTGAATGTACTCAATGATGGCACAAGATATTCTTATTAAGCACCTATTAGCAAATATCATTTGAAAAAGATCCCAAAGTATTATTAGATAGCAGTCAGTTACAGGTGGATAATGGACATGGTCTTGAATCAATATGATAGAATATCGAAGAAAATATGCTTGTGCTGTATTACTGGCGACATCCAAGATGGCTGCCTGTGGGCCAACTTGATTTCAAATCAGTCCAAAAAAAATACAATGCACAACAAGGGACCAAGGGAAACCAATACCTATGAAATATCAGAAGTATCCATTCAGTACTTCCTCAGAAATAGCAGTAACAAGATTTTACTCTCAAAATCCAAGATGGCTGCCTGTCTGCCATCTTGATTTCAGATCAGTCCAAAAAAGTACAATGCGCAACTAGGGACCAAGAGGAACCTGAATATGAAATTTGAGAAAGATCCATCAAGTACTTTCCAAGAAATAGCAGTAACAAACTTTTACTTCCAAAATCCAAGATGGCTGCCTGACGGCCATCTTGAATTCAAATTAGTCCAAAAAAGGTACAATGCACAACTAGGGACCAAGAGGAACCTGAATATGAAATTTGAGAAAGATCCATCAAGTACATTCCAAGAAATAGCAGTAACAAACTTTTACTTCCAAAATCCAAGATGGCTGCCTGACGGCCATCTTGAATTCAAATCAGTTCAAAAAATGTATAATGCACAACTAGGGAACAAGGGGAAACAGCATATGAAATTTGAGAAAGATCCATCCAGTGCTTTCCCAGAAATAGCAGTAACAAGAATTGTTTATGGACGGACCATGGACCACAGACGCAGGGCGATTTGAATACCCCACCATCTGATGATGGTGGGCTAAAATATGCATGTCAAATATTCTTAAACTAATGGAAGCTCATTACCTCTGGAACATGTGTCCATAGAAACAAATTACTAAATCTGGAATCAAGGTACTTTCTCAATAGAGTATATCAAGTCCATTCCCTTGCTTACAATGCATGTATAGACTGTTTCTATCAGAACATAACTGTAAGAAGCTTCACCAAGGTATCACTAACTTCTATTACTTTAACATTATAACGGCTCTCTGTGATATATCATACAAAAACAAAGTTGGTGGCCTAAATTCTGTGAGGCCACTTTTCTAATTTTGTAATCAGGAAAATCAGAAAATTCATTTAAAGTAGAACTGTTGTGAAGAGTCAGTTCATTTCATATACAGTATATTCACAAATCTAACCTTTCATATTTAGTTTGAAGACTTCCATATTTTTACATTAATTTCAAACTTATTAAAATATATGTAAAGTATCAGTATGTATTCTTCATATTAGTAACTTCAAAAATCAAGTCTTATACTAATAGATAGAACTTCTTGCTTGGTTTTTTTCCTGAAACTTGTCGATGAAATGTACTTTTCTTTGTCTTAAATTTTTGAATTTGCTCAAGTTGCCTTGTGAAAATTCCAAAATGTTGCAATGTCAAAATCTGAACAGTTGAATCATTTACCCCATTCCTCAAAGTAAATCCAATCAAAGAATGGTATCTGTACACAAATGTATCTGACTCTCATTCAAGAATTTCATTTTATAAAACCTGGTACAGTGTTCTCATATTCAACTAGTACTAATGTAAATATCTGGTCTCCTACTTCCCAGGCCAACCACTGTAATAAAATTGCCAGGTTGTTAGAGTGACAACATTGCAGCTAGAATTAAACCATCCTCAATAATCCATGGGTTACAATCACACATGGCAAAATTGGAGTCACAAGCAAAATAATTTGATTGGTCCCAGGAGAAAAAAAACTAACCAATCACCGACTTTTGAAGATTACAAAGGAGCGACCTCCAGCTTTAAAGTCATTACAATAAAAACCGCTATTCGACCTTCAGATTCATTTGATAAAGATCAAACTAGTCTTTTTATATTGTCCTCAAGGTGTGGCACATGGAACTTTCAATCTCGCTAAGACATTTTACATTGGTGCAGAGAGCGAAAGTGATTGTAACCCCTGGAGTATTGAGGATGGCATTCAACTTTTACATCCATCGGTTTTTTCTTTCTTTTTTAATGAAAAAAAAATCTAAAGGTTCAAAGACAAGAAGATGATTTCGTATAAAATAATAGACAATAGATAATAGAATGAAAAAAAAAATGGACTGACTTACCTCTGAAGCCTCCTTGCCTTTATGAATGGCATCAGCGACTACATATCCACTAGCAACACCATAGCTCAATCTCACAGCATTTATTGGAATTTGAGCTCGAAAAGCTTCTCCAATTTCATTCGCATAGCCTACACGAAAAAAAAGAAGAAGAAGAAAAGCGTGACACAAACATACCAATTTCTCTCTGAAACCTATGAATTGGTCACCTTGTACAACTTAAATGACCCTAAGTCTTACTTAGGCTAAGTGACAGATCCATGTTCAATTACCTAAATAGCGGACAGGTGTGTCTCTGAATATATCAGTGCCTCCCTTTCTCGTGTTCATTTTTGTGCCGTGGTTTCACTCATCATATATTAATGTAACACTACAGCCGCCACTTATTGTGATTTTGGATTGATCTGCTTTCCCTTTTAACCTCGCTTCACCATGTGCACCGGAAGTTTATAAACGGAAGTTGGAGTGAGTGGCGACATCTGTAAACAAAATAGTTGAAAGTTGTCGTTAGGTATCGGTTGATCGACATCCACATTTAGAAGAACAGGTAACTGGGCTTCTCAAAGCACATGCTTTTTCAGTATTTGTGAGCGGTGTTAAGAAATCCTATTTTTTTTTGGCAATGGTCTAAAATCTCATCAATGTGAATCATCTACAGACGTAACAGAATGCATTTGACAGGGGCACATAACCCGGGCCGGTAGAGTGAATTAATGAATAACAAGTACAGAATATAAAACTAGTGCAACAAACGACATCCTAGCAGACCTATTGGCTTAGGAACACCACATTTCTAAGTTACCTCGATTGAGATTTTTTTATGATTATTGTTATTCGCAGTGAACTAAACTTAAAAAAAAATAACTGTTTTATTGATCTGTGGTACGATGCAAATCCCTTATATTTAGCTATTATTACCATTGTCACCTTCAAACATTCGGTAACATGTTGCAGAGTTATTTCCCCTTATACTCGAGTACCAGGCACAGTTTTACTGCATATTCCTTCATATAAAGGTCAACTGTATATGTATATCATACAAAAAATAATATCACGTGATTCCAGTTTTATCAATCGACCGTGAAAAGTGATGGTAAAATAAATCAATAACTTCGTTTTTTTCTTCTTCATATTATTTCCTTGAAACTTTTTTTATATCAATAGAGCTCTGGACCCAGTAAATTGAAACTATGAATTCCGTTATATATATAGTTACGGATACCGATGTACAAAAACAGGTTGAAATGACTAGTCGTCTTTGCTGCATCCTTAGATGAAAGCTTTATCAAGCTCTGTCTGGAGAAAAAAAACTGTTCCTTAAACAGTATCCATGCTGTTGGAATAACTCCAAAGTCTCATGAAGATTGTTCAGATGGAGATTTTTTATAAGTGCAAAAAATATATTATAGCCTCCAAACCAAACACCTTCATTAGGCCTTTTATTTGACTTATTGTGAAAATTACCGTAATAAGGTTATTGAATTAGAGTTTCTAATTCTTGTAAGATTTACGAAAAATCAAAAAGTATCTTTTTTTTTTCATTTTACCGAACCTCTAGTTGAAATGGAAAAAAGCAAATCGTGACGAGTTTTAAAAAATGCACATGAAATTCAAACGAATGTAAGATTCCCCCCAAAAATATTTCGCTAATTCGGAACCTCAATTTGACGTCCTTTATTAGTGTGAATAATTATATATAACCAAATATTGGCATCAAAAGAACTATTGACTGAAGAAGACCACGCATATCTTATATTGCTTGTGCTTTTACACAATGCTAATTACAGTGTATAAAATGCGTGTGGTTGATTCGATATTCTAGGCATTGCCACACAATATCGACAACTGATCATATGACAGACGAATTCAAACCTCAAGGTTTCGCCGTAAATGCAGATTGAAGATTATGGGGAGGTTTTACGGACATCATAATGACCCTTATAAATAAATATTCTTATTCCTAGTGCAATCTGATGCTGGACATGTTTGATGCCGATAAAATATCTGTTGGTCCCGATGTTGTTTACCATATTTTTCCCCTTTGAGAACATGACAGTACTTATCTGGATTAACCGAGATTTACATGGCGGGTTTCGTCAATGATGCGTACCATACTGGGACAGTCGGTATTCTTCTTCTTATACTTTTTTAAGGATTCTCTGTGTAAATCTTTCTTTTATTCAGATTTTGTCATATTTTCATCGAATTTTTGTTTGCGTTATGATTCTGTTTATATATCGGTATTTTCGTTGTTGTTTCAAAAGAATTGCACGCTCATTTGTTCTTGGTTGGTTCATATATAGCTTCATCAACAACCAGGACCATTTAACTGATAAACTATAATATATACAACAACGTAAAAGAGGTCTTGATTTCATTTCCGAGTCTGCGACATCTGTCTAAAGTTTCTCGACGTCTTGATCCTCCAGTATCGTCAGGTAAGAGTGTCCACTTCGCCACTATAATGGCTGCCCTACCGCGTCCCATTAGTTTATACACTGATTCCAACATGTTTTGTAATTTTGAAAAAAAAACGAACAATTTTAAGGCTAACACCGACTGGTCAAAAGACAGTTACTTTTTATTGAAATAATTTTATACCATTCCTACCTAAACATGATCAGTTGTCGATATAAAATGCAAAGAATATTTGTTTAAATGTAATGATGGCGATGACAAAAGCCTCTGCATAATTGAAATCAGGCGCCGACACCCTAAATTGATAAATGATACAGCTAACAGGATTAGGGAACCAATTGTTACAATAACACATAAAAAAAAAACACAATTGAAAAAAGAACAATGAGATGAGTGTTCCTGAACAGTACGGGTTTTCTTAACATAATATAAACTGGTAAGTGACAATAACACCGCAACACATTTTATATTCTATGAGATTGTACTTGTCCTTTAACGGTCTTCCTTAATATACAGTATGATTCTCAGCTCCAGTAAGATGGCCTGAATATTGATGAATATTTCTGTTGCGGAATATCCGCTAGAAGGATACGCTTACCTATTGACTTTTCTGATATAACACAAGAATTTATAAATTTACAACAATATCTTTTGATTGTGAACTGATCTCTTTAATCGCTCTGTTTTGATATAGCATGGAAGAACCCGAGATGAAAGAGACTGATAACTGTGCAGCATTCACTGTCGACTTTCAAACACGACCCCGGTCAAGCAAAGTCCCACAGCGGCTAGTTAAGTACATGTCGGAGCAAAACCACTCGAGCAGCAAACTTTCAAAGGATGATCTTGACAAGAAACAGCTTGACGCTGAGCAAAGGAGGAAAGTATGTACTTACTTAGCATACGTGCTTAACATTTTTTGTCTTACTGCAATTGCCGTACAACATATGTGACTGTGAATAATTTTTCCATGATACATAAGCAAATCCATGCATGTCAATCTGGGGAGTTATTTAAAAGTCCACTGGCGATGATCATATTCAAGACACTGCTCTAGAAGGAAAACGCTTAAGATTTCTCAGCTAACTGGTTTGTTATGGTGTGAATACGACATCATGTCCAATAGAATTGTTTGCAGTCTGCCAAATTTGTTATAGAGGAATTTGACTGGATCTTCCGTACTGCCACAAGCACTTGGAATAAATATGGAAAGTTCATTCTGGATATTTTACTCGTGATTCTAGATACACGTGCTTATGGTCCCATATACCTCAGACTACAATAGAACCCAGTGGAGATCATGGGCCGTTTTTTGGACGAAAGACATGTATTGCTAACAATTTTACTTCTCATGGTTGTCAAGAACTTTAGTGGGGTTAACTGGTTGTAAATCAATATATTTTGTCTGATTAACAGTTGTCTTGAGTAGCTCTTTTTCAGTTTAAAATACAGGACTCCTTCGATCCTGGCCAACAATTCGGATCTCGGATTGGTATTAGTTTACATATCATCATTTGTAAAGTATGTAGTGTTTATAGAAACAGTCTGTAATAGGAATGGATAAAACAACATCATTATCAGATGATATCAAGCTAATTTTTTTTCTTCAGGACTACGAAAAAGCTAAAATAGACAGAATCCGAGAATGCAACGAAGAATGTCACAATATTGATGCCAAAGTACAGATTTTGCTTGCCCAGGATGCCAAAAGTCATGGTCTTCCCGGAACCGAACACATTAAAGCCATGTCAACTAGGCAGGCCATCATGTCCATCAAGTCTTTAGCTAAAGACTTCTCTAAACTGACCCCCGGAATAGATTACAGTGAAAGTACGACTCCTGTGATAGATCAAAATGAAATATTAACAATGAACACCTCATGATGTTGTCTGAAAATAGTTCTAAAAACTGCAATTAATTTGTATCTGATATTAATCTCTATTCCAATATACGTTCTTTGCCTACAAATGTGCTTCAGTTAAGTTTGTTTGAAAATATTGACTGCCATTTTGCTGCTTGTTCTACGTAATGTAACCGTTTGCATTTTCAAAGGCGTATTGTCCGTCCGTCCGTCCGTTAAAGTCAAATTTCATACAAACAGCATCTTCTAAATAATCATTTAGTTTGCAAATGTAATTTTGACATCAATCATATTTTGAAATAGCACTCTTTCGGTTATTACTTTTGACACACTTTCACTCTCAAATAATTCACTTGTGACTTTTTGGAATAACTATATAACCAAGGCTTTGAGCCTTACTAATTTCAAGGCTATATTGTAACACAAGTCCAACTATTTTTTTTTCAGACCACCAAGAGATACTTGTAAGTAAGGCATTTGTTTAATCGATTGTTTTAATATTTTTCCAGGCAATATATGTGAAATATGTGATTTATGAAACCGTATCTATATATCACTGAGTCTGGGAAGATGTAATCAAAACTGTATGAATTTATAAAAGAATGGTTGATAAAAGTATCTTCAATGTTCTTGAATCGGCTTCAAAGCGAGGGGTTGCCAAATGGTGCTAGAAAACCCAAGAACAACCATCAGACGTTACTGTTTCGGTTGGAATGATTTCAAATAGTGGACTCGCTGCCATTACCATGAGGAAACGTGTTAGAGTAGGTAAACTGAAGATGACAAATGAGGTTGTGTTATGAATTGGGCGTGGACAGGAAAATGGTGATGTTAAAATATGTGTTTTCGATATTTATACACTTAAAGCTTAAAGCTGTTATAAACAGTGTACAATGTCAAGTTGTTTTTCACATTAAATGTGTTTTACAGTCTTTATCACTGAAGACATCGTCAGTGTACATTACGTCTGATGTCGTAAGCTGCAAATGCGTCGGACTCGTTTACATTACCGACTCAATATTAAGTAGAATTTCCAGAACAATTTGAGAAATCTGCATTGAATGAGATATAAAAGTATACAGCCTGGTTATTGCGTTTGTTATGTAATGTGACCGGGTGGAGTGTCGTCTCGCTGCTGTTTCAAGGTTTTATGACATTTCAATGTAACAACACTGCATTTACGTCTGTCAGTGACCCCAATATCCGTGAACACCATCAAATGTTACGGGGTTTAGGTTGATAAATAGAAACAGTAGCCAAGTCGATATTTTTTTTATGAATGTTTTCAGTTATATTTGTATAAAAACTCCAGGAAGTTTTTAGTCGGTATAAGTACTTGCAATATATATTTTCATTTTACTTGACGTTAAAATGATATGACGCTCTCTCTTCCAGATTACCTTGCTTTATTTATATGTTGTCTACAATTGTTTATCGATTGGGAATTGCTATGAGATAAATAAATTCAGCTATAGTGTTTATGCGATGGAAAATACTATAACTGGGAAAAAAACTGCTGAGCAGACGCATAGTTGTAGAATTTTGTAGATAGACTGACAATAGTGAACACGTGTGTAATTGTTCCTTCGAATTCGAATTGTTCCCGGAATAGGAGTATGTACATGTAAATCTCTTATGCTATGTGCATGGTAATTTGATTATATTTGTGGTATGTGTTTTTGAATATCTTATGCATGTTCTGTTCAAATGTCAGTGGTGCACTGCGTTCTCTTTTAAGGAGTATGTCGCATGCGTTTGAAAATAAAGGGGTTTTCTCTTCTGTTGCACTATACATGTACAAAATGTACGTATTTTGTAAATGACAAAAGTATGTAATTTGTTTTTTAAAAGGTTGATATTTTGATGCATTACTTTTCTGGAATGAAAGTTGTTCTTTATGATAGAATCTTTTGAAAATCTTGTATTTTTCCTGTATCTGTGGATATCATTTGGTGTTAACATAGGTATTTTTTGCCCTCGTCATTTTTCGGAATTGAGACCATCTGAATTCTACTCAATTACAGCAGAAGAGAAATTATGAGAAAAGTTTACATGTTCTGGTATCTGGTATGTAAAATACAAGCAATTATAACAACATATTGAATAGAATTTCGCTGTAATGCCATTTAATGTTTATAAACACCACACTTTGTTTTTAACCTTTTGCGAAATACCAGTTATACGAGTTTGGAATAAAACTCGTGTAAAAGTTTCCCCACATACAGTATATGTGATCACTACAAAATACCACTGATATGTGATAATAAATTTTAAAAGAAGAGAAAGCCTATTAACGATGCAATATTCTGAGCACATAATTGCCCAGCACATTATTCGGCAAATGACATCATGTTAGGATATTATTTGCCTACTCTGGATCGGTTTGTCCAAGCTTTTACAGGTTTGTCCACGCTTTTGCTGGCGCGAGGTTCCCTTTTCATAACAATGCACACAACATGTCCCTGAGGAAGTTAGCAGGGTAAGAACAAAATGGTCATCCTCCCCTTTGGTGGTGTGATGAGGGGATCATCTCGACACTCAACAATGAAAGATTATTAGGTTACAAAGCCTGTACTTATACGAAAACTTCTTTAAAGATAAATGTGTATTTTTATATATGAAAGTATTTTGTTTTGTGATAACCATTTTGAATACACACGTACAATAATCTTAAATGAAATAAAATAAGACAAAGTAATTCAAACAACTGATTGTGGTCTCATTTCATTGCTTACCAATTGCCTCGATGAAAAAGTATGTGCGTATCTGCTATACCAGAGGTAAAAAAAAAATATCTAAGAGTAAAAATTGTATCCAAATTACCAACGTAAACAAAACATCACTAAAAATCTGTCTCATTTCAAACGATAAATATATTCAGCTCACACAGGACACACGGGTATACGCAAAATAATTTATTAAATTGCATCATACAACTGTTTCATCTTTATAAACTATAAATTTTATTTATTTTACAACAATTGCGAAACAAGTTTTTTCACCTTATAATAATCACTCTTGTCAGCCCGGATGTAAGCGCGCAATGGGGTCTTATTGTTTCATCTTTGCGGCTGTTGTCAGTGATACATCGGCCTTACGTATCCAGACAAAGTGCAAACATCTCCCTAATTGAAAACGGAGAGGACAGACAAGAAGTTAACTATTTTATTGTCGTGAAGTTGTTTTAAGTAAAAAAATTAAGATGTGATTTTCCTTGAATTTTTCTCAGTTCGTCAATTCTGCATTACAATATCGACAATATTTATAGTTGAATGCCGTTTACATTATTTTTTTTATTTATTATGAGAGTGATATTACAATCTCGTACACTATATACGTGGACAGATAAAGATGACAGTACTGAGTTCGAAACATCACACACAAATTATTCTGTGTTTACCGATTGTCAATAGAATTATGTTTCCTTAGTTGATATTTTCATATTTTACTTCGAAATGTTATATTTATTTATATCCCTACCCAGATTACAAACGTTTATCATACATTTGTGAATAAGTTAGGTAATTACCATATCACGTATTCATATTAACTAAAACAGTGTATATTATTTAACATTATTTCACCCTTATTGATTAAAAAAAGGGAAAATAATTTAACTTTAGGTAGTGTTCGTAATTTAAGCATGTTGGGACACAGTATTGAGTATAGCACACGTAACGACCACATACATTTGGAGTTAATAGCCTCCGGCACCTTTTTTATTATACATTAATGGACAGTTATCTATAAAAGTAATCGACTGTTCAGTATGGACAGAAACGTTATCGTCTTAACCAATGTGCTACACGTGTACAATACCTCCCTAAAAGCATTAGACATGAGGCGAGTTGTGTGATACGTGTACTTCTTATAGAGGACATGATCACGATGATGATGTTGACCACAACAATTAGTCTTGGAGACTTTTCCAGACAAATTTCGTGTTATTTCTGATGAATATTGAAGAAGAACAACCTTTCCCTTAACATAATGGAGATAAACAAATGGTTCTACTGGTATGTATTGTCACTTAGTATTATACGTGGAACATCGGTATTTTTCTTCTCTTCTGATGTTACGTTATGAACTATGAATGAAACATGACATAACAAAATGGCCGCCTCTGTTTGATATTGTCTTCCATATACGGAACTTTAAACCTGTCTAAATATACGTTTTCTGAGTTATGTGATAAATAGTATCTTCAATTAGTTTTGATTTCGTATCACATGTCATGAAACTCGTTTTAAGGTTTGCTCTCCAAGGCTTGTTAAAAAACATATTTGTATAAAATGTATACAAGGGATTGGATACAAGATATCAAAATTGTATTAACCCCTTAGTCAATAATATTGAGCAATATCAACAAGATGGACAGGTATATAAAACATGGCACAAATAAGGTATATGGTGGAAGAGAGAGAGAGGGGTGGGCGGGAGTATATCAACACAACACCGGTATATAAACATACAAAAGGAATAAAAAGCATATGCATTATTTTAATCCGACTCAGGTGGCAATCCCTGTTTATAACATTCAAACTTATAGAATGAAAACTCATGTACGATCCTGTATGTATGTTTATGTAATTCTAGACTTTAAATCAACATCCCTAGATTTGTATATGTTTAAAGTAGTTACAGTTCTTTCCTTAGATATGCTATACATGTATTAACAAAGGCATAGACAATAATTATAGAGGAGTTGGAGATTGTATCAAATATACCGGTTTAATGTGTGTTTTTCAGGGATATATACGAAAAAAAAATCTCTCTCTTTTTCAATAATCTATGTTGCAAAGATTGCAATCGAAATCAATTCGAAATAAATATCTCAACGAATTAACATAAACGCTATGTAATACTTATTGTTTATAGTCTGTCTTATTACAATTCATTTACGAACGTGTGATGCAGAAACTGCGAATGTTACTTCGTGGGGCTAAAAGGATGAAAAAAATTACAAAATTTTGATTAAATGTAAAAACGTTTCTTGTGTGTTTAATTTTGGGCAATCTTTAATGTCCGAAAAAATAGCGAAACTAAGAGTCCCGCGAATAATACCAACTAAACAGTATAATATCATATGACTCATTTCCATGCTAATGAAATGTATTATTTTATTGAAGTGATATATGACCCATATTATGCAGTAACTTACAAAATAATTTACGGGTATAATTCTCCTATCTTTTTTCTTTTATATATATTTTAGGTCTGCGTTCTTTACGGCCTGCCTGTTGCTGTTCTCGCTGATCATCCTTTCAAGTCATTCTCTGCGTCCAACATATTCTACGCCTTCTTTTAAAGAAAACAGTTTTCGTGAAAACTACGTACATGACAAAAATCGGCAACAAAAAAACGATGGGACTTTTCCTCGTGTTTCGGATTATAATCCCAGTTTGTCCCAGAAAGATAACTCAAGCCGACAGGGATTAATAATGACGAATCGTCGAGACATTCCTATACACCACGTGGCTTTTATAAAGGTCCACAAAGCCGCTAGTACTAGCGTGCAAAATATATTTTACCGTTACGGGTATCATCATAACTTATCTGTTGCCCAACCCAGGTTCACAACCGGACTCCTATGGAGCTCGCCGGTAGTACGTGAAAAATTTCTCCCGCCACCAAAAGGTCAAAAGAAGTATGACTTAATGTGTGTGCATTCTACATACAGCAGAACAGCATTCGATAAACTTCTTCCAAATGACTCCGTTTACATAGGAATTGTACGAGAACCGTTCAAACAGTTTGCGTCCAGTGTAAACTATTACCAACGGAATAGGGTATTGAATATTCCAGGAAATAACCCTGTGCGTACATTTCTGACTGACGCACTGGGCAATCAACGTTTCGTGTCGACTTCGGATCACCGTGTATTTAACACACAGTCACGTGACTTTGGAACACCATTGAAACTTCTTTCGTCTAAATACGACGAATATCAATTTCGTAGATATCTCCAACAATTGGATAAAGAACTTGATCTCGTTTTATTGGTAGAGCGTTTTGCCGAGTCTATGGTCTTAATGAGAAGGCTTCTGAAATGGGAAGTGAAAGATATCATCAGTGCTAAACTTAATGGAAGAGGATTTCCTCCACGTTTTCAGTTTGGTGTTAAAGAAGAACAGCTTGTTAAACGAATAGCCCAGTATGATTACGCTTTATACGATTTCTTTAAAAAGAAATTTCAGGAAAAAATTGAACATCAACCTCCAGACTTTTATGATGAGCTTGCTTATTTTAAACAAGCAAGTAAAAGATATAACGAATTCTGTATTTCTTTACAAAAATACAACAAGGACACATCTGATGTGTTAAAATTTGAGGAAACCACGTGGAACAAACCATTTACAGTGACAATTGCAGATTGTAAATTATTACATATTTCTGAAAGGAAATTTTCTATCTTATTGAAATCTAATATGGGATATTATAAAATGAAAAATGTAGGATAGAAAATATAAGGGATTTCAATCTACATGATGTATATCATAACACGAAATGTGATGTAAAGCAGCAACAATGAACAAAGATGGCAATAAAATCAATATTTTATGGATGAATGTGGTATGTAGCGTGACTTGCATACGTCTTAGGATTACTATACAGTTCAAACACCGTGCAACCATTTACGCCAAAATTTTAATTATATCATTCATGGAACTCGGTGATAAAACATACTAATACTGGCAAGAGTATACTGGCTAGCATTACATCGATAAGGGCCAGTACATTTTTGTTGTAGTATTTTACGTGGATTTCTTGTGAGTAATTTCTATATATATATTTACAACTTTCGTGAAATGTCTTGCGAAGATATGGATATCAGAAACTCTTACGGGATATATTTCAACAGATTTTTTCCCATATATAAATGATCAAAGATTATAAAATGTTGTCATTAGTTGAAGGGCACTATATTTCGTTATTTTTCGAAGATGGTGGTATAAAATCACGTCAAAACAGGCAAAAGCAGCGTTCTGTTCTTTTTTCTATCTTTCTTGCTTGTTGTTTTGTTTTTGTAAATACTAAAGTGAAAATATATAGAATCACATAGCCTACAATGTACAAATGACAATTGAATCAAAACTAATTACAGATAAAATTTAAAGGATCTTTGTAGACACACGTTTATTTATATGTTAAACGTATATGACGTCATATTACCTAATTTTGTATTAATATTAAAAATTGGTCGAGTCTTTATATATATTCAATATCTTAATGTATTTAAATACGTTGTATTTCATTCGGTTAATAACTCATTATCATCACAAATGAGTTATTCAATGTTTATATATCCATTTAATGTCGACGTCAAAGTCGTATTTTATGATTTTTTTTCTCAATAAACTAACACTAAGACCAAACCCTTATATCAGGCTGCCAAGTCAAGACCCGTGCTACAACGACTACGTAACTCAATAGAATAATGGGAACTTGAACAATTGTGGGATGAATGGAGACTTATGGCGTCTTCATGAATCTTTTGAAATGCGAGTTTAAAACGAAAATGAGTAGAAACAAAGCCAGATATATTTCATCTTTTAGTGTTCTTGTACCTTATATCACCACACTGTATATCGATATACCTAAACGAGTCTGAAGTTGGTTCCTAGTTCCGTGTAACAAAAACGGAACCGGAAACCAGACTCCAGTTCCGTGTAACAAAACAGAACTGGAAACCAGACTCAAGATCCGTGTAACAAAAATGGAACCGGAAACCAGACTCAAGTTCCGTGTAACAAAAACAGAACCGGAAACCAGGCTCAAGTTCCGTGTAACAAAAACAGACCTGTGAACCAGATTCCAGTTCCGCCTAAAACTGAGAAAATCGTTATAAACAGCCGCCTGTAATAAACTCGGAATTTAAGTTTAAAGATAAATGTTTGCTTTCATTAAATGGTATGTCCAATGCACATGGTCTTATTTTAGTCTGGTACAAAAATCGAACTTTCAGGCACAACATATGACGACCAAAGCCTTCATAAAGAAGATCGCACAATTTCTAATCTTACCAAACCCTGTGATCACTATAACAAGATATTGTTTTACAGCCAACTTATTGAGAGGGAAGGGAATGAAGGGGAAGGAGGTTAGAATTATTTGTAGTCATTGCGATGATGGATGGGATTAACCCAAGAGAGGACCTACACTCTTCGAAAATCCATGTGAAGAATGTTTCTCAACCGGAGATCTCCAAAAGCAAACGACTTTTGTCTATATCCTGAGGTCGTACTTTCAAATGTTTTACACATCGATTATATTATAATATATACTGGTGATTCTTGTCCGTGTAAATGTTTTGAAATGAAGAAGAAGAAGACAAGAAGATGAAAAACTTATGCACCATGTCCTTGAGACGCTGGTAAAATTAATTAATTTAGAAAATGATGAATGGAAATCACAATTGATTTATCTCTGTGCTCTTTCTCGTATCATTTTCATGTTCCTTACACCTTTCCTGGAACAAAAATGTCGTGCTACAATGTGATGGAGATTATATTACAAGCAATAACATTTTCATAAATTACAACCTGCCTCAGTTTGTCTTGCAACATTTTTTCGGGTTTGTAATGTATGTATTTCGATGATTACACGGTCACCGGCTTCATCAGACAAATGACCAGTTTTCAGCGCTGACGTACATAGTGTACGAGATGGTCAGGAATTTTCCAACTATTTCGGCTGTACTATAACCCTATGTACCCCAAGGTCGAAATAGTGCGACGAGATGGTAAACATATTATAGACCAAAAAAAAAATACACAAGATGGTAACAGCTAGTGTATTGTAGTCAATTCGTCTACGCTACGCTAAAATTGGTCTTTACAATCTTTATGCAGAAAGGATATATCTGGTTCTGTTAATTTTCAGACCTTCACATGTCTGATTAACTTGGTTTTCCCTCTACATCGGATCCTTTTACAGCTAGCTGGTTACCGAACGGTAATGTCGCACCTGGCAGAGGTCACGTTCTACTTCCCATTTGAAGCCGGAAACTTTAGCACTTGAAACGGTTGCCTTCACATAAATCACTTCGCATATCAGTGCAACTCAAAGATCAGTCAATTGCAATGAAAGTCTTACATCTCTTTTCCGGTATCTAACAACAAGTTAAAGTTTAAAACGCCACCTTCAGTACATGTACATTATACTTTATATTGTTCACATACACGTACGTTGAGACCCGTTTGCTCTAGAGGCTATTCTGTGAGTGACTCGTGTAAGTAGCCTGCTACCGGGGACGTTAACTACGTCCCTGCTGCTACGAACAGTGGAAAGATTTTCGTAACTTAAACTAAACTTTAAGATAAAACATAGCACATTATTGTAAACATTTTTTTTCGCGAAATTTCACTATGTTGGAATAGACATACAGGCACGTACAAAGCGTATATATGAGCTTGACTTGATCTTGATGACACTTCAAGACAAGGCTTAGAATTTGAAAATGGTTTAAATTTGACACTTTGAATTAACGATCTAACATAAACACCATGGTGCGAGTGTGGCATGGTGAAAGCAAATTTGCTGAAAAATGACTAGAGACTAAAGAACCCATCAAAAAAGTAGTACAATTTTGCTGTCAATTTTTTTTTACTGATTATCATAACAATGAAGAAATGCAGGTTAATGTGTTTTCGTAAACACACACAATAAAAAAGAAATGCAATAACGAAGTAAATAAATAACACTCTATCTCTATACATATTTATATTTTTCCGGAAAATATGTTTTAACCAGGTCCGTATTTTAGTTTTGCTCAGACACCGGAAGCAGCGTGTGCTTTCATTTTCTGTTCATTTAACGTTAATGCAGATGTTAGAATTAGGTAAGATTGACAATGCCTTAAAACAATATTATAAGTTCAAATCCCCGGGTAGTACTCGAAAATACTTAAGTTATGAAAGTCGTAAAATGCCAAATTCTGTTTATGATGAGCATGAATGCGAAATGATGATTGTTTTACATACAATAATGTACATACACAGGCACTTGAATAGTGTCGTGTACTCTACCAAGGAAGTAGATAACTGGTAACTACGTCCCTGACTATACAAAGTATATTTCATTGTAATAGATTTTCAATTTTACTCGAATTATCATACCACAGGTATCTGAAATTCTGATTGTAAGCTAAGAAATACATACACCATGCAAAAAAAAGGGTGTCGCAGTAATTCTTATATGATCAATGTATAAATATTGCTCACTTTACAGTCAGAATTTTAAACACCCGTTGTATAACACTGCAAGTAAAATCCATAATCAATAATTTACTATACAACTGTATTCAGTGGTGATTTTACCTGACTGTTTTAAATAGCAGATGCAAGCACTAGTGGTACATGTAAATGGGAAAATCTCCCAGAGATTTAGGAAGTCTCGAGATTCATTTCATAATGGCTCGTTTTAGCATCGTTCATCGTACAAACACACAATGCTGTTAAAGAGAAGAATTGGGAGATCAGAATCTTTCGTGTTCTTCCTGATATATATGTTAACATGGTTAATACATGTAAATTATAAAATTATGATTACATTGCTTGTATTTTATAGATCAGTACTGTTATTCAGAATGGAAGATGATCAGGCAGCCCCAGAAACTCACTGTAACATCACACCTGACACACCAGGAAGTCTTATAGACAATGGATTAGGCAGTTCCTCTAATGACAATCGCAACAAGATTGGAGATAAAAGTGTCAGCGAGCATTCAGAGGCTAGCAGCACCATTGTCGAAAAGGATGAAGCTGGAAGTATCAAAGTAAATGAGGATGATGATGCTGAAATGAATGAAGATGTTCAAGATGAAGATGAGAAAGACGAAGAAGAATCCAAAGACCAGGATCCATCAGCATCATCTAGGACTGACTTATTCACATCTGAAATATTCAAAATAGAAATTCTTAACTTACCCAGGTTTGGATTTAAAGTAAGTACTGTATGATCAATCAAATTGCTTTTAAGATATCATTCTTGTCAGAATATGTTTTGAAAGAAATGCCAGTGACTTCCTAGCAAATAAGATACTAAATGCCAAATGATGATATCCTCTAATGCCCATATTTGTATAAATCAAAGCCTTTCTAGTAGACATTTTATGGTCTTCAATCCTTAATCCATGTCATCAATTCAGAAATATAAATCCTTATTTTAACAAATTTCAATAAAACTTATCACAGATTTGCAAGTATAAAAAGACTATATTGAACAATGATTGAATTTATAGGAATTTAATTGTTCAAGTGCTATTCAAAAGGAAATTTTTCAAAGTAGTAATCGAAGCAAATGATACACATATTACTACAGACTATGGATTTGGTATGGCTAAATAAGATTTTCTGGACATTTTCAGGCATGCCAGGCAGGTTTTGCAGTGACTCAATGATATTTGAGATCATGATTTCCTTTATTACAAACAGCAGAGCTTAAAATCATGATTTACACTTTATAATTTCTAGTTGCCAGGTATTTTCTGTATCAAAATTTTTTTGATAACTTTTGCAGCAATTAAAGAAGCGGTTGGCAACTTTAGATGTGAAACCAGTAAAAATCAAGGCGTTAGAAAGGAAAGGTTTTGCTTTTGCAACATTTCGGTATGTACAAGTAATAGTTTTCAAAAACCGTTTTGACACAGAACACTAACATTCTGCTAATATACACATTTATTGATGTGTTTTTAATATTCATATAGAGGATGGGTTATATACATGTAGTTACATTACAAGAAGAATGAGTACATAAAGTTCACACAATAGTGTCATTTTATTGCCTCGTAAGATCAGAGACATGGCAATTATTTAATGGAGGGATCATTTATGATTTTATTGGTTGATAATTAATTAAACTTAAGTAATGTATATACCAATAATCAATTAATTATGGAACAAAATTAATGCCTTCCAGACAGATTTGTTTACATGCAAATCTAAAGGTTGATGTACTAATATGTTTGTACATGAATTTAATTTCTTCGAAGTATGAAATGCTATGGATTTTTACTTTCAAAGACCAGTTTCTTGATCTGTGACATATAATTAATACATTATTGATTCTTCAGATTGACAAAAGAAAGATTGATCTATTTTAGTATATGTTTTGTTTTAATTCTGTTTTCCTGTCTCTATATAAACTTTATAGAAGTGAGGAAGAGAGAGAGGATGCTACTAGAAAGATTACTGGCCATGTCTGGAAGGACCGGAAACTCAAAGTAAAGAAAGCATCTGCTACAATGGATCCCATTGTACAGAAGAGAAAACGAGAATTAGAACAGAAGATAGGTAGGAATAGGTGCTCTTTTTTCCTTCTAACACTTGAATTAATCAACTGATTAATTAATGTTTATTTAATATGTGTATTTCCGATATAGTGTAACTAAACTTGATTCATACTATGTTCCTCCATGTCCCCATGAGAGGAAGATTCGTTTAAAATAGTTCAGATGGGAAATAATTATATCTGACATCTTAGGCAAAAGCAGCTGACAGATTTTAACCAGATTGGTATCAATTATATATCCTGGTATCATACTTCAGATGTAGCATGATATTGTGAAGCATGAACCAAACACCAGAAATGGTAGAACTGAAATTGTTCCCAACTTCTAAAGCCCTGAAACACTTATGGAGCTAACCGAAATTGTTAGATTCAGACCTGATCTCTTTCCTGGCACTCTTTAGCAGGAAATAGAAAAAATTATCATAGGTTATAAACAGGAAAGTAATATTTTGCACATCCTCTGCAAAATGGTATATTTCATCAATATTTAGTTGCAAGCATCCTTGTGGCAACGTTGATGCAGAAGATGGGCAAATTAGTTCAAGGTTGAAAATCTTTTTGATCAAGAAATAGTGAAATTCATGGAAGTAAGAATAGATATCTGATGACTGACAGTTCAGTGGTAACCCATGGACCTCTTCTTTTGTTTTTTCAGATGAACCTCCCAACAAAAAAGATAAAATGGAGGATGACCTACCTCCAGAAATCAGGTAAGAAGTTTAACTATATCATATCAGGGGAACTTACTACATCAGCTGGTGCAGCTAGACTACTGTCAAATGTTAGAAAATATCACTGTGTCAGGTTGAAAACATCATAGTAACAGTTGAAACACACTCATCATATTGAGTGAGAGGGGCTGATTGTATGAGATGAGGGGAGAGTGCCTCAATGTGGGAGGAAGAGACTCATTGTGTCCAATGGAAGGGAGTGACTCATTGTTTCTGGTAAGATGATAAAAACTTATTGCATGATGTGAGATTAGAGAGACTCACTGTATAGATTCACTGTATCAGATGAGAGAGAATTGCTGTAAGTTGCAAGAGAGACTCACTGTATCGGATTAAGAATTGATGTGTCCGACGAGAGACGCATTGTATAGACTCACTGTATCAGATGAGAGAGACTTGCTGTAAGCTGCAAGAGAGACTCGGATTAAGAATTGATGTATCTGACAAGAGACTCACTGCATCAGGTGAACGGAATCAGTTTCAGTTGAGAGAAACTCACTGTATCAGGGAGAAGAGACTTGCTCTACCGCTATGTATGAGATGATAGAGACTCGCTGAAACAGATGGTAGAGACTCACTGAATAAGATGGTAGAGACTCCCTGTATAGACTCGCTGTATCAGATGGTAGAGACTCCCTGAATCAGACGAGAGAGACTCCCTGTGTAGACTCGCTGTATCAGATGGTAGAGACTCCCTGAATCAGACGAGAGAGACTCCCTGTATAGACTCGCTGAATAAGATGGTAGAGACTCGCTGAATCAGACGAGAGAGACTCCCTGTATAGACTCGCTGTATCAGATGGTAGAGACTCACTGAGTAAGATGGTAGAGACTCACTGAGTAAGATGGTAGAGACTCACTGAATCAGACGAGAGAGACTCCCTGTATAGACTCGCTGTATCAGATGGTAGAGACGCACTGAATCAGACGAGAGAGACTCCCTGTATAGACTCGCTATCAGAATAAGAAAATAGCTGACGAGCGGCACTCACTGTATCTTCATGTTTCAGATAAATACAGAGAATAATTAATTTTTGTGGGAAGAATTTAGTAAATTGTCCCTTTTTGTCTTCAACGAGTCTGTATTGATTGCTTGTTGTCAGTGGGCGCTTTCACACAAGCAGTTGAAACGGTTAGACTACTTGAACCTGCAAGAAAAATCAGGTACAGTTCAGGACCAAGGCTGGACTGCAGAATATTTGGCATATGCAGTTTGAGGGGTTCAGCCGTACCTGTCCGAAACTATAGTATGAGTGAAATATATGGTACTTTTGACAGGATATTCCAAAACTGTGTATTTTTAACTTTACTTATATCAGGTCCAACATCTGGTACAAGTGCGTTCTGGTATAGTGGAATAATTCCAGATCACCTGAACTGTTTCAACCGGGTTTCACAGCCTACATGTTTTGACAGACATTCTATATATAAACTATTTAATCAGTTTTCTTCTGTATTTGTTGAATTGTAGATTGAAAAATGCAGTATCACCATTGTGGAACGTCCCTTATGAGGAACAGTTGAAGGTACAGTGTATATTTATCATGTAGAAATATCTTGGTATCACCATGTGTCACCAGATCAGGATCCTATTGTGAAGTGTCAATATACTTTATAATTACAATGTGACACGGCAAAGAAAGACTTGTGTCATAAATGTTTTCACCTTTGACTTCTATTACATATTCAATCCCATGAAAATGTCACTTTTACTGATTTTATATTAACTTTGTGTTGCTGTCGAATATTTCAGACGAAAATGGAAGATATGGTACAAATATTGAAAACACTGGCTAATCGTATCTACAGAGAAAATCCGGAATTCCGAGAGTGGCTGAAAACCCAGAGGTATTAATATTAATTTATCATCAAGATATCTGAAATAATTGGTAACATTAGAATAATTTACTGTCCATTTTATCGTGAAGGAAAAACACAATCATTCTTAAGATTTTTCTATTTTTTCCAGGTCAAAGTATGATGGTAAATGCTGTGAGATGCTACCCATAAAGGCTTCTGTAAGTAGTATACTATATGAATCATGTTTTCATACACTACCACAACAAAGTTGGGAGTTGGGGGGAATCTAAAATCAGGTTGTCAGTCCGTCTGTCTGGTCATCCATCTGCAGACGCAATGATGTACAAAATGCTTCTCCTAAACTACTGAATTGATTTCAACAATAACTCACTGGCTACAATCATGTTCATCATAGTTGTGTGCAATCTATATGAAATTTAGCTACCTGCCATTTTTGAAAAGTTATGCCCCTTTGGAAACCCATAGATTTTATTTTGATTACTTAATAAGTGTCCCATCTTCAGAAACAAGAAAAAAAGTATTGACATGTCTGCATAATCTGAATTTAAACCCCAATTAACTAAAACTAGGGGAAAATTTGAAAGAAAAGTAGATTTTCAAATAACATTCAATTTATAGATTGAGTCCTGTTTAAAATTAAGATTTTTTAAAAGTTTTTCTAGCTATCATACAATTCTTTGTCAATTGTAACAGAAGAGTAGTCCTGTAATTTTTGTTTATTAGCAGTATTATTATTTTTGCTGCTTTTCAGGAAAATCATGAAATGGACTTTGGATATGTTTATTGATCTTTTTGAAGTGTCTATTTTACCATGATGTCATACCATCTTGGAAAATATTGTACAAAAAATTGAGCCCCTCGAAAATAAAAACTATAGTAAGTCATCCTAAATGTCAGCAGCAATGTCCGGCAGATGTGACATATTGACAGTTATAAGGTGTTTTAGTACTAATGATCTGATTCCAATTATATGTGTCTACTCCTCAGCCTAAGTTAGAAGCCTACAGAAACAAGTGTGAATTTACCATTGGGAAGGACATCAATGGCTTAGGTCTGTATCTGATATACTCTAACAAGGTTGATACAGAGGTACCTGTGTAGAAATATTGCTCAAGAATAAATATCAATAATAAATGTATTATTATATATTGAAAGGATAAAGAAACATAACTTTTTAATGGTATTTTGGATTGAATATACTTACTAGCCATATAAGAAGTAAGAGGAATATAAGGGCACGTTACCTTATCCTAATATAAATGTTAAAAACCTGTCATCCATGACAAAAATCTTATTCAAATTCAGTACAACTAAATTACAGATATACTGTGACTGTACAAATGCATGCATTCTTTTCCATTCAAACTAGTGTTGATTTCCGAATATCACAAATAAGTATCGCCAATACAGTTAAAATCAATAATTATATTAATTGTGTTTCAGATAATACCGTGGGATTTCGGTATGGACTATATAAGCAGGGCAACAAAAGTGTTGGGGAACCGGATGACCAGATTATTATGCCAGATTCAATGAAGAAATTTGTTAAGGTAACAGTGTTAATGAAGAGTAAAACGGAACATTATACACATGATTATGCTTCAAGTACGAAATTTATGTCAGGTTAATCTAATTACGGCTGAAACAAAGTGAGAAGATATCCTGAAGAACAGATTATCCCTATGCTGGTATATGTGTGTAATTCAAAAAACTTGCATGTATCGAGGGATTTTTGTCAATATTTCTTTACATTCATAGCTTTAATTACAAGATACATTTATCAATATATTGATGAGTGGTACATTACAAATTGTGTAGCTGTATGTTTAAGCTGAAGTTTCAAATATTTGCAATTTATACATGTAGCACCAAGTAAAATATTAACTACAATGCACTGTGAGAGATTTGTGTTATGCAATCATAAACAGAAATGGAATTTCAACAAGAAAATATTCTGTGTATAATCTTGTTATTTTTAAATGTTTTGGCAGAGCTTTCAGAAGTTTATCCGTGCCAGTGATTACGGTGCCTATGACCCCCAAAGTCATGAAGGCCACTGGCGGATACTGACCACTCGGACTTGTCAAGGCAGTGCTGACTTCATGGCAATCATAGACTTTGACTCCCAGAATCTTCCTAAGGTTAGAAACTTTCTGTACTTGGCTTTGGAAAGAATCCTCATTTTCAATTTTAAAAAGGACTTTGTAGGATATCATGCAAAAGAAATAGCAGTAATTTCTTTACTTTTATGAATTATTTCTTTTACAATTTTTCTGTTTATGAGGATTTTTTCTTTGAATTTTTACTATGTTCTGGACCTTTTTTGTGTTTTGATGAATATACTTTCAACATTCGTTTTATTCTGCATACATTATCATTAAAGTTTTAGGAGTGATGTTGTAGAACGTTAATATTCAACTGTTGGCTTACTGTTTTTCGCAAAACTTTCATTGATTTTTTAAATAAAATTGATTGAAACTTTTCGTGTTGAGTGCTGCTAGTGAACATGATTGATTGAGGGAAGGAGACCATATAGTGTTATCCATGTCTTTTGTGCAGTGTCTTCTCCTTAATCACTCTAGACTGATGAAAAGGTCAGATATGACAATATATCAGTTGAATTTATGTTTCAGGGTTCAGAAGACCAGCTAAGGTCAAAATTACCATTCATAGAAATTCGTCAAACATTGATACTTAAAATTTATGTATGTCATGTAAAAAATCATGTTTGTCTTACAGACATTGGTTAATATCTCCAGGTTTTACACACCCTGTCATAGTATGAAGGAACATATAGAGTTACTCGAGCCTGTCAGTTGCATCCTGTCATAACCCTTTGTATCCCATTCTGAATCACTGTCTTTTCACTTAAAAAATGTTTGTTCTTATATACCTCATATACATGTAGTATCATTAAAGGTTAAAAGGTCAAAGGTCACATGGGACATTTTTTGCAAACACTGATACATATCTTTAAGACATTTTCTAGTTTTTCTGTGTATTTCTACTTTATAAGATTGCAGCCAGTACATGTATCTGTAATCCTGTTTTAGCATTCAAAATTACTTGGATTAAATTTGATGTTTAAAACAGTTGTACATTTATTCAATTTCATGAAAACAGTGATGACTCTAAATCTAATTGAACATTTACGATATGAACATTTTCCATGTATCCTGGTGTAAATCATATTACAAGCGACCAATACCGGTATGCTGTATGTATCTTATATAGTAATGTCAACCACCAAGTACAAGTGGAGTTTTCTCATTAAACAGCTGATGGTCCATGTGCAGTAAATGTGCTGCTGAATCCTCACGAATGAAGAAGTGGATAACAATATCTTCATTTGTTATTCTTCATTATCTTTTAGGAGGAACTAGAATGTTTAAAGAACAAACTGAGGGACTATTTTACGACAGGGGAAGGATGTGACTGTGGAGTGACCAGTCTCTTTTTTCACACTTATAAGGATAGGTAATTATCTGTAAGCGAAATTGTTGGTTTCATTCTCGTGATGTATAAAGTAATAAAATGACCAGTTATGAATATAAAAGTGCTGATTAAATGTTGGCAATCTTATATCTGGTTTTAGCCTTCAAATCCAGTATGACAGTATTTTAAAGGGTTACTGAGGAAAAAGACTTTGTATATTATGGTATAGTTATCACAATAGTATTTAGATGTTCTTTGTTATGTGGGGCCGTGAAGGTTGGATGGTTAAGGTGTATGACCATCTTTCTCACTATCCTCCAACCTCTAGGTTGCGGTATTGAGACCTATATGTAAGGTAGTTGCAATATGCTAGCTGTAGGTTGATGGTTTTTCTCGTGGAACTACAGGCTTTCTCCACCACCCAAATCTGGCATGTCTTATATGACCCTAGCTGTTGATATGACGTAAACAAATCTATATCATGTGTGAACATTATTTTAACTACATTAGATCCAAAAATTGATAATGAAATACAGAATCTGATGAAAATATGAGTTGATTCTAATTTTATTCACAATTCAAGCAGGTTATGAATTGACCAATATCAAATTGACCTGACAAAGTCAGTTGAGATGTGGACACTGTCTAGCATCAATTACAGAAGTATGTTTGTACAAAGTAAAGACTTGATATAGTTGAAAAACATTGTAGGAAGACCCATATGAATGTTTTAATACAAAAATATTCAGATAAAAAAAAATTGATTGTTTTGATAAAAAAAATATTTGCAGATCAAAAACATTTTACTACCTTTGCACTTAATATTGATCATTCTCAAACTCTTTGATAAATTACATTTGTATTGCATTGTAAAGGGTAAGTGTTTTTATAATGACTTGTAGAAGTGTAATTTCTGGTATATTCTCGACCATATATCAACTTGAATTCATCTTTGAATTAAATTCTTCTGCAAGCAAGAAATACAAGAAAAGAAAAGCACACCGCAAGCTGTATTATAAAGGGATGTAAAGTGTAATCAATGTCTTGGAGCCTTTATAAACACCTTATTAGGTAAGAATAAGTACAGACCTTAGGGGCCCTTATAACTCAGTCTGTAGAGCATGACACCACAAAGTCTTAAGTAAAGTCAAAGGTGGATGCTTTAAAACTACATAGCCATGGTAGATTGTGTTTCATGGGATGCAAAAAACAGACTGCTCTGTGCTTTTGTGGTTGTGTCCTTTGGGGAGATACTATACCCAATTTGCTCTGGACAGCATGTGACTGGCCTCTAGTTCAGTGAGGTAGCCATCTTCTAATAAAAGGAGAACCATATGGCTGTTCATGGGGTGTTAAAACCAAGCGAACTTACAGACGAATCTTTTCATTATTGACCTTGCAAGGGAGCCAAGGTCATATTTTTGACAAGTTTGAAACCTTAAGAACAGACCTAGACTAACTTTCAATGTCAAAGAATTAAATGATAAAAATCTTTCAGAAAAGTCTATATAATAAACTTGTCAAATTATTTGTAGAGTTGAGGCATTTGGTCAGTACTATATGATGGAATGGCCAGAGGACACAGTCTCTTTTTTATTTACAACATTGACCTCAGAATGGTTTCATGTTCACTGTGTCAAATGTATTTAATATTGACATCCAGATGGACCACAAAGCCCAAAGTCAAGATCTTTGGCTTGTTGCTGACAGAGGTGATGAACTGTTTGATTCTTTCAATAAACAAACTTAAAACAAACTAGTAAGTTATCAGTGGTCTAAGAATGCTAATGTTTAGTCAGTAGCCTGCTGGGATCAACGACTATCAAATTAAGGATCAAAATGAATTGCTAGTTCAGTGGAGTTCTTTAGGTGTAGGAATTAATCAATTTCATCTCTACTGGCATTGATTTTCACAAAGTAGGAATACTTATGAATAACAGTTGAGCGATATACCTGGCCCTTTAGGCCTTTTGTTTAAGCAAACCTTATATCATATCTTTGTTTTGATAGCATGTTCTTACCATTGTTATCTCCTCAGGCCAGCAAATCCACCAGACTATGAGCTACTGATGGGAGAAAAGGTAAGACTCTTGGTTTAACAGTGACCACCTACATGATATATATGTTGGTATGTATATGTTAATGTAAAGATATAAATAAAGCACATCTGTAAATGACATTGTGGTTTGTTTGAAACTCTAGTTACAGTCATGTACAATCTTGGAAGGGTAGTGTTCACAGATGAAAGGGCTATTACCGAACAGGGCAACTTTAAAGTGTGATCTCACTGAAATGTCTAGACTGTACATGACAGCATGCAATGTCAAGTACATATCTACTTGTTGAGGTCTTTTGCCTGGATGAGTACTTAAGATATAGACTAAGTACATTACATCTTAAAAGGCATTAGCTATATTTTATCCTGCTATTATACGGCCCAGGGGCCAGTAGATAACCTCCTCAAGGGGCTTATTTTCCGACAGAAAGGGGCCATTGTAGCTAAGTCAGTTACATGTAGAACATTGATGTACGTGATCTGGGGTGAAGATCCAAGGGGTATGATTTGATGCTCACTACCCTTGGTGGTGTGTGTATCTTTGAGAAACAGGCCGGTCTGTGGTGTCGTGGTTGTGTCCTTGGGTAAAGCGTTTTGCTTTTACTGCTTTGGATGGGAATGTTACATGTTTAAACATGTGTGAATGTTAGCCAGTAATTATTACAATTTCTGCTGTAATGGTAACCATATTGAATGCTATTGTTCCAATTACATGTATGAAAATATTTTAACTTATTTATAAAGGTAAAAAAATTCTGAAATTAATGTTAAAAAATTTGATTTTTAAAATTGCATTCATCTAATAAATGTTGAAGGTGAAATTATTGTACACTTCCATAGATATTTTTATAGTTTTGCACAGTAAATAAAAAGTGTATGCTATTAATGTTTATTGTTATCATTGTAGTTTATACAAGAGGAGATGCTTGGCATGAAGTTTCGGATATCCCCTGGAGCCTTCTTTCAAGGTCAATGGAAAAAAGATACTGTAACATCTAGACTGCAGCTTATATATATACAACAACCTTTAGACTGTTGCTTCTATACCACAACCTCTAGACTGCAGCTTATATATATATATACAACAACCTTTAGTCTGTTGCTTCTATAACACAACCTCTAGACTGTTGCTTCTATACCACCTCTAGACTGTTGCTCCTATACAACAACCTCTAGACTGTTGCTTCTATACCACAACCTCTAGTCTGTTGCTTCTATATAGCAACCTCTAGACTGTTGCTTCTATACCACAACCTCTAGACTGTTGCTTCTTTACAACAACTTCTAGTCTGTTGTTCTATACAACAACCTCTAGACTGTTGCTTCTATACCACAACCTCTAGTCTGTTGCTTCTATATAACAACCTCTAGACTGTGGCTTCTATACCACAACCTCTAGACTGTTGCTTCTATACCACAACTTCTAGACTGTTGCTTCTATACCACAACCTCTCGACTGTTGCTTCTATACCACAACCTCTAGACTGTTGCTTCTTTACACAACTTCTAGTCTGTTGTTCTATACAACAACCTCTAGACTGTTGCTTCTATACCACAACCTCTAGTCTGTTGCTTCTATATAACAACCTCTAGACTGTGGCTTCTATACCACAACCTCTAGACTGTTGCTTCTATACCACAACTTCTAGGCTGTTGCTTCTATACCACAACCTCTCGACTGTTGCTTCTATACCACAACCTCTCGACTGTTGTTTCTATACCACAACTTCTAGACTGTGGCTTCTATACCACAACCTATAGACTGTTGTTTCTATATCACAGCCTCTAGACTGTTGCTTCTATACAACTTCTAGACTCTACTGCTATACAACAGCATCTAATTGCTAGATTTCATATCACAGCCTCAAGACTCTAGCTTCTATACCAAAACCTCTAGTCTCTAGCTTTTATACTTTGACCTCTAGACTCTACTTCTTTATAAAGCTGCTTGACTGTTACCTTCTACACAACAGCATCTAGATACTAGCTCGTATACCAAGGCATGTAGGCTCTAACTTCTATGTATATCATAGTATCCACAATCTACCTTCTATACTACAACTTTTAAAGTAATTATTAATAAAGTAATATTTTACTGAGAAAGTGTTTTTTTTATAACAGTGAACACTGCTGCAGCAGAGGTCCTGTACACACAGATAGCTGACTGGTGTAATGTTTCTTCAGATACTACTGTCCTTGACATCTGCTGTGGAACTGGAACCATTGGACTAAGTGTTGCTAAGGTGACTTGTCAGAGTTTGAAATCTGTTATTTATCTGCTTAATAGTCTCTTTCATCCAAAATCAGTGTTTAATTCAAATATTTTTAATTAGGTTTTGTTACTCCTAGCCAGAAATTTGAAACAGTCACACCTGACAGACACATCAGGGTCTTGTTGAAACACTATATATATTATCAATGATAATCCTTGCATTATCTGGCATGCTATAGTCATATTTTGATACTTAGTATCAAAAGATATTTTTCTTCCTGAAACAATGTCATCAATTTAAAGAACTTATTTCTTATGATTTTTTTTTATCAAAAAACAACAGATAATATCAAAAGAATCACAATCCAAAGCCAGATTAATAAAACTAGGACAAGTTATGGAAAAAAGAAATATTTACGTGGAAACCTTGCAAAAGTACAAGGAGTATAAGACCAGGTGTTTTGGAAATTAAAATCATCAAGTGTAATTTTCAAGGGCTTACATTGCAAAATTTCCACAAATCTTTGATTAAACTTGCCACCCATCAGTTCTCTTCAAACATGTACTCAGATGACTGTTGAAAATCTCTGTGTAAAGACCAAATGTTGTTTACTGAGACATTCAGCTTGAAATCAGTGTGAACAAAAAAAAACATTCGTAAGAAAAAATACTCTAAAATCATACAAAATCGCCAATACAACTTTGTATTATGTTTAAACTAGAGTTTTCTGAATAATGTACTCATGAAATTCACAAGTATTAAAGGTGCATATCAATATTAAACGGTGAAACTTGTGGATACATTTAGCAGTAAAGTGTAAATGACCAGTCCCAATTCTCCGTTATGATGGATATACCTTAATTCTCTGATTTGTCTCCGATTCATCAATCCCTTGTGTATTTTAAACTGAATGTCAAAAGGATTTACTCGTTTTTCTACATGCATGTATTTCAACGACATATAAATCAATTGAATAAGAATATCTATAAATAAACTTCTGAAATAGTCCGTTTTTTATTTGAAAAATTATGATCAAGTTATACCTACATCACTTTAAACTCAGAGAGATAGAATGGAGGACTGAATACCGTTTTAATTTTATGCAGTCATGTTTACAGGCATAGATAGAAAAAATCTTTATCTGTAGTAGGTTTTGTGTGGAATGAATTCAGTGATGCAAGCAAATACGCTGTAATCAGATTTTGAATCCTTATTCAAAAAACATCTGTATTCCTGTGTATGCCTTTTATTCTTATTCCTCTGCATTCCTCTAATTCTATCTTATTCTACTCTATGTATGTCCCAAAGATTCTTGGACTGATAAATTGCTAACATTTACAGAAAGTGTCACGTGTGATCGGCATAGAAATGTGTCAGCAGGCAATCAGTGATGCTAAAGAGAACGCCAAAATAAATGGTGAGTTTTGTTATCAGTATAGAAACCAAATGCTAATACGGGGAGGGTTTTACCACCAAAATAAATGGTGAGTTTTGTTATCACTAAAGAAACTTCTGCAGGGATAGGTATTGACATAACTTAAAGTAAGTGCTGATATACTGTATTTAATTATGAGTTTGATTAATGACTTTCTTATACATACAGTAAAGTCAACATACATCTTTTTTCTAGTGAAGTATACAGATTGTGTTAATTAGGGTTTTTTTACTGTGCGTGTGATTTACTCAATTTTGGACCATGCCAGTTTCTGTCCATTTCAAACTTCGACTAAACATACTGAATTAACTATAATGTTCTGGTATCAGAAGTGACATGAAGATAATAAAATGTCACCAAATTACCGTATATTTTTTGAGAGATTTAATGTGTAATCATTTTATTTCTTATTTGTTTATTTCACAGACATAGAAAATGTTCATTATGTGTGCAGCAAAGCGGAAGATGCCATCAAACGCACAATGAAATCACTGAGGTCTGTGGATGTAGTGGCTGTGGTGGATCCACCCAGACCAGGACTTCGTAAGTTGTCTACTCTCCGGTCAGACCTGTGGCTCCACCTGTGGTGGATTCCACTTCAGATGTTTTCAGATGAATAATGTGTCTAAAGATTTGGAAAATCCTACTTCAGATTATCACTAAGAATGTTGCTGCATGTAAAATTTATGCCGATACAGGGATTTAAATAAGAAAATTTTAAAATTTAGCAAATTTGTAATGTGTGAAGCTTGTGTAAAAATTTTGTTTTACAAATCAGATCATTGAAATTTTGTGATTTGAAAAAATAATTTTAATGCACTTAAGTTTTTTTTTAATTCTCTTACTTTCAGAGTCAAGTGTGTTCCAAGCCCTGCGTCGATCTCCTCACCTCACTAAAGTAGTGTTTGTGTCTTGTAATCCTAAGGCTGCAATGAACAACTTTCTAGAGTAAGTATAAATATGTATGTAACTGATAGATCTACAGTGAAGCCCATATTGTTGTATTTAAATGGATTATGGATTATGTAGAATGATATTAGTCTGATCATCACATCTCCAAACTTTGAATCATATGACTTCCTCTATGTTACCACCTTAAATCATTTGAGTGAGAATTACTTGTTGACAAAATCTAAATATCTTTATGTTCCCTGAAAAGTTTTGCTCCTGGAAAACTTTGCCTGCATTTGAGCTATGATTTTGAAAGGTCATGTATATACATCAGTCATATAAACCAAGGTGCACTGTAGCAAAGTCAGACCCCATGACCCCTCAGTAGAGAGTTGTTGCCATTTCTTGAAATTTTGTGACATGAGCATAGCTTTGCTTGCATTAAAGCTAGGAGCATGAAACGTGTTGTATACAGTGGTCATACTAAGAGAATATGCTGTATACCATATTCAACCCCACTTTTTTTTTACAAAATTATTGCTTTTTGGTAAAACATTGTGTCCAATAAAGTTGTCTTCAGGGAGCATGCATCAGTTTCACCGATACTCTTGTTGACAACAGATTCCAAAAGACAAATCTGACATATTATGGCCATGATTATGTGATTTCATGGAAATGTAATGACAACTTCAATCATAGATTCCCTCCAAAACTCTTTACTGTTTACTGCCTACATATACATCTACTAATTTTTACTTTCAGCACAACTTTTTTCGTTGTACATGTACTTTCCATTTCATGATAGTAACAATCCTTTCCAAAAACACTTCTTGTCAATTACTTTCCTTTGTTTTGCATGATATGCTCATGAGAAAATTATAATCTGTAACATTTTGTTTAAAAAAGAATCATTTTTTTATTCAAATTGAAAATATTTTTTAAAAATTTCTTTAAAGTAAAAGCAAGGATCAAGGACTGATAAAAGTCATTACTCTAGAATCTAGAAATTTCCAAAGAAAACAAAATTATATATATTGCAGGAATTCATGTGTTTGTCTTTCAATCCTTAACATACACTTTTGATGAACAATAAATGCATTTTGGTAGGAAGTTATCAAAAGTAATATGCAATAGTCAACATCGAAATCAGTTTTAATTAAGGTCAAGTCTGAAAAAAATGCTTAGGGTTTTGATGAAAATAGATTGATACTAACCTGCTGGTACTCAGCTTTCAAATTTATTTTCAGTTAGGTTTGTAAATATTATACTTTTTAATATTTCAAATTTATTTTCAGTTAGTCAAAAAATGAGATATTTTTTCATTAATCTTCACATATAAAAAAATGTAGTTTCCATAGTAATTTGTTTTAAATATTTTCTTCTGTTAATCAGCCTTACGCGACAGACGTCTCGACGCAACAAAGGACCACCCTATCGTCCTGTCAGAGCTGTACCAGTAGACATGTTTCCACAAACACCACATTGTGAACTAGTCATCATGTTTGAACGGGATCAGCCTTATTCTAGCCAGGAAGATTCTCCAGGAAGTCCCTAACATGTTAGAAAATTAAAATTTTTAATAAACCTGGCATTTTATGGCAATTTTTTTGTCTTGATTTTTTTCTGTTATAGAACTATTTAGTAATGTTGAATATTGTTTATTGTTTATCAATCAATAAACCATATCAACAAGATACCGATTATTTTAAACACAGAACAGGATACTGACCTCATACTTTCTTCTTAAGAGCTACAATGATATAAAAATACACAATTGAATATTTCTATTAAGATATGCAATTGAAAAATGAGACATTATTTATGATGAGATTGAGTCATAGTGATGTATATGATACCGTTAATTGATGACGTCATTGCTCCATGTGTAAGATTGGGATGAATTTGCCAAGACAATATTAGATGAACCCTTTTATTTTTTTACGGTCATTTAAAATAAATGTAGGAGAAAACAAACAACAAAACAGTACCAAAATGATACCATGTAAAGTAAACTTGTGATTACAAATCAAAATCGATGAACAAGGACAAAATATAAATGAAAGAGCAAATAACACAGATTCTTTGAAAAACATTCTAAGGAGGATACTCTCAGGTGTTCCAGAAGTGTAAGTGTCTTCAACTCTATCCACATTGGTTATGTAAATCTTGCTTTATGTAAGTAAGTGATGTCTTGTTCTGAAATGAGAATACTGTTTATGATGAGGAAATTACCAGACGTTTACACACCTAAGTTCATATCTTAAAAGTAATTTGTTTATTTCCAGAAGAAATAACAGTATTTTTTTTATTACTCTTCATCTTTCGAAACCCTGTCCTATTATCTCAGAAATAGTGATGTGGAGACAAGACTACAACTATTAAATCCATTGCCATTACACAACACTGTATATTGTGGAAGCGGGACTGTTTCCGTCTATAAATAGGAAATTAACATCAGGGAAATCAAAGTCATAACGTTCATTGTACCGACTGTTTAAACATAAAATAGTAAACCGCCTTATAAACAAAAAAATTCTGTTGTATGTTGATTGCTAATTCTGTTGAGTACAAATAAACTCTTTATCTTATATCCAGTTGACTTTAAAGAATGACAGCAAGGTATTTTCCTACAAATGAACATACAAATATGATAATGATACTTTATTTGTAAAAAAATACTGTTTTAAAGCATACAAATAGATTTCATCATTCAAATCATACAAAAAATATAATATACTTGTATTGTTTACAATGAATACAAAAATGTTGAAATTTCTTTTGTATTAGGTGTTATTTACATATGAACTATAAGTAAACATATTTATATGATTCACAGGATAAGCTAACAAAGTCAATGTTTGATGTGAAAACATCTCCAGACACATTTCATACTAAACGTAAACCTATTTACATTATTAATTTTCTATCTTAATTACACCTGGTAAAATGCATTTGAAAATTGTCAGTTGGTGGTTTATACACATAAACAAATTCTAATATCTTTGTATATTTCAACAATGCCTTTTACTGGAACTAAACAGCGAATACTGGAAGTTGGCGTACAAAGCATATAGTAGACACTGTATAATCTAGACTGTACAAAATACACACAAGTGAATATCACCTTTTAATAATTTAGAGTTTGATGCAGAAGTGCCAAACAATGCAACATACAGATGGGTCTCTGTTAGGATAAAAAATATCTTAATCAATAACAATATCTTCCAAATAATTTATGTCTAGCACTTCTGATGTTCAAATTGAATATGAACAGCATGACAATACCTGGACCAGAGTTGGACTTAACTCAATATCCTCTTGTTGCAATAACAGTGGTGAAAGGACTATTGACAAGAAAAAACTTCTGAAACAGTTAGAAAAACAGCCTTAGATAGAAGTTACCCACTTGTCTTGATATTGAAGAATTGAAGAACTGAAATTGTATTTAAATTACAACAGAAATGTATGAAATACAAAATACTCCTACCTTAGACCTTTGAATGAAAGAAAAGATCACAACTCTGACACATAAAGAAATGACAAGTTATCTGATACAAAGCAAATACAAACATACTTGTAGGAGTAAAGCAAATAAGTTTCTTAAATTCAAAGGGAGATAAACCTTGTTCAATCCAGCTGAAAAAATGAAAGAAAATTTTGAAAGTTCAAATAATACTACCATTCACACTTACATATAACAATGAAAAAATCCACATATGAAAAGACAACAATAACTTGTATTAAATAATAATGTATATATTTCAAAGAGTATCATAATATTGAGACCTTGGTGATAAAGGATTAAATGCAAAAATGATATGATTTGAAAAAATGGCAAAATTACACAAAAAAAAAAACAAAACTTTTTTGTGTATAAAATTGGCTTCCGCAATTCTTGCTCACTGTCATAATTTATTTAATCTTGATTTCGGAACCCTCAACTACAAAATACAGTAAGTGAAATATTAAAAAGATGTGGGCATGACAAAAAAAAACCGTTGAGACAGACAGACCGACAGACAAATGGACGGAAGAAGGGGAAAATATAGTTTTCTGGGTTAACCGGTAAGGAGGATAAAATAAATAGAGATGCTTTTGTCAAGAATTTTCACGATACTTTTGAATAAAAGCACATACAGCAAAAATCCAGAGAAAATGATAAAAAATGAAAGTAGCAATATGATTACTTTTTCAGTAATGGTTTGTATAAAACTCTGCAGTTATAAGATGTTGTGGATGATAAGAATATACTACCATCATATGACATTACAATTTAATTTAAAATACAAATGAAGCGCCCGTAAAAATATTAATTAAAAGCAAAAACTAAATAAAACCACAGTCTTGATATTGCACTAAAGAACAACAATTGAATACCACTTTTAAGAATATTTTTAGTAACACATATTTCAAATCTGACCTATTCAAGTCGCAAATGTAAACAGCCCGCCACAAACTTATACGAATACTCACAGTAGAGGTAAGTGATAATTTCAACTGTATAATGCAGTTGTTTTCAAGAATCTGAAGAGGCGAGTTAAGAACATTCAAAAGGAACGAAACAAAAGTAACATATTACAATTACGTTATAGGTTTGGTGATATTTTAGAAAGAGAAATTGTTAGGATCATATGGTGATGATTTTTATGTTTAAACATTGAAAATGTTGTGAAGAAGGACAAGATACCAAAACCTGTTATATTGAAAATGACCAATATTTATCAGAGCCACACTTACGGGGACTGAAATTGTGGAAAGTTAAAACTGTGTATCATTAAACGATACAAAGATGCAATTACTTGTATATACATATTTAACAGGAATGAACGGAATATGGTGCTTTGTTATTCGAGAAATACGTGCTAAAAATCGAAAAGATCTGTGATAAAGTTCTTCAGTTGTCTGAAATACGTACTTTCTTATATGTAATGATTTGTCAATCTAAACACTTCTCTAGTTACACGTTGCAGTTTTAAAATTTAAACACAGGGTCCTCGTATAAATCTGGGTGCAATTGGCCTTGCTCTTTCTAGTAAACTCCGAGTTCCTAAATCAAACCGCCAAAATCTGTAAATGAAACAAACAAACAAAAATATGATTTATTTTTGTAATTATTTCAATTAGGAACTCTAGGAATTTATTCTTCTGTTTTGCGCTAAAAGTAATATTATACAGGTATGTAATGAATTAGGAATCCATTTTCGTCTCTATTAAATAATATATACGGTTGTACTTACAGAGGGCCTTTGAAAAAGTAGATTTCTCTCGAGCTTATTGCCAAAGCAGCATCAAGGCCTTGAGGTACTCCAGGAAATTTTGAACTGGTATAATCGTATGATCCTGGTAAGATCTCCATGGTTTGTGCATTAAACTCCTGCACAAAGTACGTCTGTCAAATTCAATTGAGTAAAATTACTGTTATGTATATCGGTCATCAAGACAAACTCTCTATATACTATGGCAAATTATCTCCCTTTCGCATAAATGCAAATGTTGTTTGTTTGTTTGTTTTTTTTTTCGATATACCCCTCATTCTAAGTTTTAAGTTTAATCTTTGACAACAATTTATTTTAATCTATTCATGTACTACCATTTTTTTTCATCTGTTCAACAATACCAGTAGAAGATTGTTCTAACTAGAAACAAGTTAAAAACGGTTAGATTTGAAATAATGTGTATTGATTTTTAAAAATATAAATATATTTGATGTTTTAAATAAACAATTTTAAATTGATAAAAAAGAAGCAGTTCGTGAATTTTAGTAATTGAATAATTATTCTTGTTTTGTATAGAAATAATTCAAATACCATACAAACATATATATGTAAGTTGTTTTTTCTTAAATCATGTAATGATATTGTATATATTTGTAAAACATTAAATGTCTTTACATTTGTAGGTATAGTATCAACTAGAATTCATTTTTCCAATGCTTTGATATTCCATAACACGAATGCTTACCCCGATTATGTAAACTCGATTCTGACTCGTGGCAAAGACAGCTGTGATCTTTTCACGAAGATGCCGTCTTGCACGTGGTATATATTCAAGAACTGTTAGCTCCCGTTCTGAGACTGTGCCTGCTTTTATTTGGTATTTCCAGTTCAACGCCCCTAAAAGTAACAAACAGTTTACTGTCAAATCGATTTCTTAGTTCAAGGTAAAATGACAAAAAAATCCTAATTCAGCCAAATGGTTGATTTACTCGTACATTGGATGTTTGTGTATGGCTCATTTGAATCCTTGTATTTTCGACTTACTTCTGAAAAATACCGTGCCAGCGGAAGGAACATTTGTAACGTCGTCAAACCGTTCAGGTGCCTCTGGGAAAATATCTGAAGATCTCATTTGCTCGATAAATCCTGTATTTAAAGTCAGTCTTATCATATCACCGCGTGAATTGAATGCCAGAATATCACCATTGTCATCTGTATAAGGAAAAAAATACTAATACTTATTGTTTTAAAAAATTTGAAATAAAACTTTCTTAAAACACTAAAGCATGTTGTAATTCTTCAAAACATTTTTTTACACAAATTCTGCCCAGAAATATAAACGAATCATAGGATATTTTGGATTATGGGTCAAAACATAAACAAACACAAAAAAAGATAGCTTACCTCTCATTACACCTTTGAATTCGAATCGACATATATCTGGGGTTGTTGGTAGGGTAGTGGTAGGTATAGGTTGCGTTGGGCGTGGTACTGCTGTTGGGCGTGGTACTGCTGTTGTGCGTGGAGGCTGAGTTGAAGGCGGGGGTCGTGTAGTTATTGGTGGACGTGGGTCATTCGTTGAACCTATATGATTAAAAATCGTAAATATTCCCACCATGAAGCATCCCAATACCAATAATGTTTTACTTACGTCATAAAAAGATCCATTTGTCCTGAATTCAGTAAGATATAAAGTATCTCTAGTTACCCGCTGGTAACAGCATCCGATGAGTTTACTTCTAATAAAACATATTTTATATAGATTTTAGCAAATAAGACAAGTTTATAAAACTAATATTATTGTAAGGTGAGAATGCACCGATGTACAACGTCTTGTTAACTGTTTGTACTATAATTATCTTAACATAAGTGGACAGTTTCAGTTCAGTGCTTATTAATTCTTTGAAATATATACAACTCAAGAAAATACACATAGCATATTCAGTAAATAGTAGAATATACAAAATACAGCAAATATTTCGATGGAGATGTGAACATTCGCAAGATTTAATAAGCAGAGGATAAAAAACAATTTAAGGAATGACGTGACATAATCGTTAACACTTAAATTAGAAAAAAGCGCACCAAAAACAATGGAAAAGAGAAAATATCCTGACCCTAACATTTCGAACCTACAGAAAATGAACACATGAATACAAAGCATTTTATCTGCAAAACATTTAATTGTTTGTGATATCTTAAAATCCTTGCATTTCCAGTCAAGAAATGACACTTAACGCGTAAGAGAACTTTCCTGATAAAGCTAGCATAGTTAAAGCATTATCATTCTCAAATCCTCTTCGATTTATGCTTCATTGCATTTGTTTTCTTAATGAAAGTACCTGCTGTCATTCAGGACCATTGTCTCACACTTTCATTTTAAAACTGGTATCAATCGTTTGCACTTTAAGGACGTGCTGAAATTATATAATTAACTGCATATTTGATAGATTATGTTAGGGTATATTTTGCATTTACCGAACCACTGGCCTGGCGATAGATAAAAAAAAAACGATTATGAAAACTAACGATGAAGCATATTTAAAATTGAAAAGTATTTTAGTATTTCAAGTGATTTGTTTACTAAAGTTCATATTGTAAAAGAAGAAAAACTTATTAAAAATAATGAAAATTAAAATTGCACAAAGAACGATGATATTGTTTGTGTCGATTGTCAATCGAATTTTAGATATATTTTCGTGATAGATATCCTTCAATTTGCAAACTCTAATAAATAAAAGCGTGGAGACAAATAGAACTTCAAGTAAAGAATATACCTTACCGCCGTATAGCGATTGGATTCCTCTTATATCGTCCCAGTGAAGTTGATAATTTGGTATATAACCCGCATAGTAAGGCGCCATCAAAGCCTCGTTATTAGATGAATGTGCAAGCCCTAAGGAATGTCCAAACTCATGGGCGGCCACAGTAAATAGGTCAACTCCAGTTCGGTTAATTACCCATCGTTCATCGTCATCGAAATGTGCTACACCGTGTTGTGGGTAAAACGCATGTGCTAATACATTTCCTGAATGTAAAGAAAAAGTTGATGAGGATGCAATGCACATAAGTGAGATAGTGATAATGAACGGTTTCAGAAATGTCTGATGTTAAGCAAAGGTTTGCGATATTCCGATTCTTTACTTAGGCTCTTAATTTCCTGTTCAAAAGCAGCAAATAATAAACCATGCTTCAATAATTCGCAAAAAATTCAAATAATTCCAAAATTGAACAAAAGACACACAAGTGAACAGCGTCTTTTAATACAAATAAATTTGGAGTTAGATGCAATAGAAACAAACAATGAATTTAACTGCATCACACAGTTGTTTTGTCTTCCTAGGACTTCCTAGTGCTAAGAGACTAAATTGAGAATCCTACGAGGCGAAAAAAACACGTTATTGAAAAAACGTATATTTACCTAAATATTCTATGTCTTTGTGCGATATGAATCTCAATATGTTTGATGCTCGTTGTGTGCCTGTTGGTTCCATTGTCTTATTCCTTGTTCTCATTATAGAACATGACATTACTTACTTGGATTGGCCAAGGTTTACATGGCGCTTACTCTTTCAGAACACCTTGTCTTATTCTCCTTGTACTTTTTCAGGAGTCTCCGTGTAAATTTTTCTTTTGCCCTAGTTTTATTGACTTTAAGTTTGGATTATGCTCATGTTGACAAGTTGGTATTTTCCTTATTTTTGTATAATACAGTTGCAAATTTAAAGCGAGGAAAGTATCTGGACACATGACTGGATGAGAGCGATTGCCGTGACAAACAACATTCTTGTTTTATGTGATAGTTATATTTGATGCAGTAAAACAATGATTACTTACCGTTGCCATCGAAAGCAGACCCATCTCCATGATCCCGTCTCTCAAATGAAATCAGCATGTCAGCTTCGTTTTCATCATCAATGTATGTAACTTCCAATGAAGATACATCTGTCCACACTTTGAATGCACGAGCAATTTCTGACCTAATGTTATAAAGTGATGGTTATAAAAAGGCTATGTATTTTGATTAGCAGTCAAACAATTTATTTTCAACTTTTCTATCATTCTAGTAGAAAAATTGCTGTAGAAGACAATACCTGAGAACATTTAGATACAACGATTTAATCTTAACCTATCAATATCAGAAAAAGCGAAGAAAAAAAATCTTCTTTTATAATATTAATGTTATTACGGCTTTGTCGGGAAGTGTATAATTTGAATAGATAAAAACTTTTACAAATCAGAGAAAAGTTTTAGATATTTATATTGAAGGAAAATGTCATTCCTTACCTAATGTCTGATTGAAGCAGTTGCCTAGTGAATCCATTTCTCCTGAGAAATGTGTACGTCAGCCGCGTTTTCGACCATTTACCTGGGCCTGGAACAAAGGACAGTCGTGAGGTAGTATATTGAAAACGATATACCAGTGCATAGCTTTGTTATCAAATCTGAAAGTTATATATCTAATTGTCCAAAAGCAATTTGATTATAACAGGTTCTCCTTTTTCTTTATAAAATTCATTTTTTCTCAGGTTTAGTAAAATTACAAAGTTAAAGAGAGTGATGTTCCTCTGAAGTGATGATATTAACTTTTCTTTTCTCTACAGAAATTGCAACAATATTATTATAGTGCAACTTGTTGGATCGTGAAAGGATGAAGTTTTTAGAAAAAACAACAATGATTACGGTTAGAGTACAGAAACTGTATAACTGTAGAGACTGCTTGTAGATGTCCAGTCTTCGAGGTTTGACATAATCTGTATACCACATTCTTTATTCGAATAATGGCAAGGTTCATATTATGTACATGTACTTGAGTTTCTTATCAATTTATAGGGTTAGTGCACCGTCGAGTTTTTGACATTTCTTGTGACCACTTTGGATTTTCCGCGACCGCTTCCTAGATTTCAGAATATAGGCCCCTAATATTAATCGAGGAGTCCTAGAAGGACGAAACAGCTGTATGTAATGCATCTCATCTGTTACTCTATGATATCCATACCTAAATTTATGTTAAAGTCGCTATTCACCTATGTACATTTGCTACAATTTTTCAAATTGCCAGCTTACAAGAACTCTATTGACTAACCTATCCAGACTTGAATTAGCTTAATATAAATATATTGATTTAAAGGCATAGACCTTTGTTGAATACGACGGTGTTACACTGTTATAGTATTATCATGGATGAATGCTAAGTGTTACACTATTACAGTATTAGTACCTTGGTTGAATGCTATATTTTTGCACTGTTACAGTATCTGTACCTTGGTTGAATGATATGATGCTGTTTTGTTTCGGTATCAGTACTTGGTTGAATGCTATATTTTTGCACTGTTACAGTACCTGTACCTTAGTTGGGTGATATGATGATGTTTTGTTACGGTATCAGTAGCTTGGTTGAATGATATGATGCTGTTTTGTTTCGGTATCAGTACTTGGTTGAATGCTATATTTTTGCACTGTTACAGTATCTGTACCTTAGTTGAGTGATATGATGCTGTTTTGTTACGGTATCAGTAGCTTGGTTGAATGTTATGATTCAGTTTTGTTTCGGTATCAGTACCTTCGTTGAATGCTACAGGCTTAAATTGTCTCAGATCTCTTCTGGATCTTATCATAAATTTTGTCTCCGGCATCAGGAGATCGTTACATCCACATCTCGGCTTTTTCATCAGTTCAATTGTCCGTTTATCTGGAAGGCCAGTTACAGAAAGGGAGTTGAAGTTTTGAAAACGCCTGTAAATTTAAGAAAATAATTTTGTATAAAAAACGCGTTTTATTGCAACATTAGCTTAATTAGAATGAAATAGTAAACTTCAAAGCATTAAGATTTTCCAACTATTAATATCGAATAACTTAACAAAGACTTACTGAAAAGACATTGTTGCCAATTCTATACTTGAGTTTTCGTCATTGTTTGTTGTTGTGTAGCCGGACGTTTTCGCGGACATGATATTTTCGCTATCTTACGGTACATTAACATGGCGGGAAATAAGGAGACAGGTGTGTATTAGATGTTCTTTTACATGCAGATTTCAATCGTTGTTATATAATACAATCGTTTTATTAGAAAAACCCGAGTAAAAAGTTTACACGTTGAAATTACCTTGTATACGGTAGTGATAACTTTGCTTCCGTATTCATTATCAAAACATAGATAAATAAACCAATCAATAAAAACGTGACTTAATACAAAACAATTATAATGTCTTGAATAAGGATCAAGGAGAACCAATGACGCACAAGTGCATGACGCCCTTCTTTATATAATTAATGAAAAAATCTATCTTAGGACCAAACAGAAAATTACACTGTCTCATTAAGTCCTTTTAGGACTTTTCGGTGATGTTGCACGCCTTAATTGATAAATTAGATTACCTTAATTAATTAATTAGGTGACTTACAATAGGGATTAGGAGTTAATGATAAAATGAGATTTGTATAGTGTGAATACAAGGTTTTATTAAGTGAGCCCATTGTTTAGTCTCCTTGGTTACACGATATATTACGTAATATGTCCGGGAAAACAGGCACTTAAACGTGTTGAAGGTTACATACGCTGTATACAAACGAAAAAGTTACACATCGCTTATCATGAATGTTGTCGTGGAGATATATTTTAAATCCATCCTGCAAATATAATAGGAACGATATTTTTTTTATTATCGTCATGTAACTCAAAACTATAAAAAAATATGATAATTTTGCATAACTTATCCTCAAAGTTAACATGTTTTTTCTTTCTTTGGAGGAAAAACTCTTAAAAGAGTAATTTTCGATAATCTTCAGAAAAGTTGATTTAGACTATAAAACTTTGGTAAATGAAAATTAATGAAAATATATTGTAAATGCAGGCTTACATACCATTTAGAAGGAACAAAGTATTGAATGAAACAGGAAAAGCGGATGCTGGATACAATTCAACTAATTTTCTGTCTGACACCAAGTGATGTTATTTTATTGACTTTTCTGTCAAATATTACATATTATCATTCTCATATAGCACAATAGGGCATACGGTAGCATAGTCTCAAAAATGACCCACTTAAACGATGCACGTTGAAAATGCATTATTTACTTAAACGTAATTAGCAAGAAAAACACTTATATATGATCGTTTCCAAAATACATTATTATGGACAACATTATGACGCCAGAATATAGACAACAGCTGTGATGTCACAATTTCACATATCATGCCTTAGATATATCGCCAAATAGTCATCTTGCCCATCTATTCACAATACATTATTGATATTATAATAAATATGATCTCCATACACTTTTCTCCATATAATGTAATACTGATAAAAACAGCATGCCTAGGATCTTCATCTAAACAGTTTGTAGCTCAACGATTCTGCCCTCACACCAGTAGAATGATAAGAGTAAACCAAATGCAACCCTACATATAAAAATGTCGAACATGTGACAGGTGGAAATATGTCAATATTTGAGCCCTACCTTTATATTTTTACCGTTTGTTAATATTTTGATATTTTTAAGATAGTAACCTCACCCTAAAGTCACACCATCAGATTTCGATATAACCCTCAACCCAAAAACAACTTACTGAAGGCCTAGTTTCCTGTTTTCGGGCGAGGCCGGAATACCTGTTCCTGGCATTCTGTCCTGAAGGTATCCATACCTTCGACAGTAGTCCTAGGAAAACAAAGGTGCAAATATGAAAACATTCTTAAATAAGTAGTCAACAGTTAGTTATGGTTTTAAAATTGTTTGAAATTTGGGCAAAACGGGTAAAACTGTTCTTGTTTTAATTTTAGACTTGGCTTGAGAACGTTTTATTAACTATAACCATGATATAATGATAACGAACACAGCAGACTACTAACAACATATAATTACCTATACAGATTATTCTTTTAGGCTGGAAATGACATTTTGTTTAATTGTTTCGCAAAATACAAATCATCCACAGTAAAACCATTCGCGCGTTTACATCCGGGCCAACAAGAGTGATTAATATAAGTTGGAAAACCTTGTTTCGCAATCGTTGTAAAATATGTTTATTATTATATCCACTATATTCAGTAAGCTGACAGCTTGTATATTTTGCAAGCTTAAACGAGCATATTGTCTTTCTGAGAATGGACGATTGTTACGTGATTACTGAACTTCATATAAATAAAATTAAGTTGATGAAGTAGCTCAAAATGAAAACAGATTATTACATGTAAAGAATAGCAAGCACTCAGCAACACTAATCACATACCATCAATATCTTCATTAGTATTTGATACTATGTTGACATTAGTTTTACAGAGAGAGAGAGAGAGAGAGAGAGAGAGAGAGAGAGAGAGAGAGAGAGAGAGAGAGAGAGAGAGGGAGAGATAGAGAGAGAGAGAAAGGGGGGAGGGGGAGGGAGGGAGGGAGAGGGAGAGAGTGTGTCAGAGAGAGAGAGAGAGAGAGAGGCGGAAGAGAGAGAATAGAGACAAATGTACTCAGACAGAGATGCAGATATAATGAGAAACAGATATAGAGAAATATGGGTGTACAGAGCGCAGTTACAGATATATATAAAGAGACAGAGACCGGTATACAGGCAGAAGAACAACTATACTGAAACACAGTGGCATGAAGAGCAATTATGTTTGTACTGAGACACAGAGAAACAAAACAGAGAAACAGATATACAGAGACACAAAAAAGATATGCAAGAACACTGCGACTGATATACCGAGACACAGTAACATATATACAGATACACAGAGGTAGATATACATAGAAACAGAGACAAATATTTATATACAGAGACACAGAGGTAGATATACATAGAAACAGAGACAAATATTTATATACAGAGACACAGAGGTAGATATACATAGAAACAGAAACAAGTGTACAGAGAAACAGAGACAGATATAGATATATAGAAACACAGAGGCAGATATACAGAGAAACAGAGACATATAGATATACAGATACACAGAGGCAGATATACAGAGAAACAGAAACAAATATATATATATATATATACATAGACACAGAGGCAGATATACAGAGAAACAGATATAGATATACAGAGACACAGAGGCAGATATACAGAGAAACAGAAACAGATATAGATATACAGAGACACAGAGGCAGATATACAGAGAAACAGAAACAGATATAGATATACAGAGACACAGAGGTAGATATACATAGAAACAGAAACAAGTGTACAGAGAAACAGAGAAAGATATAGATATATAGAAACACAGAGGCAGATATACAGAGAAACAGAGACATATAGATATACAGATACACAGAGGCAGATATACAGAGAAACAGAAACAAATATATATATATATATATACATAGACACAGAGGCAGATATACAGAGAAACAGAAACAGATATAGATATACAGAGACACAGAGGCAGATATACAGAGAAACAGAAACAGATATAGATATACAGAGACACAGAGGCAGATATACAGAGAAACAGAAACAGATATAGATATACAGAGACACAGAGGCAGATATACAGAGAAACAGAAACAAGTGTACAGAGAAACAGAGAAAGATATAGATATATAGAAACACAGAGGCAGATATACAGAGAAACAGAGACATATAGATATACAGATACACAGAGGCAGATATACAGAGAAACAGAAACATATGTACAGAGAAACAGAGACAGATATAGATATATAGAAACACAGAGGCAGATATACAGAGAAACAGAGACATAAAGATATACAGATACACAGAGGCAGATATACAGAGAAACAGAAACATATGTACAGAGAAACAGAGACAGATATAGATATATAGAGACACAGAGGCAGATATCCAGAGACACAGAGGCAGATATACAGAGAAACAGAGACATGTAGATATACAGATACACAGAGGCAGATATACAGAGAAACAGAAACATATGTACAGAGAAACAGAGACAGATATAGATATATAGAGACACAGAGGCAGATATCCAGAGACACAGAGGCAGATATATAGAGAAAAAAAAGGCAAATATACAGAGACACAGAGACAGAGGCACAGAGACAGATATAGATATACAGAGACAAAGAGACAGATATACAGAGAAACAGAGGCAGATATACAGGGAAGCGGAGACAAGAACAGTAAAAGACAGAGAGGTAGAGACAAGATAGAGATAGATAACAGAGTGTACTTAATTGTTTAAACATTTAATACTTACATCGATTTCAAGATCTGTCATTCCATCTGAGATACCATATAAATGTATCAGTAAATACATGAAATGAATTATGTATTGAAATTGCATTGTTATTGTTATAGTATCACAGTTGACTATACTAGCGATAAACAAGAGTTGAAGGAAGTTAATGACTCTACCCTTCCGTTGTTGAAATCATACACAGCTAGGCGCCAATGTATGTGCATTTTCCGACCGGAAGGTTTGTAAGTGTAGTGTGAATTGACTATCCTCATCTACAGTTATCTGTAATACTTATTTCATCACGAACATTTATCGTTTTTGCCATATATGGCCTAACGAATTTGATCTAAATGTAAAATCACTCAACTTCAACAAAACGTTATCCACTCGCCTACAACATAATGTTATAATGCTTTTAAATGAATTTTATGTGGTATGTCATCACTTCCGTTGTGCATTAACCTGCTATTTGAAGCGGTACATATGACTACATTGATGGGTCATGCCAGTACATCACGTTTTTACTCCACTAGCATCTTGATGTTACGTAATGTTTTATTCAGTTTTTATTTGTTTTCTATTCTGAGCACCTTTGTAGCATGATGACAGCAAAGCCATTCTTTCCGACAGTTACGGGTATTGGATTTATTTCATTGAGAAAAAAATATCGATCGTAGGGGCATATACAGGTTCAACTTCAATTCACAGAGAAAAGTGTTTTAGGCAACAATTTGTTAATATGTAGCAGCGTTCTAAAGAGTTAAACTGTGATTTGAAATAAATGTATGCCTGTTTACCAATGCTATCAGGTAATGTCAATGATGCAACAGCTCTTGTCTAGAAAAATCTATTTCTGTAAATTTTCACATGTCACGTTAGCAACACGAAGCGTGAACAAGATGTATGAAAAACAATCTCCTTTATCATAAATGTTAACATCTTTGCTAACGACAAATGTAATCAAAACATCGTACTTAGACTAGATGTAGGAAAAGTGAGTTTCATAAATTTCGCTGTGCCGACATTCAGAGTCCCTTAAACAATTCAATATTGTCAGTTAATTAAGACAGCCTTGTTTACCTTTCATAATATGTTGACTGTTGAGAGCTGATGTGTCGATTAAAGAAAACGTCTAGTTGACATTAATTCTGTATGATATATAAATTGATATTTATCTGGATGAAAAAAGTTTTACATTTGTAATGTAACGAAGACATTTAGATAAAGGTGGTTTCATATTAAATATTCACAAAATATGAGTATAATACAAAGGAAATACCGAAATTTCATTATAATTATGTTTCCTATTTGTGATTGATGAAAGAAGTACAAAATGCATACATTTTCGATATACGTACTAACTTGATCATAACATAATCAATTTTCGTTATCTTACGTCAATAATTTTTTTGCTTATCAGCATTCACAAAGTTGTCAGGTTATAGAAAAGTTTTATGGGTGCCATTTTGGTTGGGAATCATTTTATATCTTAATATTTCAATTTCTACACAAATCAGACTCAATGAAACTACTTTATTTGATCTGTTTCATTTACCAATGAATTTGACCACATTAATATTGCCAGTGCGTATGAATACAAATATTAAGTAAGGGGGAAAAAAACTCCCCAACTTCTACTAGACAGGCAATATACCACAAGTATGAGATTACAAAAAAATAAAAATAAAAATTTAATTCAACATTTAATAACTGTAACTTACGTTTCAAAAGATGTGAAGCGACTGAAGCCTGATATTTCTTGCTCTCCGCTTCGGTGCCTGTAAAAAAAAAATGTCCGACACCGCTTCGTTTGCGAACCGGCGCACCACGCCTAGACGTTATTCCTCCGCGGGGAAAAATGCATACTGTCTTTGTTGCACACTATTATTGAAATTTTCATTAAAGTTGTCGAAAAATAAATTAAATTCTGTTCTTATTTAAGTTTCATTGAAAATTAAGTAACCACGATGAAATACATTTCAACCTGTCACAATAATCTGTCTTCAAATGACGGACTATTTGCTTGTATGACGTCAGACGATATGATGACAAGAAACGAAAATGAAAGTAGAAGGTAAATTGCGTCAGTTCCCATGCTATAGCAAAAAGAAGCATGAATTGAAATATATGGATTGAATCTTGCTTATGTTGATTTCATGGGATGATGAATTGAGTTGGTCTTGGGACAAATTTAATGAACTACGACGCAAGATTCAATCCTTAAATGTGGCATACCGTTAGATGAATTGCTCGTCAACATGCCCGAAAAACAACGCTCTCATTCAAGGACGTGACATACCTCCCTAAGATTTGAATACATGTCACAGGTCAAATATACTAAACAGAAAAAGAAAGGTAACACTACTTTATTCTGTGATTAATTAATTAACCCCTTCATAAATTCTTACCAATCATGTACGAATAAAGTAATTGATCAATTCTGATAAAACTGCAGTCATGGTTCATTAAAAAAATTTGCGTTCAGTTGATTTTATTCGACTGTAAAGGACGTTGGGGTCAATTTCTAAGGTAAAACCATTAGTAACGGGTATGGCCACCGTTTGCGAAGTAAACAGCATTGCAGCGTCGTCGCATGGAACTCGTAAACCGGCGGATAATTCGAGGAGAGATGTTGTTCCATTCAGCGATCAAGGCTTGGGCCAGCTCCTGCAAGTTTGACGTTCTCTCACGCGTCGCCCAAGAACGTCCCAGACATGCTCAATCAGTGACAAATCAGGTGATTTAGATGGCCAATCTAACACCTGTACGTTATTCTGCTGCAAGAAAGTTCTGCTGACGCGACTGGTGTGCGCTGGTGCGTTATCCTGTTGAAAAATGGCGCCAACGCCATGGCGTCTTAAGAATGGCAGAACCACTGGTCTTAAAATTTCGTCCCGATATCGAATGCCGGTTAAATAGCCATTTAACACAACAAGCCTGGTACGAGTCCCCCCACAAATACCACCCCAAACCATTACACTTCCGCCGCCAAAGCGGTCCCGTTCTGCAACGCAGCAGTTCGCAAAACGCTCCCCGCGTCACCTCCACACTCTGCGCCTTCCGTCACCGTGTTGCAGACAAAACCTGGACTCATCTGAAAACAGAACGACGGTGAACACGGGTCAAGTTACGCCGATTATTACGGTGACGTCGCAACAAATTGGGTCCAGTGTGGAGACGCCGCGCTTTCAATTGGTAGGCCCTCAACCTGTTGCGGACTGTTTGGGGACGCCCAAACAATGTCCTTGTAGTCTCTACTGCGGTTACGAATCGATTGCGCAAGTGTATCAATCGTATACGACGGTCATCCCTGTCGGTCGTTTTACGGGGTCGGCCGCTTCGGGGACGATCGGATGTTGACCCAGTTTGGTTTAAACGACTTACCAACTGGTAAATTGTCAACACTGCAACCAAATTGCCGTGCAACTCGACGGCGAGACCCCCCAGCCCGGATCATGCCTACAGCCCTTTCTCTCTGTACTTGTAACAGCCGGGGCATAATGATAAAGTTGATAGATAGCAAGATTCGGTGATTTCTAAGTTCTAAGGATCCTAAGAGTCGCAGAAAACCTCGTGCAGCTCTTTCGCTAATACAGACTTTCACGCTTGAATGATTTTGGTAACCCCCGTGGATTTTGTAATGTAAAACATAACCATTTTCTAATATTGCACAAACGTCATTTTGTTTTCACTCATTTACAGGTATTCGCCAAGGAAACATGTTAACCTTTCTCTTTTTGTTGAGTATATAACAACAACGAAATTGCCTGCCATTCTTTTATTGGGCCTTCCCGTGAATAGCTATAGCTTGAAACCCCTGAAAAAAATACACAAATAGCTGGATAGTACTATGACAAGGTGATATGTTACGTAACATGTACGTTTTAATTTACTGTATACATGTCAAGTCCAATCCCGCGAATGAAAGTAATTGAAACGTAGATTATAATATTTACCTTCCAAAACCTCGTCGGTCTGGTAAAGTGCTTCATTCTGTACGCATTTTGTACTATCATGCGGGCATACGTAAATGGACTCCAGAGGATACGTCCGTATATACGACTGTCCTGGCTATAGTGCGCCGGGCACGCTGTGTAATAGGGTTTTTATTATTTCACTTCCATACTCCACTCACCATTGCATGCTTTTTCACAACTCCTTACACCCTAATTTACATACAGGACGAAAACAACAACAAATATGGACGATGACACCACCACCCTGACACGACACGTGTAACAGGAACTTCCCAACATAGTTGACTGACATGTACTGGCACAGACAATGATAAGACACTTTACTAAGTTAATAGTAATTGAACTACCTGTCACATAAATGACAGATATCGTCTGTGACGCATGTTTCGCTTGATTCTCCCTGAACGCAATCTTGTTCTCTGGACGCGTTTTTAGGCTAAGCGTACTCAGTACACATAGCCTATTGCTACGGCCTTTCAGACAAAATTTAACGATCCTGGCCTTCTCATTGGCTGAAATATCGAAAAGAGTTAGAGCCCTCTAGCGGCAATTTTCTGCGTAAATAATGCCGCGATCTTTCAAATCGCTATCTTAAAAGCATACAAAATTAGTTTATTTTTTTAATAACAATACGATTACTATATATTTAAAAAAAGAAGCACAGTGTGGTTGAACTATTGATGAATTTTGAACAATATATTTTACGGAATTCTCGACAGCGTACAGAACACTGTACGTGCGAGTTGATAAGAAGCTAGTCTGTGGGCTTGGTTTGAAATATCAACTAACAGCACTTATAAACAAACAAAACTTACAAACAGAACATCAGTTTTGTTTTAATCCTTGTCGTTTTGGCAAGATCGTCTTAATATATAACATCACTTTACCTCAGTAGACGTCACCGAATTGGACTGTTCGTCCTACGCGCACACCAGCCGATATGACACTTTTTTTCAGGTTTTTCACACCCACCGCCATGACACTTTTTCAAGTTTTTGAAGATAAAAAGTTTGCGCTTCGTAGGCAAGGTACATTTGGTGCTCATGATTTATGAATGATATATTTTTAATACTGTACTGATCATGATGTTGACTTTGTTATAACCTATATTTTTTGTCTTTTAGTTTTATTTGATGAAGGTTGATTGTGCTGATTTCTCAAAGTTTGTTAATGTGTATCAAAGTTCCTTGAAATGAAAATATTCCTTTAAACAAAGCGCGTATAAAAAAACAAAATATTCATGTTTATAATTATCAATTAACTAGAACGAAATATTTCCATAACATATTTATTCATTTAGCGTGTCATGGTGACATTATCTAATGCATTGGAGATCAGAAATAGTAGTAGCTATAGTGAAAATATTGTAAATTTTGTATATATATATATGGAAGTCTGGTTTAATCTCAAAGAACTATGTCTTTATAGACATAATTACTGCAAGAAAAGTCTAACCATGATACTTCTAGGAAGATAGGCATGTAAATACATTTAATGTAATTACTTACACTTTAATCTATCTGAAATGATGTGTACACCTTATCTACTTTCCTCAACTACAAATATAATTACAATAAGTAAGGACTATTACTTTGCAATACACTCAAAATAAAGAAGTAGGCATAAAGTCCTTTCGATTTGTCTAAATCCTCATATTGATAAGATAGTAATTGCAACATCTTGGGTATTTCAAAGGTTTTATTTAGTCAACTTCATCATAGAGCTATTAATCATTTGGCTTGTTGGCGATAAATATATGGTTGTGTGTATTTTGTTATTTTTTTTACCTATTTTGATTTGTTCACATTATTGTCGTCAAATTTGAAATAAGAATTAAAGAAGATATTTATTTTAGTAATTTTTGCATTCCAAAGTGTAGGAGTATGGGGAAAGTAAGCTTTGCGGTTATTTGTGAACATTTTTCAATACGTTTAGCCTTTCAGGACTTTCAGTACTTTGATTAAGGATAAACGTGCTAATATCCGTTGTGAACATGGGAGGTTAAAATGTGTTTTGATCGCTCAGACAGATAGCTACAAGAACGAAAATCTGTTTCGTCAATTTCTATCTTGATTTATATAAAGTAATATGATAAAGATATCTTTTAATTTTCAGATTATTGTTAAAAACGTTTTATCACACTCCATCAGAAATACCATATTGATACTCTTGTGAATAGAGACGTAAATATCTCATAAATCATCAAAGTAATTAATGATGTACTAAAACATTTTTGCTTTTAATAGAAATCTCAATTTCTATTTTACATTTCGTAAATCTTCTTCCAACTTACAACAACACCTAATGTTCTTTTCTTGGTTGAATTTTACTGCCTAGATATAAGTCATAAATCTTTATTATAAACAGTCTTGTGGGGTAGCAGTTACACACAGATTTTAAGTAAAATGTACTAACTGTTAAATATATATATTATGTATGCCTTGTTAATGTTATCATGTAAATATTATCATGTATTGTATTAGAGGAAAAGGCGGTCATAAGTTGAAATAACTTGTGCCTAATCATCTGCTCAATTTTAGGGAAATAAATATGTTTAAATCGAAAACAGTTACAAACCTGTTTTTAACCTGTGCGATTTGGGTTCGATTTCGCGGGCAGACATGAAAGATATGATGCCATAAACTCGGCCACATTGTATTTCGGAACATTTTACTCAGGTTGTTAAAATCATTAAGATAGAAGACCTTACAACATTATCAGTAGAAGACTTGAGTGTGACGTTTCTATGGCAACACGGTCAGCGTGATATAAACAATTAGTGTGAAGCGTAATAACACTGACGTACGTAGTGTTCGTAGGAAAATCGACCGAAAGTTTCGGCTGTACTATAAAAAAACAGCCCGCTCCGGCGTATCCACCTTGATCATCCGTCAGAAAACATGTTAAAAATAAGATTTTGTTGTGTGAACGGATCTGTTTTGTTGTTCTGATTTGTTTATCTGCTTTGGGACTGAGAAAGCTTTCACGTTGAATGTGAATGTAAAGTGAATCTTCTTCGGATTCCGTGTCTTTCCATCTTTCCGATGTTCATTGAGTTTGACCCTGAATTTCCTGTGCGTTTCTCTGACATATGATGTTTCGCAATTGTTTCCGATTCTCTTTATTTGTGTCATATCCTTATGATGTCTTGAGAGATTTCATGGCTGTTGCACTATCATTACTACAGTAAATCGTCTGACATGTCTTTGATGTACGGGATGACAAATTGTCTTTTCGTTGTTTGGTCTTACCTTGATATTTCATCTTTTATTCTTTTCTCTGCTTTCCCAAAATTCGTTGGTTAATTTCTGGATTGACTAATAAGGTATCCATATGTTTTCATTGCGCTATGAATGTGATTTTGATCTTTCTTCTTGTGGTAGTCTCCTGTGACTATCGTTTCACATCTTTTCAGCACATTTCTAATGACGCCGTACGTCTGGTGTAAAGGATGATGCAATCGGAAGCTGAGATAATATACGCTTTAGTGTCAATAAATGTTGTTATTGTAGTCGTCGTCTGGTGCGACAACCGCATGGCGCCTCCAAGTGAAGTAGTAAATTAAAACTGGATCTAGCCAGGTTACGCCTGTTCTTGGTATCAACACAATGGTCACGTACATATGAAGGATGTGGTGTATCACTTTGTGATTCCGCGGAAATTTTGCGGTTACAGTGACAGGAATTTCCTGCAAAACAGCCATGCAGTAAGTACAGATGTATTGTTATACATTTGTATTCTCTGATATTTTCAGTCCACCGCTTAACTATATTATATAATATCTGTGAGACACACCAATTTTGATAATAGGTTTTTGTTTGAGAGCCTGTACATTTTACTTTTTGATATTTGGATTTTGGTTCATTTTGGACCTAGCAGTAGCAAAGCTGAGCAATTTTGGGTTTACAACCTTAATACTTAGTTGTTATATTTGATATGATATTTCGTTGCAAAACGCTTTTCGGCTTGAAATTAACCTTTGTGCTGTTTGCGTTGCAAAATAGTTCATACAAAAAAGATTATTAACGAAAACATGAACAAACCTCAGAATCCTTAACAAGCACAAAATTTTGATTTTTGGAAAATGTTTCGGAACTTGTTTTCCGCATAGACATGCTGGTCAATCTTTGTTTTCACCCATTATATTCATATCTAATACATCATTACCGCATATCATCACAAAACATTTTTCAAAATATTGTTTTTGGACTCTATGTTATCGTATATCAATACAGGCCTTCATCCAAATTAAACTATGTTTTTTATTTTATTTAAATTCATAATAATTTGTAGCATAAAAAAACGAAACAGATTTTTTTATACATTTTATGACATTATTTTTCAAAATTTTTTTTAAGGAAAAAAATATTGTAATAAAACATTGAATGACAAATCTACCGATTTGATCAAACTATCACATAGTACTTCAATATTTCATCTCTCCCACAGTTTGTAGAGAGAATTACAGTAGCAAATAACATTCTCAATCAAATCATGTAAAGAATATTGAACATTTTGCTTCCATCATGAGGGAAAATGTCAATGTCCACCAGAACGGGATTCATGCATATGTTTATTGAACACACAATCTGTTGTATACATGACAGTTCAATGTCAGGTAAAGCCTCGTTAATACAGTGGCAGGATAATTCTGTAATACGTATAATTACTTACACGGTGCTGACGAGTCACATTCAGTGGTTGCCAGTTGGAAGACAAATTATCTCTCATGTTATTTTTATGCAAATACCACATACACAATTATCATGTATACATATGTTTCATTGTTTGGATTTGGACAATGCTTCCACTTTTAACGAAGCTTGTAGTTGTCACTGCTGTAAAATTTCTCATCAATCATCAAAATACTCTTTTCAAGCAAATCTGAGCCTCGCAATTCTAATTGTGCCAAATTAATAAGTATGTAAATTAAAACGATAACACAAAAACTTCTCGGATTCAGATTTCTTTAAGGAGCAATGATTTTTTTTTCATTTCTTTATCTCAATTTCAGAAGTGTATTTTAACCTAGTGGAGCTGTGATTGATTAAAAGTCCAAGGTCTTTCCATTGTGTAATTATGTCATGGCATCTTAATATAAATGAATAAAGAGTGAGAATATCGGCAATTTTTATTTTGTTTAAGTCTCATGAAATACTGTTTTATGGTAAGCAAAATGTTATATTTGATTCCTTTTCGTATTATTAAAATCGTTATTCTCCTTTTTTTTTGTAAATTCGACCACGCCACAGGCGCAGTAAATGGAAACTATCAGACGTTTTATAAAACTGATGGAACTCTCTATATATGATAATAATATAATATGTAATAATAATACACTACTGAGTCATATTCATGAATGATAAAAATATTATTGAAAAACAACTTTTATTTACAATGAACAGAAGCCGTTTTTGCACGAGATATTTATAAATGTAACAGGTAATATTGCCAGGATTTGTCCACTTATTTAAAAAAAAATAAAAGAAAAATGGCTATCAGAGGAGCGTTTTTGTCCGAAGTCACTTTCAGGCGATCGGAAACATCACGAATGCTTTTCCTTTTTTATTTCGCTAATGACGTCAATGTAATTTTTTCAGACTGTTATGCAGTACATTAAAAATAATAACGATGATTAACTTTTTAAAAAAATATCAAATGCAATAGTGATATTACATTTAACTTCTAACGGAGTGAGAAAAGACCACATGATCGCTAATATTGATGACCATATATGTACTATGCGTTTACGTACGTATGAATAATGCCTTCAAGTGTTTTCCTATTATACTTAAGGAACGACTAGTGCCCGATGATTAAGCAACATAGCAAACCCCATACTGACCTTTACCCCTTTCAGAAATTATAAAAGGCCACGATCGACGAAGTAGATATTAAATCCATTGACGGCAAACAATCGGAACGGAATTGAAGATCCAACTTTTCAGCAGAATTAGATTTCGTTTTTCTGCTCTAGCTATGAAGCAAAAACTTAAGACTCTCGTTGCATTTTTCATTTGTAGTGTAATTGTGTCGTTAGCGAGTGGTCACTCGTTAAGTGGGTATCGGGGGAAGAGGCAGACAGTCAACGTTGATCCAGTGGTAAGATTTAATATTTTAATCATGCATGGCTCACTGTTTTTATGATTGTCATGAACAATGGGCATCTAATAAAACAAACATGATTTTCATAGAGGTGTCATCTACAAATTCATATCTACAAGAATCAAATGCATTAAAATTGAACTGGACGGTATATCATAATTATTATACAATCTGCCATGTATGGTAACTTCTGGGGACAATTCTGGAGTTTAAACATTTTTACAACATGATGTCTCGATTGCACTACAAGCAATCAATCCAAATTCAGATATAATGTTTTGATACATTTTTTTTCTTACTACTTAACAATTTATAATGACATATGTACAGCATGTACAAAAATAGAAATTCTGTGCTAAATAGTACTAAACTAGCATGAGTGAGCATACAAATGTTTTGTCCAAAATTTGGTACGCATCGTAAATGTTTCAGAAACTGAACCTGTTCAAAAATTAAATTATAACACTAAGGAATTAGGTATAAATAGAAAACAATTTCAGTAGTGAAACTATTTTTTATTAATAAAGGAATACCTACGCCATTATGGGTACCTTCCTGATCACTATTACACAAGCGACATTGCTCCAGATCCCGCAGAGTTGAGAGAAGCATACAAGTAAGTATCGTTTTTATCTGTTTTTAAACTTGCTAGTGATTATTCATGGATTAGCCGTTAATACAATCAATTGTTTGCTATCTTCGTCGTTGTATCATTCTATTATATAATGTGTAGTTCGAAGTATTGCAATATATTTTACATAATTCAAAATGTCCATTATTTCATATAGTAACACAGCCGCTGTTTATCAAACTGTACTTCCCATACATATATATATATATATATATATAGACACAAAGATAGTTTTGGGATTTCACATGAAAAACAATTGAATTTCATATAAGCGGATATTTTGATTATTACTTTTTCACGTTTTCAGAATATTCCAAAATTATCTTAAAATTGATATCACTGGAGACTTGAATGAAGAAACACAAACAGCAATGAATCGCCCACGGTGTGGCTGTAATGATGTATTTTCTATTTGGATGAACCAAACAACACAAGATAGAGTTAAACGTTTTGCTAGATATGAACCTGTCAACTTCAATGCAAGTGAGTATATTTCTTGATATCACAGATGTATATCGCAGACATATTCTAGTAAGAAACTCCGAAGTGTCAGAATGAGATGCAGAAAGAATCATAATGAATGGTGTCACAATATTTAATGTAATTCTTGAGTTACAACAGGCGAGATTCAAGTAACAAGACGTAAGATCGGGTCAAAGGTCGTACTTTATTTAATCCTTACTATAAAATAAGCACGCAAGTGATGACAATTTTTCTAATGACGTTGCCATTTCACGACATAGTGACCGACCTTTTATGATTGTTTTAATATAAAGAATTCATCTTTGAAAGTTGATGCGTCTCTTACACAATGTGTCTCTTACATTGTTGTAATATTTTACGTCATAGATACATGTAACAAATAAATGTATGTGATCTATATTTGATGGCTGGGAATGCTTTGAAAATTAGACAACGCTTGTTTGAATATTTCTTTAGGAAATGGCTGGTCGGTGACGAATCTTACGTGGCGACTGCTTGGGTCTACTCGATCTAGCCCAATTCCTGAGAGTGTGGTCAGGTACTGTATTTCCGTTTTGTCTTTATGTATGCATTTGTGTGTCTTGTACAGTCTTCATAATGTTGTTTTGTTGTAAAGAAAATACAAAGAATAACAAACATCTGTATGTGTGATTATGTATGTGTATTAGATGTTGAATGACATTTAAGTACACGTTAAAATAGAGAAAAAGTATTTCCAATGATAAGATGACTGTATAAATATAACAAATAAGGGCATCAGATAAAAATGTTCTTTTTTAAAACTTAATCATTATAAGAAGCTTTAGATTGAATCAATAAAACTACTGGACATGTCTACTAAATTCAATGTAATATTGACACTAATACCAATGATGTTTTATAAAATGTATAAGGAAACTTCATTTTTTCTCTTTATTGTATGACGTTACATTACTGTTGAGCAGGAATATATATGGTTTTGACGGTTGTATAAACTATTCCTTTATCAGATATGCAAGTTACTTTTATCTGTAATACCTCCCCAGTAGGTGCATAATTGAAAATACTAACTATAAGACACAACACAACAATTTACCCTCGGTGTTTGTATATAAAATTTTCGCCTTTCAATCATTTTCATCTTTTTGTCTCAAGGTCTGAGATTATAAGAGCATTTGCACTGTGGTCAGCGGAAACACCACTAACATTTAGAGAGGTCAGTAGTGGAGCTGACATCGACATTGACTTCGTGGTGGGTCGTCATGGCGATGGTAGTCCATTCGATGGACCTAGTAAGTTGCTGATATAAAAACCAAAATTTATATTCAAACTCCAGTTCTTTATTAGAAAATAAATCTATCTAGCTATTTCAAATAAGGTTAGTATACTATGAATTAGTGGTAAACGGTTTTACTCTTATTGGAAACAGACATATGGCATTTAATCAATGCAATAACGTACAAAGCAAGACACATTGATAGTAACCAATCGTAACGTTTTATAATATTTAATATTTTTGTGATTTCAACGCTACGGTGCACGAATGAGAACTAAAATGTTAACGGATAATGTTATTGCATTTTCAGGTGGGGTGCTTGCACATGCCTTTTTCCCTCAAGTTGGAACCACTCATTTTGATGACCAAGAGCAATGGACCACAAACTCTACCACAGGCGCAGGAATAGACCTGTTCATAGTTGCTGCCCACGAGTTTGGGCACGCCCTTGGACTCGACCATTCCAATGTCCGTAACGCTCTCATGTTTCCGACATATCTAGGTTTTATTCCCAACTTCAAACTGAGCAATGACGATATTAGAGGAATCCGAAGTATCTATGGTAATGATGTTGATATGAAATGGTGTTATGTTCAGTTGGAAGTGTTCCAGATGTGTTCGATTCAAGTCAGATAAAATACGTCATGATGATGGATATTAACCTACATTTATACGTCATGTTTAACTATAATTAGCTATTACCTGTTGGATTTCTCAATATTTTCAAATTTGAAATTTTGAAAATATTCTTTCCACTTATTTATAAATCATGAAATACTAAATGAGTGACTTTACTTATACTATTTACATGACATCTAATATATTAATTACAGGGGGACCACCCACTCTTCTGCCAACTCGCCCACCAACTCTTCCGACCATTCGTCCAACCACACGTCCAACTACTCGTCCAACCACCACCCGCAGACCAACTCCTCCAAACACTACACGCAGACCTAGTACAACCTTTCCCGAATGTAGGATACGATACAATGCAATATTTGAAGGTATCGACTTTTATTTGAAAATAACGATTCCACCTGAATTAGGCGTTTTTGTTTTGTTCCTTTGAATTAGCATTCTTTGTGGAGGCGTTCCTGAGATGAGCGAAAATAGAAATTATAATGGCCATAATTATACTTTACAAACTATCAACCTTTTAAGATAAGAAAAAAAAACTTTCGAACTATTTGTCGATATTTAAAGATATCATTGTCTCGTAAGTAACTGTGTGTTTATTTTACAAATTAAATAATTAAAATACCTAAACATGATCATAGAAGCACTATCAGGAAATGGTACCACCGTTTTCTTTATTTTCCTTAGATGACAACGGTGATTTGCTGATGTTCGGAAGAAGGAATTTGTACAATGTGCCAGTTTATGACCCAGAAACCAGATTGTTTTCTGGTACACGTGCGTCAAATATGTTCCCTCGCATTATGTTTAATCCGGATGCAATTTTCCACGTCCCTGGATACACATTCGTCATCAGAAGTAAATATTGACCATGTCTAATCTTAGTGACCTTGTCTAATTTAGTAACGCAGCGATTCGTTCAGATTATAAGAACTTATGACTGACAGCTTATTGATGATTGATACGACGTCTGACGATTCTGATCATCTATACTCATTAATTTTAGAGATATTAAAAATTAACTTACACATCGGCATGTGCGACTTTACGTAAAGAATGAAATGTATTATTAGCGTTGAGAAAATAGGATTTTCTTCACTGAAGGCAGAGGTTTGACAAGGCGACTAAGAACGCGCTAGCGTTTTTTCAGAGCAACATTTAATGTCATTTTTTTCATATTAAATGTACATTATATTTATAGATTTATACGACCTAATTTTAATTATCATCAAAAAAAATAGAAATTTTGCTAATTTGATATAGGTTAATTGTCATTTATGTCATTTTCTCATACAAGCAATTGAAATATCACACAGCTAAAACCAAATGTTACCACTCAAACATACCTATAAGTAATATTCTAAAGCCATCATTCCATGTCGTTTTACAGGAATGAGAATACAGCAATTTTCTCGCAGTGATCGTCGTTTAACTGGTTCGCGGGTGCTGAAGGCTGATACTTGGAGTCGTTTAAATGGGTTACGGAGAGGGTCTCGAGTAACAGCAGCCGTGGCCCTTACACAGAATACCGTCTATTTGTTTGGACGTTTTGGGGTAAGATAGCGCTTTCGTGTATAAAAAAATGAGTTCATTATAATGTACATAATTTTAGTATAATAAAACAGTTATGAAAAGCAAAAATTCATGAATTATTATGAGCTGACAAATTAATGTATGAAAAGAATTAAGCACAAACCTTTTCCCTTTAAAAACAAGATATTGATGTAAGAATTATCGTCATCGATATAAGAATTGTTCTGTGCCACAGATTAATCTGAGCCTTTAAAGTGTTTGAAATCATAGATACACGTATGAATACCTCCGCTCTTGTATGTCTTATTCAATGGTTCATACATGAAGTCAAATTTCCTTTCTACAGTTGATAAAACGAAGGTACGATAGGAATAAGGGATGATTTGTTCTCAAATGTTTTTCATATCTACATGCCATAGACCTAAGGCAATTTCAAGTAGGCAATGTCTGCGTATCTATTTTTAGCATGTGTGTTAAAAGATAAAAAGAAACTCAATTCAATTTCACCTGCTTTTATCATGAACTTATCTCTAGCCAGGCGTCCCATTTTATTCTTATGTTTTCAATTTTAGAGACAAGCAGGCTATGTATGGGAATATGACCTGTCCAACGGAAAAGTGAAATCCGGGTCTATGGATTTGATAAGTAGGAAATTCCCAGGCATTCCCAGAGAAGTCACCATGGCGTTTTCTCGTGACCCATCAGAAATAATTTTCGTCGCAAATGGGAGGCATGTACCATTGATTATTTTGTGTTAACCAGCACTATATCTATGACCTACCATGGTAACACGGACATCATTGCTAGTTTTTCCTGTTCTTGAATTTTTATTGTCAAAAATACAATGGATATTTATTCATGTCCAGATTAGAACAAGGTGGCCGCGGTATTTAGTCGCTATATTGCTTGTTTTTTATTTAACCCTAAATTAATCCTTTACTTATGGAAGACTTGTGGTATATTGTTATAATGGAAATTAAAGAAATATTAATAGATCTGAATGATGACAAAAAAACTACACATATTTCAACTCATACCCATAATACTTTTTTGCTTTTGTTTACAGCTACTACCGTTACGACACTGAATCATTTGATGTTTCGGGACCATTTGATTTTGCCCCAGCTTTCATTGGCGGTAGATGTGGAAGGGCGGAGATTTAAAGAAGACTTGCTGGCTGGAATCGCTACGCATTGTACATCGGCTTTACATAGTATTTTCCTTGCGCTTGGAAAGATTATCATTTTTCATTACTTGTGATTTTTTTTCTTTTTTTTTTTTTTTTTTTTTTCAATTTTTCATATCGTGGATTTTCATTTACATGTATGTTTTGGAAATATTCTTTCTATAAAGATTTGTTTTGTATGTTGAATTTTTGTTTTTGTTTCCAATTTTAAGTATCAGCAAATTGTGAATATTATATCAAAGAGAACATAACTCTATTTAGGAATTCTCTGATATGTCAGATACTCTATACGGAGTACGTAAGAAATATTGATTGCACCAAGTACCTTCTAATTGATAATAAAAAAGGACTTCGGCTGTCCCTAAAAAAAACACTTGTTGAGTCAATATGTTATGTTGATTAATTATCTATATCATGTTATTCTTTAGCAATGACATCACGATGTATAAACTGCACGTCATGAGTCAATACATATGTTTTATACGCCACTAATGAGAGAGCGAGGTATTTGCTTTTTATCGGCCCCGGAGTTGCAATGGTCAATTCGTATCATTAAAGCAGGTGCACAACTGAACAACATATGGGTCAATGGGCGTCGAAGTAGCACCTCAGATTTTTACCTGAGATACAAAGTACAAAAAATCAACACCCTAGATAAAGATCCAGCTATGAAGTTTAGGAATGAAGTATGCAATTACTACAGAGTTTTTAGTGCAAAATATGTCTTCCATATCAATGTATTTATATTATGCGATGCATTCGCCGATGTATCATAAATTTACCAATTGTAGTATACAAGATGATATACTACATTTTACAGCGGATATGTTTTCCTAGTAGATAAATATGGACGTCAGTCACTCTCGGTATCAATCTACTGACATATCCGAAATTGTGTGGCTTCAGGCAGAGATTTCTCACAAAAAAGTCAACCATTCCTCGAAAAACGTAAATATCCCTTTCCCACCATCCCCCTTCTCCCCCCCCACCCCTTAAAAAAAACAAAAAAAAAAAAAAAAAAAACAAAACAAAAAAAAAACAAGAAAAAAACTGGATACGTTTCTTGATTTTGCTGAATTTCCCAGTTTTTGGGATCATAATATTTTACACAATTGTTGTTTCTCATGATACGATAAACATACTATACAAAATATAATCGAAGGAAATATTCAACTGAACTCTGAAGTCAAATGAAATGTTACTAGGTGGCAGTATACAGTCGACAATTTTGGTGTTAGACGGCGTTTTATACGTCTGTCACCCAAATTTTATTCATATCCACTGTTTACTTCCATCGTGTAGCAGTTCATTGTTTAAATGAACACGTGTTCCTGAAGACATACATCAAGAACAAACATATTGTTTTTTTCACTAAGCAGGTACATAGTATGTTTTCTGTGATTATCTTACTGGATGTCCAAGATAGGAATCTTTTTTATTTCAAAAAACGATATTGTGATACCTTAAACACTTATTTCAAAACAGTTTTCATGCTGTTCGGCTTGCAAAAAATTAGCATATCTTAGTTGCGAAAAATTAACATTAAACCGAGAATTCCGACAACTAAATGTTTACGAGTATTTACAACGTTCGTACTTCGCAATCATACACAAACATATTAAAAATCATAAGTTTACCCCACACACCAAGCCATCTTGATTTCTTAAGAGTTCTGGTGCTTTCCCTTACAGCATTACCCTTCTTATAATGTTCCATTCGAATGAATAACATTTAATATAAAAAAATGTCATAACATGTTTCACTTTTGTTATTTGGGACTAGATTTTAATATGCATTGTATAGTAATTTAGTTTAAATGGCGCTTTCCTGTTAAGCTAAAATCCTTTAATCGACATCCGCCAGACATCCGCAGTTTTAAGCCCTTGATGCGAGATCCTCGGGAAAATTATTTGAAACGCCTGGTTGTAAAATTACGCAGTACTCGTGTGCATCAGCAGAGTTACACATTACCTATAAACCATTGGGTTTGTCATAACAAAATATAATAAAATGTCATACTTTTGGGAAAATAAGTTGTTGAAAATATCTGCGTTTCTCTTGATTTTTTTTTTATCTTTTTTAAAGTATTGTACAGATATATTGTCATATCGTTACGAAACTAAAGACTAGAATGGTGATTTTAGAGAAATGGCAATAAATTTATTAATCTTTTAAATAATTAATGAGTTTTTATTCGTGAAGATGAAGCATCATGCATTTAGGGGATTTTAACACTTTGATTTCTCCGATACGAACTCTGGGGTTTAAAACTTGCATTTAGCATAGGTGTCCCTTGGTAAGTCATCAAAAATGTCTTCTCTTTGTCACAATAATGATACAAAAGTTTAAATTTCGAATATTTCATTCTGCAGTATTTACATTATGCGTTGCATTTGCTTATATGTCGTACTACACCCTTTATAGTGTATGAGGTTGTATCCTTCAATTTAAAGTGATGAGGACAGTGTTTAAATACAGCTTATAATGTCTCCAATGTAAACAAACATGGCCGCCAGTAACAATAATTAAACAGAGCTAGCATACAAACAATCTGATTTTATTTTAAATTTAAAAAATCCTTTTAAGTCAAAATTATGAAAGAAAATCTAATAGTCCAATTTGTTACACGCGGCATGGAATTTCGTCACCACTTGTCCACAAATTCTTTTAAATTTCACAAAAATGAAACACATTCCATTTGTCGGTCACCCAAATTGTATTCATGTCGACTGTATACTGTCATTTGGTAACAGTTCAAAGCTTAAATATTTGAAAATAAAATAAGGCACTTTTTTCATAAAATTTATATAGTTTAATATAATTTATATAACTTCTTATAAAAATACACATATTAGAAAAATATACAAACAAGTTCTTTTTTTCATAGTTTAGCGATCAAATGGAAAGCAAGAACTGATAAACGTTTATAAAAACACTTTATATATATATATATCATTACACTACGAAGTAAATGACTCTACATGTATATGAGATATACAAGCTGATATATACAGAAATATGTCAGCGTTTATAAAACGAAAAATGTGTACACTTGCCTGTCTTTTGATACCTCTATAACGAGTATTTCCGACATAAAATCTGGTGATTCGGTAATCTCACATATAGTATCTTAAATATTATACGGTATCCAATAGGCAAAGTTGACATATTTTGCATAGAAACTGTTAACACATAAAAAAACATTATTATGCTTCAAATCATTTTCAGTATCGAGATATCTGATTTATCCTACTCAGAGTGGAGTCAGCGTTCCTTCAGAGCTTTCCACATCAGAGTTTTCTCCCTTTGTACCCTCTCCAATACCGATCGATTCTCCATAGCTCTTCTTGACAGGTAGGCGAGTGTGTCCTCAACAGATCCATACGGTATGGACTTGTAAACTGGCATCTTTAACTCACCTGTGTGAAATCATAAATTTAGACAATCAAAATTATTTTAAAACGATTCTCTTTTCATCATTTACTAAAAAATAAGATATTTTGTATTTGTTTTGGAACATTTTCTTCAGGTCGGCAATGTTAATACAAGATATGTTCTTATAAAAAGTAGAAGATTAGAGTGTGACGTTTCCATGACTACACGATCACCCTCATCAGACACATGACCAGTGTGGAGAGTACAAAGTTTACGAGAAGGTACCGAATCGACCAACTTTTTCGGTTGTACTACGTGTATAATCCTATGTACACTACGGTCACAGTTTTAAGTCAACACAAGTGAGTGCAACAGGTAACGATGATGCACTAGATGTGAGTTCTGTCCGATGCACTCGCGTTACTGTTACTGGAACGTTGAGATGCCTGTGACGGATGCAATGTGGGCGGGTCTAGTGATTGGGATGCCTGGGAAGATGACTTCGATGAAGGAGCATGATGGATGGGGCTGCTGAGTTTGGGCACTGATATCACTGAGTCGATCTACACCAGTGTGCGATGTTACAAGCGTTTTGGGCGACTCAGATGTCGACTTGACGAAAATCTAGCCGTCCAATGTCAAGTGCGAGTGTATACACTTGCCTTTCCATAACTCACTTAGCCTGTTGACAATACTCTGTCGGTACTGAGTGAGGCTTCTAGTTATGAATGTTCTGTTCGGGTTGTTTTTCAGGTTCGACTTAGCCTGGTATACTTTCTGTCGGTCAGTATACCTCAGGAGACGGACATGAACGGTTACTTTGTTGTTCCGAACTTTATCGAGGGTATGGCTTCTGGACAAGTCTCCTTCTGACAAAGAAACCCAAATCTCCCGACATATATACAGAACAGCCCGGTTGGTATCGAACTCCCGAATATGACCTGATGATGGAACATTGTGGAGCCTGAGAACTGTGCGCCTCGAGTACTGCTGCTGATCATCACAATCAACTAACAGTTTGTCAACAGTTTCAGTCAAATACCTAATTTGAGAGCCCTGTTTATTGATAGCATCCTGTAGGGGATCAACGCCTCTTCTACTCTACTGTTCACAGCTGAGGTAAGGACAGAACTATCCGAGAGGGCCAGAGCGACAGCACTATCAATAGCTGGCTTCATGGAGTTGAGTAACAGGTTCGAAACCATTGTTACAAGGGTAGAAGCCAGGGTTTCATCGAATTTGTTAAGAAATTCAGATGAAAACATGATGAATGTAGCTGCATCAGAAGACATATCAGCTGGGTAGAAGGTGTGATAAGGGACGTTGGAGGAATCTTTTGTTTTCCGTATTTAACTCATCGGTAGGGGTGAGTGGACTGCTCATCGTTTTTCTTTTGTGAAATAAAGAGTCTTGGGTTGACCTAAACGGATTAATGAGGACCATAGCTTCTTCGGAGGTTTTAGCAGAAATTGAGGTAGAGGTTTTCGGGCACGTACCTGAGTGAGAGTCCATTATACCGGTTTTACAGGCAATGTGTTGCAGGCTAAATATAGAATCCAGGTACAAGTAACAACTGGTCACAGCAAAACAAGTATTTAAGCCACAACGCACAGAAGTACTCCAGTTAAATTATGGGTCTTAGTCTTCCTTCGTCACTTATACATCGTTGATATCAACACTCTCAAAGAAGTACGTCCTAGAATATAGGTAATTACAAAAAAATATTTCACCACACGAGAGCCACTGCTCACCTTCGCTTGACACTTACGTGACCTCAATCCCAGTAAGTAAAGTCATGTTCCAAAATGAGAACAAGTATACCAACGACTATTTAAAATGTCCAACTTCGTATTATACAATAAAGAGAATATGATCAGGTTTGATCATTGTGATGAATGTTTTATCTATCTCAATTTCTTTAAACCCATGTCGCAGTTTGCATATCTTAATCCGATATTTTACACGAGAGTGATATTTGGATCAAGCCCCTGCATATCAAATCAAGAGCAAAATCTAAACACCAGTGATTTGGGATATTGATATCGTTCCGCGTATCAAGCAGCTTGGTGCAATGCTGTCCGTATTGGTTTCGTTGAAAAGCACGCTGTAAGCGGTTGATAAAGAAGAGTCTGTCGTGCCCTTGATTCACAGTTGTGGTGGGTATATACGATGTACTTAGTAAATATATTTCCTGTTACATAAAGGCGGAACATTATCAGTATATCTGAAAGGGAAATCGAAAGTTTGGCACGGTTATTTATTTTCATCCGTTTCTTTGAACATTTGTCACTTAGATATAGACACCACAGAAAAGTCGATTCAATGGAAACATTCTGACTCTCTCCGGAATAGAACCTAACCCATACAGCAACTGTCAGAATCAGTGTGTTTTGGGATAAAAAGAAATGCTGGTAGTTTCATCAGTAGTACTTACTATGAATACCAAATGAAGCAGTGAGAAAAGTTACCAATCAAAGAAAAGTAGAGAGGAAGCTTTAGTAGACACGCATTGCTTCTTCAGGATAAAGCTACTGTTCAAATTGCAGTTGATGTTAGACGCAAAATTGTTTAAACGCATGTACTCTTTTACTGTCAAGATCAGTTCCAGTGAACACCACTTTCATAAATGTAAAAAACAACTTTTCATCTTTTTATGATTAAGAATGAATGAATGAATGAATGAATGAATGCTGCTGCTACTGATGATGATGATAATAATGAAGGCTGCAAAAAAACATGTCTTAAGGGCCACATCGAAGACACCTGTCTTGACGCTCTAAATAGCTCAAAGGAGTATGGAAGTAAGTGTATTAAAGCGATTAGGAACTGAAACAATAGTGTAATACTCAGTCTGCTGAAGTAAATTATATCTCACTCAATGAATTGTTTGAACTCCCGTTCTACAATGCTATGATAATTTATCTTACTTAGCGTGAAGGTTACGTGCTCACACATCCCATACAGTTGACCAAAGAAAAGCGATCCACACAGCGGGTTGATCCCCAAGTCCATAATCCTGAAACAATTGAACGGCTTGCGAAGTGAAACCTAAATACAAAAACTACAATTCTACATCTATATAAAATACAGTCGAATAACGTTATCTCGAACTCTTACAACGAGAAGACCAATTTTAATTATGAATATTTCTTCTGTACCAGCAAAACTTTCACCAAACACTCTATCTTACTTAAATCGAATACTCAGATAACCCGAAGTTTACCAACGGTCCCTCCTACGTCGAAAAATCGAAATAACGAAATTCGACTTTAATAATAATAATAAATTGATATTTCTAGCTCGATATCAATACCATAAAGGCTAAAATAGAATCGTCTGAAACATACGTGTTTTTGCTACAGTTTAGGTAAATAATTCCTAAACTCATCAGTCAAGTATACATTACGCTTTTCAGATTTCAAAACAAAATTTGATAGAAGTATGTAAGGGCAAAGGTAGCCAAATCGAAGAAAGTCAATTAATGCGTTACATTTCTAATTAGGTAAGAATCAAGCATTGTATTATCATTACGATGTCACAATGGAAAAAAATACTAGCAAGATTCCAGATATTCCTTTGTTCTATAAATGTTGAATCTTTTTGTTTCCTATTCAGTTACAAAATCAAAAAGGCACAGCTAGAAACCAAGAGCAATCTGTACATAATTAAGGAAATGACAACATTTAAAGGGTTTAGGCCGCGATTAGGGTTCTGTTATATGGTTGTCCACATAGCAATGCCATTGATACAGCGCAGTTAAAAAATGCACCAATACCTATATCTAGGTAGTCTAAAAAAACTCGTGACGAATGAGTGAGAAATTTCATGCGATGATTTGTTGCGTGAAAAAGATACATATAAAGTGTTACTTCGACTTCTCATGTGAACAGTAATGCAGAAGGCAGACACTTCTCATATAATCTCGCTTTTTTGTGATTCCCTTGAAATATCATACTTCACCTAACTGCGACGTATTTCTCTATACAAACCAGATCAAATACTGTTTATCTAAATTACAGGATCGTGAGAATCGACATTTAATTACCTTTACGTCAGACACGGAATCATAAGATTTCAGTAACAGAGATATCTTAACAATGGCACGTGTACACAGTTCCACACAATGTCACGGTACATTTGTGCGTGTGTAAAAATATTGTAACATACACAAGATAATTATGGGAGGATCAAAGAAATAATTAAATGTATAACTTCCGGTGACAATTAAGCGGTAAAATCAACTAAATGACTTGAAGGATTCTAATAGTTGAATTTCTTGCACTTTTTTAACACGAATGTTTATCACGTGCTTTGATAGGCGGAACGAAAATGTTATAATATTACACTAGCATTCTTTATTTTCCATATGTATAAACTTTCATAGAACAATACAGAAATGTTATTACATGATTAACAGTTATGGAATTTTCTCCTAGGCCGGGTGAACAGATTGATTTTAAGTGGCTATTACCTTAGATTTCAACATCGGGAAATGGAGAATTCGGCTTATGAATAATAAAATATATCTATAATAGCGATACATGCGCCTTTAACGTCAAATTTTGTTGTTTTTGTACATATTTTCGGCATCGGGACTTTGTTTTTCCTAGCTATTGTTCATATACCTGTTCACGGTCGGTTTATTACGAAGAAAGCCGAGTGGGTCACATGGCTTGTCACTTGACGAAGTCATTTACTTCCGCCGTAAAGAAAATCAAAGTACTGAGAGGCTAAACGTATTGAAAAATGTTCACAAATAACCGCTAAGATATATTACTTTCCCCATACTCCTACACTTTGGAATGCAAAAATTCCTTAAATAAGAGAACCAGAGGCTATTTTTCTTAATTTTAAGCGATTTTATATCTTCTTTAATTCTTATTTCAAATTTGACGACAATAATGTGAATAAATAAAAATAGGTAAAAAAAAAGAAAAATAAAATACACACAACCATATATTTATCGCTAACAAGCCAAATGACAAATAGCTCTATGATGAAGTTGACTAAATAAAACCTTTGAAATACCCAAGATGTTGCAATTACTATCCTATCAATATGAGGATTTAAACAAATCGAAAGGACTTTATACCTACTTCTTTATTTTGAATGTATTGCAAAGTAATAGTCCTTACTTATTATAATCATATTTGTAGTTGAAGAAAGTAGATAAGGTATACACAGCATTTCAGATAGATAAAAGTGTAAGTAATTACATTAAATGTATTTACATGCCTATCTTCCTTGAAGTATCATGGTTAGACATTTCTTCCAGTAATTACGTCTATAAAGGCATGGTTCTATGAGATTAAACCAGACTTCAATATATATACAAAATTTACAATATTTTCACTATAGCTACTATTATGTCTGATCTCCAATGCATTAGATAATGTCACCATGACACGCTAAATGAATAAATATGTTATGGAAATATTTCGTTCTAGTTAATTGATAATTATAAACATGAATATTTTGTTTTTTTATACGCGCTTTGTTTAAAGGAGTATTTTCATTTCAAGGAACTTTGATACACATTAACAAACATTGAGAAATCAGCACAATCAACCTTCATCAAATAAAACTAAAAGACAAAAAATATAGGTTATAACAAAGTCAACATCATGATCAGTACAGTATTAAAAATATATCATTCATAAATCATGAGCACCAAATGTACCTTGCCTACGAAGCGCAAACTTTTTATCTTCAAAAACTTGAAAAAGTGTCATGGCGGTGGATGTGAAAATCCTGAAAACGTGTCATATCGGCGAGTGTGCGCGTAGGACGAACAGTCCAATTTTGTGACGTCTAATGAGGTAAAGTGAAGTTATATATTAAGACGATCTTGCCACAACGACAAGGATTAAAGCAAAACTGATGTTCTGTTTGTAAGTTTTGTTTGTTTATAAGTGCTTTTAGTTGGTAATTCAAACAAAACCCCCAGACTAGCTTCTTATCATGGCGCCAACTCGCACGGACAGTGTTCTGTACGCTTACGTCATGTCGAGAATTCCGTAAAATATATTGTTCAAAATTTATCAATAATTTAACCACACTGTGCTTCTTTTTTTAAATATATAGTAATTGTATTGTTATTAAAAAAATAAACTAATTTTGGATGCTTTTAAAATAGCGATTTGAAAAATCGCGGCATTATTTACGCTATGCGTACTGAGTACGTTTAGCCTAAAAAGGATTACGAGGAAAGTGTAAACAAATGCACGTCTTATGTATGACACTTGCTTTTGTGCCTTTCTGCTCATTCTTGTTTGCAGTAAATAATTCTGTATCGTTATATTATATATTTTTTAACAATCAATCTTAGTAATTCGTTTTGTTTTGGCTCCTCGTCGCCTTTTCGTATTTGCGTCCGCCATATTACTTCTTTCTAGGCTTATACGCATGCGCAGCATCAGGGTTACGAGCGGTAATGTATGAATTAGATCAAGACCGCACTGTTTACATTATTTATTTTTTAGATATCAATAAAAAATGGTTGCAGTGACTTTTAATTCAAGTAATGAACAGAAAGTCTCAGTTTTGTAACATACTATTGGAAAATAGAACGTTTTATATCGTTTTCTCGTAGAGTTTTTTTAACATTATAGTCGCTTTAAATATTTATATGTACGGTAGATACTGTGTAGAATCAAGGTAAGCTGTTACACATGGCAAGTAAGAGGAGCCCGAACACATTCGGTTTTTTATTTTGTTATCATAACACGTTCATAAAAGAGACAAACAACATTTTAAACTTGTAGTTAAGTAAAGACACGATCGCCTACTGCAAACTGTAATTTGTATTCAGTTTCTCTGTTGTCTGTCTGGAGGAGTTCATGTAGAGAAATCGGTCGCATAAAATATAACTTCTTTTTTCACCGCTGCACTTATTATGATGACATTTTACTTCCCTTTGGTCTTGAAAAGTATTACTTCAATCGTTACTGATTAGATATTGTCAAAAAGTTACAAAAGTTCCTTATTTTCCTAAAGATTTCTGATTTCGAAGTATTGATAAGTGTGCGGAATGCCGCGATACAACGATGTACACTAAAATGGACCAGTCATGGTATTTATGAAAGTTGCCATCACTAAATTAACTGCAGTCCTTCGAGAAGTTATTCTAGACATATAGGCTATGAATTGTCTCGGACAAGTTTGTAGCTGTATATAGTCCTGTCCTGTTGTTGCCTACCTTTCAGAATAAATCGATAAATGAAAAACGCCTTCTTTTTCGCTATCTTACATAATCATGGAAGTTATATATATAAAAAAATACACGCACACTTTACCTTCATTAGAAACCGTATATGATGATGGTTGTCAGCTAATAGTCTTTACTAAGGTATTCAGCAAATATTAGTATGGCGATTGTCTTAGGTTAATATAATCACCTTCTCACGGCTTTCGACACAGTAGCCTCGTTATGGGTAGCGATAATGGCGGATGATTTTCTCGGATCCCTGGCGATGTTGTCAAGCATGACGTTCATGGATCGATGGTATGTGTCTGACGTAGCCTGATGTGAGGGGTTTGTGGGGTCGGAATACCCTACCTCCCGGGCTAGACGTCTCTCCTTGTCGATATACGCACCACGTACAAGTTTTGTTCCGAAACCGACCCCGTGACTGTGTATATAGGACAGGTCTGTTTTCATGTAATCATCCATTCCCTGGTGATGGAGACAATGATTTATACAGAAATTTAGATATAAATAATCTTACTTTTTGATTAAACGAGGAAATCAAATCATCTTAACGTAGTTTTATTTGTTTATCTATACGTTATTTTTTAACTGATCGGTGTTTGTTTTTCGTCTGTGTCGTGGTCTTACCATTACGTTTAACGAATATGGTGACTAGTGATGTTTACGAATCTCGTAACCAGTGGAGTTCTAATTTATTTAAATCCACGAGCTAGTCCCAACATTTCTAGTAAGTGCGCAATATATCAGTACAATGCATCCGTGATAAGTTATAGCGTTTTGAATTTGTCCCTGTCAGTTAGGAGAGAGGATAATGTGTATGTTTAAGTCTGTTACATATACACGCAGATTAAGTATGACAAATCTTTATTATAATTATCATTATTTGTGTTTGTTTGTGTGTAAAATTTGACGATTAATTAAAATATACTAACCTTGAGATAGTTTTGATAAGTGTAATATACAAGCGTCCTTCGTCCGTTACAGACTAACATCATGGCCAAGGATAAAAGATTAAGAGCAGGATTCAAGTAAGTGTATTCTGCGTCCACCATCACAATGACACCTTTATCAATAGCAGCCTTTGTTTAGAAGGAAAGAAAATGCATCATTTATAAACCTTAAATTTAAAAACTCCACTCAGAATTTCTTACAACTCTTATCAGATATGGACCTTCTCTGAGGTCAATATAGTGTTATATCAACGTTTTAGAAAAATACTGACCACGTTCGAGGTCACTGTATAACATTTCAACCCGGTCGATATGACACCATGCATATTGACCACAACTAAAGGTCCTTAATTTCATGTTACCTTTGTTCATATTTACCAATGCTTTTATGACTACCTCTGGAATAAACGCATCATAAATAGTCTTATCTTAAAATCAGTCAAATATATGATAATTTACAACGTGTTTAATTCCTTAACATAGTACGAAAAAGTTCAGACATTAGAATTGAACTTTCACAACATATCTTCTGTCTGATACCATGGTACCCATATGGTTCAACTGTTACAAATGGTATACTTAGATATCGAAACATTGAGAAAGAACATACACTGACGCTTGTCAGCTACCGATTCTATTGACCTCACTGCGATAGTCAATCTAAAAATTAAACTTTTATCACTGTATTTTAAATCACCATTTGCTTTGAATGGTAGTATTTTCTTGATTAAGAATAATTGGGTTTTTTTCTTGATAGATAAACAAATTACACACGGTGTAACAAAATACCTTGCAGAGTTTTTGAAGTCGTGACAAGCCCCTGGATAATTCAGCTTTCTCAATTTCTGACAGAAAATCCATGGATATCTAAAACGAAAAAAAAACGTAATAATAAAATAAATAAATTTCAAACCAAATGGATGGTTATAATCGATTCATTGTGTTTGCAATTAGCCGTGTTATTATTTATTAATTTTTTATGGAAAAAGCAAATTCAAGTTATTTTACAAGACTTCTTGAATTTTTGCCAAGAATCAGCCATGGCTACTGGCCATACATATGTACTGTTTTGTTTCTACAGACGGAATAAACCGGAATAGTGTTATTTCTATTTTACCTCATCTCCGTTCAAGATCCCATTGGCTACATTCTCAACCACGTGACCTGTTTGAGATGGATGTGGAACATGCGTAGATATCGTTTCCTATGTAATGAAGGTTTCTACGTTTTACAAGTAAATATGGAAGAGAGGAATTACAAGATTTTTACATATCATTTATTGGATACATATTTCAATATGTAAGCAGATTTACTGGCCCAGAATTAGGCGAATGCAGTACATCTTAATAATTTTTTTTACGCCTCGTTTTGAATTATTGACATACTTTGCTGACAGGCTTATCTGTACTTTACACACAACTCAAAATATAACTGTTGTATATTCATTTAAAACCGCAAATCACACATATTTTGGAATAAAAATCATTGAAGTGAAAAGAAATACAAACAGCAAGACATGTGTATCATAGGTATCGTTTTAAAGGTACTGAAAACAGGTCGATATAAAGAGTGCTTTGGGAAAAAACATTTGCATATATTATAAACTTCATTATCAATATTGGTGTTGATTTTGAGGAACCGTATAGGTTTTACTATTTCCCAAATCACACGTGAACGATAAAGCAGCTTGTAGTATTAACTTAACCCTATATCTAATATTTTGTGTGTTAGGTACCACACAGTCTTAACTATATCCTCGATCCATTTTACAGGGTGTTAGGTACCATAAAGCCTTAACTATATCCTCAATCCATTTTACAGGGTGTTAGGTAACATACAGCCTTAACTATATCCTCAATCTATTTTACAGTGTTTAAGGTACCATACAGCCTTAACTATATCCTCATTCCATTTTACATGGTGTAAGGTACCATACAGCCTTAACTATATCCTCAATCCATTTTACAGGGTGTAAGGTACCATAAAGCCTTAAATATATCTTCAATCCATTCTAAAGGGTCTAAGGTACCATACAGCCTTAACTATATCCTCAAACCATTTTACAGGGTGTAAGGTACCATACAGCCTTAACTATATCTTCAATCGAATTCTAAAGGGTCTAAGGTACCATACAGCCTTAACTATATCCTCAATCCATTCTAAAGGGTCTAAGGTACCATACAGCCTTAACTATATCCTCAATCCATTCTAAAGGGTCTAAGGTACCATACAGCCTTAACTATATCCTCAATCCATTTTACAGGGTGTAAGGTACCATACAGCCTTAACTATATCCTCAATCCATTTTACAGGATGTAAGGTACCATACAGCTTTAACTACATCCTCAATCTATTTTACAGGGTGTAAGGTACCATACAGCCTTAACTATATCCTCAATCTATTTTACAGTGTGTAAGGTACCAAATAACCTAAACTACATCCTCAATCTATTTTACAGGGTGTTAGGTACCATACAGCCTTAACTATATCCTCAATTCATTGTGAAGTCTGTAAAGTGCCATATAGTCTTTACTATATCATCAATCAATTTTACAGTGTGTAAGGTACCATACAGCCTTAACTATATTTTCAAACCATTTTACAGTGTGTAAGGTACTATATTTTACTGTATGTAAGGTACTACGTAGCCTTAATTACATGCTTCATCACGTGTGCAGTATATAGGGTTACCTTCACTTAATCAAGTGCAAAGTAAGGTACCTGGCATATAGCCTTAACTAGGACTTAAGGCTTGTGTGAAGCGTATAAGGTACGATATAGCCTTAATTTCATCTTTAACTCTTAGATCTCGTGTGTAATGTGTAAGAGAACTCGAAACCGTAAGTAATCTAATGGAGCGCGTGTTAGAGAATAGGTCACGAGGATATACTGCACCAAGGACAGCAAACGTATAAAAATGGTCACTTTTATATATATATACAGTTATGTAGACTAGGTAAGGAAAGGTATTCACATTTACACCATCAAAAATCTAAAACATATTAATTTGAACATGGTAACACAACTGATTAAGAAAAATCCGAAGACTCACAGTGCATATAACAACACTTTAAAATGGTTACAACAACATCAACCCCTAAAAAGAAGTTGATGAAAAAGGAATTAGTATGTTTAACATTTTTTGCTAGGTAACTGTGATCAGCGTTTAAAAAAAGATTCTTCAATTAAGTTTGGACATGAACCGAGAAACCAGAAAGTTCCGAACAATCAATAAACAGATGTTGCAACGTCTCTTTCTCTGAATTGCAAACAAGGCATGTGTCATTGTTGACTTTGCCAATTTTCTTTAACTCGTCCACAGTAAATATTGTGTTATGTACAACTCGATAATGAGCATCAATAATATCACAAGGCAAACATGGCATATACATAATAGAAAACACACGTAGAAGATAAACATCTTGAAAACTCTCTGACCAATAATCCTTAGATTTTGGACTTTTAAAACAATAGCGAATGAAGCATGCATATGTATCCCGGGTAGTCCATAAATAGAGCTGTACAGTGGTTCCTTTACCATCTTATAAGCTCATCTCATATGCTTATAAGTACTGTCTGGTCTGGACTCTTTTCTCCTATTAACGTGTACATAAGTTAAAATGGCTTTCTTATAATCTGCTGGAATACAGCTCATACTAATATTAAAATTGGATAGAACTGTGTCTACGGAGATGTTGGGATCATATTCCTTTACAACATCAGCTACAACATTAGGAGTAAGGAATTTAGATACAACTTCATGTGTTAAATGTTTGACTATAGCTATCCCAGTCTTAGCAAAAGAATGGATACAAATAGGTTTGCCATTCTTCACAAGTTTTGGATTGAAAACCAATGGTTGTTCATACAGGAAACATGTATCCATATTGCTATAATACACCTCATTTACTGTCTGGAAGGCATACCAAGCCTTCAACATTTCCCGATAAACAATTGGTATCTGTCTAACCAGCTATACCATCCCGACATCCCCAATAACAACTGTTTGAAAGTTGAATTAGGGTGAAATATTTGAATTACAGACCCGAATATGTGATAAATGTGGTACATGTTTTCTTTCATATAAGCAGAGTGGTCTTGTTTAAAACTATGGAGAGCTTGATTCAAACACAAATGCCATTATCTGTCAACAACAACTTGATAATTCTTTCCTTGTAGTTTTGGATTTCATTTCCTGAAATGAATATTGGATTTGAAAATATAACTGCAATACCAAGAGACAATTTTGTGCTAGGATTGCAATGCGATGCAGTTTGCTCATAAATGCATATCACATTCATTGTAATGATAACAAATGTATCACAGTGAAACCCAATCCCCTTTTAAAGCATCCGCTCATTGTCATTGGAAATGTATTTGTTAAAAAAGTTGCTCACTTACACAAAGTTTAGCTGGGAGTAGAGCTGTCATTTTCACCTGCATCATAGGATGGGGGTCGTTGAGACCGGAAACGACGCGCAAGCAGTCAAGTATATCATTTAAATTCCGATCGTACTTTCTGTCAGCTTCTCTGTTTGACAAATGAAATGTCATTGATAAATACGACCAATACCATATATGTAAAAGTGGTAAATACTAACGAGAGTATATCGCTCGCCTAGAGAGAAGGGTTGAGCTTGAGCTAGTAAGCCAGGGGTTATGTTCGAATCCTATTGGAGGCATTGAACTAAATAATGACCACTGTTATAGTGGCGCCATTGTAAGAATTCGGGAATAATACTTAACATTGTCCCAAAGACAAACCTGTAACCCATGGAAATTTGAAGACGAGTATGTAACCCTTGTAAATACTAGTCGCAATATAGCGCTCGACCTTCTCTTTACCTCGATTGGTTGAACGTCAGATTAGTATGCCAGCGGTTCGGGGTTCGAATCCTAGCAGAGATATAAACAATAATAATAGAAATAAATAACGACCTTTGTTACCTATAGATGGGTAGTCAATGACAACAAACAAAGGAAAGACAACTCTGTATGAAAAAAGTTTTAGATGTCAGAATATTTTTTTCGTTAAGGCGTCTCGGTTAATTTTTACCTCGGGCCCTGATCATGATACTTTTAATACGTTTTCTTTGTGTTAACATATAAGAGCTTTTTAACTCGTACATGACGTCATCCGTGGTATCTTCTTCCATAGATACCGCCACCAGAGGGCCTATCCCGGTATCACGTAATCGTGCTACTGTCTTTTGGAGAGATTCCGGACTGTCTCCGCCCACAAACTGACCATAGACTGTCCCCTTCGCTACCCTGTCGAACAGTCGACCACCAAGTACTTTCCGGATAGTGTTCATCACCTGAAAACGATTACTTATTTCGTTCAGACTTAGATAAATTTCAGGAGGGTTTAATGAAATAAGATTCAGAGAAAAAAAACTGAATAAATGACAACACAGAACATTACAAATGTACAAAGATCGGGTTAAGCGTTTTTTTCCTAAGCCAAAACAAGCATATAATTTCGTATTCTCAATACTAGTTCTGTGTATAAAGGGATCGTGCGCATACTTCTTGTTATTAAGCTTTACCCTTCAGAAGCAAATCGAGCTATCAAGAGGACAGCGATTTCGTACTAGAAATTGGAGTTTGAGATCCAGCCAGGGTGCGATTAAAGATGGACTTCCTTCAAACACAAACAAGAAAATACTAATATGTCAAGATAATTATTATCCAAACCAGGATTGAATAAAACCGGGGCAAAATATGAACAAAAACAACTTGCACACACCCTACTGAAAAAACAAGGAGAATAAGACCCGGTGTTCCGGAAGAATAAGCGTCTTCTACTTCATCGGAATACCCTTGGTATGTAAATCTCAGTCAATCTAAGTAAGTAATTTCATTTTGTTCCAATGAGTACAAAGTATACAACAACTAACAAGCGTCAGATGTGTCAAGTTTCATATCGCACAAACACATAAGATATTTCTCAATGATTTAAACAAACTGTAACTTACCGTGAGGCTATTGTCGACCATTTTGTTGTTGGCACAAAGTTTGAGAATAACGATGGAACGAGCTAACTCCCATTTCGACATTGACCGGAAGGCTTTTTTGTAGTCATCGAAATAGATATCTTCTGAAAACTTTGTACGTTCTGCATTTCCCGAAAAACTTGCAGATGCCGAAAATTCCGAGCCGATTTTCTCCGAGTTATGATAGCGTCTGGTAAATGTAAGCACAAACGCCGGGTTAGAAAGTCTTCTGAATTGAGGAAGAAACAGAGCCGCCATTATGGATTTGGTCTGTTTTGTGATAGATATTACACATCTTCTGTATCCCGAACCATCGACGTCATTTCTCTGTATCCCAAATATGTTTGTAACAGAAGCGAACAATATGATAAGTTAAATCGTGCGTGTGAATGACCTAGATTGTAAGAGAACCGATAAACTCCTCTGAGGTCTTCACACGTTTTACCTTACTGAATAAATACTAGGCCAGCTTGATATACATTATATACATACAGTGATGTATCTATTTACATGTAGTGGCCTCATTTAAAAGCTACGCGATGAGATTTTTTTATTTATCCATGTGATTACCCATTGGAACACGAATTCCATTAGAAGTGTCAGATGTCTAACTTACGAAATATACCTTCATCGTCATTTCGATAATCTGACCTTTTGTAAGTCTGCGTATCGTATTTATCCAGATAAAGGTAAGTTTTTTGTGAGACTGTGTTACAAAGTGTTTAAATGGTATTCTTAATAACAGGTTGGGCTATAGTCCAATCAAAAAAATGAAAAGAAAAAATGCCTTCCAGTGAATTTGAATCTTTAACATTTTAAACTTTGCAACATATAAAGGTTTTTTTCATACAATTGTTTTATTTTCTCACACAACATATTTACATCAAAACAATTTTGTATAGACGCTCATAAATAAAGACGCTTCTCTCATAATTTTGGTCTTTTTTCATATAATCTTCGAATTCTCATACATAACAAGTATCTAAATCATAATAAATTCCTGTAAACATTGTAACTAATATTCATTCCTGTAAATGTTGTAATTGATATTCATTCCTGTTAACATTTTAGCTTTTTTTTATTTCAAAATATTTTATTAATACAAAAACAAATTGCATTAATAGGATCGGACAGCAGGCATAAGCCTATATAAGTCCTCTCCGAAGACAACACAGGTGGTCAGACAGTTATAGAATAGAATAAACATGTATACAGACATCAGTCTTTAGCACACTTTCATACAAAGTACATACATACATACATACATACATACATACATACATACATACATACATACATACATGCATACATACATACATACATACATACATACATACATACATACATACATACATACATACATACATACATACATACATACATGCATGCATGCAGACAGACAGACAGATAGACAGAGACAGACAGACAGACAGACAGACAGATAGACAGACAACTACTGAGTTTTATGTAATTAATGACTGTAAGGGAGATAACTCTTATTCATTTTGGTAACGAGACATAATTAGTAAAAAAATATAAAACAATCCAATCTGTAGAATTTAGTAGTTGTTAAATGAAATAAATGCACATTTGGTATACTTGTTCCTCCATATAGACAGGATTTGGGTCATAAGAGTCCATGGTAGTAAAGTTGACCCTCTTCCCATCTATACCTGTATGTGCATTATTGTTGAATAGAATTATTTTTCCCAAATATAAAGGATTTTCTGTTCTAGAATTGATAGTGAGTTATATCCCTTTTTATGAATCGTTTTGAGATATTAAACCAGATTATCAGAACTCTTCAATATTCTAGCAAAACAATAAATGGTTTAAATTATAATTACGGAAGCCATGAGCTAGTGGGCTGCATTTAGGAGAATCTTTTGGTATCAATTATATAGGTAGTTACAGAATGTAATATTAATTTATTGGTACTAGTATCACAATCATGACAGCCATTAAGAATAATCTCTAATTCATAGTGTGAATGATCATGTTGATATAGACAATGATACAAATCTTGTCTAAAGTTTATATATCTTGGACAGTCAAAGAAAAAGTGTTGTACTGTTTCAAGTGGTGCACCACAAGCACACGTGGGGTAATCTAGTAAGTGGTCATTATGCAGATCAAAGTTAAGAGAGCTAGCTGAGTTCCTTAGCTGACAGAGGATAATGTTGTATTTTCTTTGTCCATATTCTTTAAAGACAACATTGACATTAGCATTATTATTTACATATAAATCCCTATCAAGGAATTTTTTGAATTGGCCAATGGAGTGAATGTCAACCAGAGAGTCACTTATTTTATTGAATTCACAGATCATATTCGGAAAAAAAACTTTTGTTATAGTGCGACAAAAAGGTTAATTAAAAATTCTATTATTTCTGAGTTGGTATCTAGATTCATTAGGAATATTTAAATAGGGTTGTACAATATCATATAGATAGTCTGGCGATTCTTTGTTTAAGATCTTGTACATCAAAGTCATTCTATGTTTTTTCCTTCTGTCATCTAAGGATACCCATCCTAGCTCTGAATACAGTTTTTCATTGGAGGTACCTCTGCGTAACCCAGTAATTATCCTAGCTGCCTTAAGATTTATTGATTCCAAGAGGTTTTTAGCATATTCTGGACAGTTATCCCAAACAGTATCAGCATATTCAAGAATTGGTCTAATATGGGATATATAAAGTACTGTAAGAGATTTTCTGTCAATTTTATTCTTCAATAGCCTTAAAATATTCATTTTTTGGTTTGCCTTCTTGTATATGTAATCAATATGTGTATTCCATTTGCCATCACTAATTAAAAAAGAGACCAAGGTGTTTATGAAAAGTTGACAATGAAACAAGCTCATTATTGAAAAAAATATCGGGATGATCTGGTTCAGACCTTCTAGAAAATACTATAGATTCTGATTTAGCTGCATTGAATTTAATATTCCATTGTCTAGACCAATTATTGATATTATTAAGATCATCACTCAGTATTTCTGCTTCTTCTATAGGGTTAGTATTAACTATTCTAAAAAGTGATGTGTCATCGGCAAATAATTTTATGCAGCTAGTTACACAGCTAGTGATATCATTTATGTATAAAAGAAAAAGGAAAGGCCCTAGGACTGATCCTTGAGGAACTCCTGCATGAACATGTTTAAAAGTAGAGGCAAAAACATCAACTACAACCATTTGTTTCCTGTCCGAAAGATAGTTTTTAAACCAATTGATAACATTACCTTTTATACCATATGATTCAAGTTTATACAACAGACCCTCATGCCAGACCCTATCAAACGCCTTACTTATATCACAAAAAAATAAATCTTAATTCTTTGTTAGTATCTAAATTACGTATTATTGTGTGATATATGAAAAGCAGTTGATTAACAGTCGAATCTTTTGGTATAAAACCAGATTGGTGTTTTGATATGATTTCCGATTCATAAAGATGATTAAAAAGATATTTAAAAATGATTTTTTCTAAAATTTTACTGAAACATGAAGTTACAGAGATAGGTCTGTAATTAGAAACATTTTAGCTCATAGCCAATTCGCAAGCCTGAGTCTTTCTCCAAATGCACTGTGTGAGATAGCAAGTTTTCACAATCGTTAACGGGAACACTTCCACAGCCGATATTTCAAAGTCCACCATAACTGCAGGGGTGAAATATGTCATGCAGGTAATGTGATCACTTTTTTTATCAGATTCAGGCTAAGTGAGAATGAAACATTGCCTGATTTTTTCTTCGTGACAACAGGAGAAAAAATATACTGCATTGGAATATTTTTCATACAAAATTTTACTTATTACAATTATTTTATCACAGTATTAGCAACTCATTAAAGGATTTGTGAAATTAGCCTAAGCAATTTTCATTTCACCTACTCACTTGAAACGAACGAAAGCGTCTGTTTAACGATCAGTTAGGAGTTTTTGGCGATACTTCGTGAAAACAGTACTTAAACAAGTATTCCATTAGAAAGCTATATCATCTCAATCCTGATAAAGGATATGTTTATTTCACAATGTCTTCTTTGCTCACGTCACAATGCATATAAAGTTTTGAAATTTTGAAAAAGACTAAATGAGAGAGAGCAGCAAAAGTTGTTAATATCTAATAATTCACATGAACTGTTATTTATATCAACACCGGATAGTTTTCTATATATAATAGCGGCCTGTTGATAGTGATCAATGAATTACGTAGCCATGTGCAATAAACATATTGCGTTGTCAGATTAGCATTGTATCAGGACGAATGTGTGTCTGTACTACCATGTTACCTATATAACTTTCCTCACTGCGATTTAAACACAACATAATTTATATACACCCGCTTACATAGTCAGTTGGAGTAAAATCTCAGAGGAGACCGATGCGCTTAAACAATTGAGCTATGTAGTCTGGGAATTCGCATGGCGAAATAAATATTCTTAACCTTTTTGCAACATGTAGGGACTTTACTTCAGATCTACAAATGCCAATTTATTGTTTTATTTATTTATTTTTTAATATTATTATTTTTGTGCTATCAATAGCAATTTCTTTCGCTATTTCGTTGGCAAAGTTACGTCCCCTGATCAACACGTAGGTGATTTGCATTTGAAGGTGGAACTTCTCTCAGTCTGCTTGAAAGTTGAAAGATCATGTGACAAAATATGAAACGAATGTAGTATATAAATGGTCGTGTATTTTTTTCTCCCCATCATCATTGGAAGCACTCGTCATATATTTCTTAACTGCTGCCGGAACGTGGATATAGGCAACAGCTTGGTACACAATAAACAAATGTTTGAAGGTGAATTGGAGGCTAGTCTGGTGTAACATTAAACGTGAAATGTGAGACAATACAAACATCTGTAGACGGAGCTGTATCTTCTTCTTAAGCGGTATGTGTCACCAGACGACAATACCCGACACCAGGTAGATAAGGGATATATTTCAGTAACAATATAATTCTATCCACATACCAATTTAAACTTAACTGAGTGTACTTTATAGCATCTCGTGGGACAGCCCGTAAGATCCGATTAAAATCCATAAGGTCCAAAGGGCCTGAAATATATCATATTTAGTGCTGCACATCATTGGTATACTGTACGGTATGGGTGATTATTTCGTCAAAAATACAAAATACAAACAAAATCAACAACAAAACAAGATACAAAACAATAAATAAGTTAAAATTAAATAAATTAATTAGATAAGTAGGAACTACTACAAATTATTATCTCAAACATTTATCAAAATGTCTGCGTGCACAGCACAGGCCGTAAAGCGTTAGACTGACTTTAGTGGCATTATCATGGGTCACACATTCAATCTCGGCTACAGACTGCCTCATGTTATTGTTTTGATTTTTCGTTTTTTTCTTTTCTTTTTTTGTCATGACACTATTTAATTGAACTAATTCTAGAAAGAAGTGTCGTTTAATTTAATGATTCATATTCCGATGCTTACACCGATTACGGGACAAAAGTTGGCTCATAAACTCAGGTGATAAATATTGAAGCAGAAGAGCTGCATGATAATACAACTGTAACAGAGTCCTGGTTGGTAGTGTTGAAAGTGTCTCTCAGTACTAAGCAGGAATTCGGCCATAGTGTTAATCGTTGGTTGGGTGTTCAGTGGTAACGTATTTGTCTTTTATTTAGCCGTCCGAGGTTCGATTCTCGGAATGGACGTGAAAGGTAAGATGTTACCTGCCCGGCAACTTGAGTTTTCCTCGGATCGATACAAATTCGATAATCTAAATGCTCACCATTCTTATTGACGAATGCCACACTTCAGCGACACATGTTTCTATCAAATCACGAAGAAATGCTTGAAGAATGTTCTTCCATTTGCCTGACAATGTACTGATACGTCCAACGTCGCAGGCGGGTTTGACTATTGACGAGTGAGATAAAGAAGGTGATGTTGCAGGCCAAAGTAACACGATGGTGTTTTGCTGCTATAGACATACTCTAACAACACGTACAGTAAGCGGTTGTGCGTTGTTTGTCTGGAAAAAATGTTACGATGACTATTACCGATAAAAGCATGATGACGTAAGATCCCGTCACGGTAGCGTACATTGGTCATGTTGCTTTCCATTATAATCATTCCATGCATGGTAACACAATCTCAGACCGTAATGCTCCCTCTTTCGAGCAGACAACGCTGTATTACAATATCGCCACTGTACCGTTCTCCGGGTCTATATTATATAGCCGAACACAAAGGTAATATCTTTGTATAGCACTTCCGAACAGTCCCTGTTGGTGAAGAGCAAATAACTCTCGCATTATGCCAAGACATTGAAAGCAAAACTGGGCAAGTATCGGGATGTTATGGTCGGATGTTAGACTTTCTGGCACTGATCCGTCAAATTCTGGAATGCTTCTAGCGATTAAAGAGATTTCATTCAACCAATGATGCAAATGTGACGCCCTTATTTTTGCTGCCGTGACGTGACACGGGGACATCCTGTTCAATGCCCTATTTTTCTTCTTAAAACACCCACACAAAGCATAATCGTATTAATGAACACCCCAAACTGTCTCGCCACTTTTGCTATGATACTCCACTTCTATCACATCAAAACCTCACTTTTCTTCTCAAATAGAAATCTGTCAGTGTGAACGAACGACGTCTACCTTGTAAATAGAATAACGATATTTCACAGGTATGTTTTTCATAAAATATGTTGACATAGTTCTCCGAGTTTGGTGATACCTTTCTCTAATATTCATTTATTTGTTTATTTGAAAATTGTCGTAAAAACATTTCAATATAACAGTATCAGAGTAAAATGCGCAGAAACCATTTTATGACGGAATAACGGCTACTGACAACACCATATACCCAGGCCATTTAATCATATAATAATAATGATTTGACGATATAATGTATTATGAAATTCACATGCACAACTACCTAATTCTGCTCGGATCTAGAATTTTTACTAACCAGCACGACTGTCCTCGAACTTTTTGAGAGTGAGACGGAGACAGAATTAAGCAGATATCTACAGCACTGTGCTTGTGTATTTCCATCACATCACTAGACCTATCTATATAATTTTTTTTACATATCAAATAAATGGTTATAATATATGCACACACTTAAAATATCTATTAGCGATTAAAAAGTGCTAAAGTACTCAAAACGTCACTAGAGCGAGAAGTACCAACATATCTTTTCACAACATAAATAAATAAATATATATCAAAACTATACACTATCGCATATGACGTCATGGACTCCAAGACACAACAGCAAGTTCTCTCAAGTAAATTTAGTAATACTGGTTACATTCTGATTCATAAATAAATCGATTTATCATTTACGGTAAATATTCTCAGTTACAATAGTTAATTAGGATTATATTCTAATTCATAAATAAATCGATTTATCACTTACGGTAAATATTCTCAGTGACATAAATTAATTAGGATTATATTCTATTTCATAGATAAATCGATTTATCACTTACGGTAAATATTCTCAGTTATAATAGTTAATTAGGATTATATTCTATTTCATAAATAAATCGATTTATCACTTAAATACTCTCAAGTTCAATACCTAATTTGGATTATGTTCAGATTAATTAATAAATATCATCAAAATGTGTTAAATATTCCATTAGCTTATGAAAAACAAGGGCAGCCTTACCTCTATCAAAGAAGTTGGAATTCTTTGTCTGATAACACCTGCTGTATCGTTTATAAATATCACATTACGTATTACCAACAGTACACAAATTTAGGTCAGTGAAACGGGTAAATGAAATCAGACCGAACGTGAGGTGAATTTTATTCTTTTAAATTACTGTGTCCAGGGTAGATTTTAATGTTTTGGATAGTTAATTTTAGAAACAATGAAACAAGTTTAAATAAAACAAGATACACCACGGACAGTCATCTCAATATCTAATTTTCTTTAAAAAAATCTTGTGTAATATAACATATATGTCCTGCAATATTATATTGTTTATTTTTTATACTAAAGTATGTAACTGAAGAAAATGACTTTACTTGTCTCTCTGTTTGATTTTTTAAAACTACCAGTAGTTGGTCTAGCTGTTGTTAAATATATTTGCCCACCAGAAACGGTTTTAATTTCTTGGGCTAGCAAATATTTTGGCGGAAATTGTGATATTGGGAATGTTAAATGAAGAGACAATAGTGTAAAATAACATTCAAGGACTATATAGCTAATTAGGTATTCATCTGTTTTTTATTGTTTTTCCTTAATTTACATTGCTGTAACTGATTCGTTATCATGTTCCCACTGCACATTTTTATGTAGCTGCCATTGCTTCTGAAAATGATGGACAACGATGATAAGCTCAGAAAAGAAGGTCTACTATCACCTTTAACTTTTTGCTTTGAGTATCAGAAGAAGTTATAGTTAACGAGAATGTTCATTCTTTCTTGTTGTGAACGGCCACGTCAGTGACAACGGTAGTGCCACCTGAACATCTACAGGACTAAAGAGCTCATTCGGTCGTGTTTGCCAAGAACGTAACCTCAGGTGAGAATCCAAGATGTGTGGTTTGACACTTCTTACACGCGGCGGTTGTATTTCTCAGGAAGCTGACAAACGGACAAGTCCATGTTGTTGTGGTTATGTCATTAGACAAGAAACTATACCCTAAGAGCCCTGGATAGTCAATCATGGCAATAATCGTCCCTGAAACGTATTGCTATACATCAAATCGAAACGACGGGAGGTAACTTTGGGCGATCGGAATGTGGATAATATGCGAGTGACCTCCCGTATGTTGTTCAGAGAGATAACAACCAGTTAATACAATAAAACCCCGCTTTAACATGTCTATGGATGTTAAATTGGGTAACAAATTCTACAAACAAACAAAAAAGCAATGCCGTCCTCCATCGTTGTTTAATGCGAGCATTCAACCCAAGCACAAATGACTGTAACAAGTTACCATTGAAGGATATTTGATTAAAGATCACAAATATGATACAAATTCTGATAATTGTTTTAGAAACATATGCCTTAAAGTATTGTCATATTAACCTTAAACAAAAATACCCCTAGCAGTTACAGAAAAACAAAAGATAACAGACTTTATTATAACGAAGATATCAAATGTACAGAATATTACTATCAAAGTGTATTCTCAGTGTGTGGACATTATATACATATAACATTTCGTCAGCTATACATGTATTTGCTTATAAGATTGCATTAATTTCTGAAGTTTAAAATGTATATTCAGTAATACCAGAAACCAGATTCATATACAGACTGGTGTAACTGGGTGGCAAAATACAAGGATTATGAATATGATATACACAGGTTGACGATATATATATATATATATCACAAAGAATCGTTCATATCTAAAGTTGGGGAATTAATTCAAAGTCCAGAAAAAACCGAATAATTAACAAAACTACATTTCCAAAGGGTCTACATCATGTGAAACTCAAACCTTCTATCGACGTGCCTTAAGGGCCTTCCACATAAGAGTTTTCTCCCTTTGTGCCCTCTTCAATACCGATCGATTCTCCATGGCTCTTCGTGACAGGTAGGCGAGGGTGTCCTCAACAGATCCATATGGTATGGACTTGTACACTGGCAACTTCAATTCACCTGTGAATTTAAAGAGAGGGAAGGACTTGTTGTAGATGAAGTGTAGCAGATGGGTCAGTACTAAATCTGACAACGACGATATTCTTGGTAATGATGATGATGATGATGATGATGATGATGATGATGATGCCTTTTAATCTGATGGCGGCGATTGCAACGACGACAATGATTTTGACGATGATGATACTGACTTACTTAAAGTGTTTGTCACGTGGTCACTCATACCATACGACTGTCCAAAGAATATAGATCCACACCTCGGGTCTATTTCCAACTCCACAATTCTGCGAAAAACAAGTATAATTTAATATAACATGCCGCGATTTGCTTTGTACACAAACTGGTGCCCATTCATACACTGGCTCAAATTTTTAGACCTATAAATCCAATATTCTTTAGACAGTTCTGACCAAGTGGTATGATAATGGTTGACGTAAGCTCCGTTTTAGCGTTTTCTTTTCAACACATTATCAAATTCAACATATCTATAGATGTCAACATCCAGTTATAATCTGTTATGTTTTCGAAGAGCATTACCTCGCTCACTATTAGATGGTAGTATACAATCGCTATGAATACATTCGGGATAACAGACAAATAAAACGAGTGTCTTTATACCTACATTCATATATAATTTTCGTTATCGGAAACAAAAATTCCCTTTAAAACTTTATGCTTAACCATATATTGACACTAGTAGCTTCTAATGCGATAACAGCCAAAATAATTTCATATCTTTGCAATACAACTTTATTTTTTATGAAGGCCTCTATCGGAGTCTAAGAACGTTCGATTACCCAGTATATTGATACCCAAATTGACGGGGCGGCCATTTTTTGTTTACCTCAGAGACATCTATCTGTATCCCTGTATCCCTACACAGACCGAATCACTGCTCATAAAATATTTGATACAAAGGCCATATTGAGTGTATACAATCCCTTATAAAAAGAAGTCCATTGAATTTACCTATTGACGGCTTTGGCAACTGTATCCTCGTTGTGACTGGCAATGATAGCAGAACATCTGTCAGGGTTCCGAGCAATACCCTCCAGCATCGTATTCATAGAATTATGGTAAGTGTCCGAAGTGTCCCGATAGGATGCATTCGTAGGGTCCGGATACCCTCTGGTTTGTGCCAGTCGTCTTTCCTTATCTATGTACGCTCCACGAACCAGTTTGGTACCAAATCCAACGTTATGTTCATGGACAAAAGTCATATCTGATTGAAGATATTCCGTCATCCCCTGTCAAGGTACATTACGAGAGGAAATTATAAAATAAATAAGTCCAAGAGATACAATAAAGTTATAGACTGGACAAGCAGAAAGTAAATGGACAAGGCATTGTGTGATGAAATGATTTTGTTTTTCAGTCTGTTGTCTGAATCCGAATATAAATTGAGGTCATTGTCTAAACCATTATTGATTTTTCCGTATGTCTTTTGCTCGTAAGCTAGTTTTGAAAGATGAAATGGCCTTTGTCCGTACCTACGTTTAGAAAATTTTGGTAGGTGTAAGAATAATAATAATGTCTTTTGTCCGTGCGCACCTTTAGGTATTTGTTGTAGGTATAATAATACTCTTATGTCCTTTCTCTGTATGCACCTTTAGGTACCTTTTGTAAGTTTCACACTCTAATGTCTTCTGTCCGTACCCATCTTTGGATAGTTTCGGTAAGTATAATACTGTCTTTTGTCCGTACCCATCTTTGGGAAGTTTCGGTAAGTATAATACTGTCTTTTGTCCGTACCTACTTTTAAGTATTGTTTGTAGGTGTAAAACCCCGTCTTTTGTCCGTACCCACTTTTAGGTAGTGTTGGTAGGTGTAATTCTCTGTCTTTTGTTCGTACCCACGTTTAGGTAGTGTTGGTAGGTGTAATTCTCTGTCTTTTGTCCGTACCCACCTTTAGGTAGTTTTGGTAGGTGTAATATACCAGCGTCTTCCGTCCGTTACACACTAACATCATGGCCAAAGTGAGGAGATTTAAGGCTGGATTGAGATATGTGTATTCAGCGTCCACCATAACTATGACTTCATTTTTCACTGCAGCCTTAAACAAAGCATAATATTTCACAGAAGAAAATTATCCATTTCCTACAGAAAATTTGTTATTTTTTCAGTGTAAATACATTTGGATAAGTCATCATCTACTAGTTTGTCAACTGAATGAGATATTCTTAAGTTGGCGCCTTACTTTTTATTTCCAACAAAAAAATTAGCAAAAAGTTAATGTCAGATTACATGTATATCGACGACGAAAATCTATAAAAAATCAAATCGGTTTGAAATATGAAATGATACACCAGTGTCCTTTGTCCGTACCCACCTTGATATATTTGTGGTAGGTGTAATACCCTAATGTCTTGTGTCCGTACCTATCTCCAGTGGTTTTATTACTTGCACTACTCTAATGTCTTTCGTCCGTACTCACCTCTGGATAGATCTTGTAAGTGTGATACTCTTATGTCTTTTGTCCGTACTCACCTTTATGTAGTTCTTGTAAGTGTGATACTCTAATGTCTTTTGTCCGTACTCACCTTTATGTAGTTCTTGTAAGTGTGATACTCTAATGTCTTTTGTCTGTACCCACCTTGTGCAAGGTGGCTGTAATGTATCTACATGTATATTTTCACATCCCACAAACCCCTTTGTGATCGAATCTCAACTACGAACACTTTGAAACTGACCTCACATAATTTTCCGATTCTCGACAATCCCCTGTTCAGGTCAGCTATTTCATCCTCTGACAAGAAGTCAAATTTGATCTAAAAGGCAAATTATAAGTAATAAAAACCACAAGCCAATTTGGCTTAGCTTTGTTGAGAAATTGTCATGATTTATTTATAATTCATTTTTTTATTTATTTTGTTGTTATTGTTGAAATGTTGACTTGTACTACTCTTATCAATCCGACGCTCTTTGCATAGCAAATGAGTTGCCATTTATGCTTATTTTGAAAGAAGGATTGTATGACGAGTTAAAAAGTTTCATTTGTTTCTTTAATGGCACCTCGTTTCCATTTTGAATGGCATTGGCTACACTCATCACCACGTGACCAGATCGAGAGGGGTGTGGCACATGCTGAGAAATTTTCTCCTGTAGACACAAGTATACGGACATGAGTTACAGAAATAGGAGAAAACAGTATTTCGTGGAAAGGAATATTCTGTATTCATTGAAAGTAAAAGAAATAATAAAAAAGAACTAAATAAAAAAAACATGGGTAATCTGCACAAAAATACTGTAAGCACATTTATATTTGATCGACAAAATTTTAGTATGATATCAAATATAAACAATAAGCACAATAATGAATTCGCAAATTCGCAATGATTGTTTTATTAACGACACAGAGAAACTGCAATTAGCCTAATCATATCATAGCGCAATATCTTTAGCTCGAACAGTGCTAAAATAAGATAACCACTAAACTGAAGAAAGTAGCATTATATATATATTCCCTTTTTTATCACATGAATTATGAATGGGTGACTAACCAGTCTACTATCTGATCAGATTAATTAGATATTGGTTATAGAACACTCTTTTCATTGGTTCCTGTAATCGTGAACTCCTTACACAAAGTTTAGCTGGAAACATGGCCGTTAGTTTTGTCTGCATCATGGGATGAGGATCTTTAAGACCGGAAACAACATCCAGACATTGTAATGTCGTGGCCAAATTCCGGTCGTACTTTTGATCAGCTTCTCTTTATAAAAATAGACATAAACCGTAGGCTACAACTAATACACGACACAAACCAGAAAGGAACAGGCACAAATGAAGACAATATATACAAGCTGAAGTAATATCACATTCAACACACTTTCATTAATTATTTTTACAACCGCATTACGTACACATATCTATAGAATCTGAATGGAATACATAGTTTCACTACCGCAAGCAATACACACCTGATTTGCATGTCATTTTACTTAACTTACATGGCCCAAAATAAGAAAAGCGAAATTTTAAAAATTATCCAGTGCTTTGAGAAATTAGTACCAATTCTCCCAACCAATCAAAAGCAACGTTACAGACAATGGCTTTGTTTTATTGGAAAACTGCCAAAAAATAGCTTGTCTGAAACAGGAATGAATCATCAATATTCAGCCTCACTCATCCTCTCTACGACTGAAGTCACTAAATCCTAACCTATTGTCGTCTGTTGTATCTTCCTCCATTGCGACGGCTACCAAGGGTCCAACTCCCATCTTTCTCATCTTGACCACGGTCTGAAGCAGAGATTCTGGAGTATCTCCTCCCACAAACTGCCCATATACTGTCGGTTTAGCCAAGCTATCAAACAACCTGTTACCAAGTACCTTCCGGCCAGTGTTCATCAACTGTAATACAGATACATAAATATAGAATTTTAATTGATTTTCATTTCATATAAGATTTTATGGCATACGAGTCATCGTCCATACGAGCCTTGTCGAGCAAAAATGAAAAACTTTCAGGCGAGTTTTATAAAATCTCATATAAAATAAAAACAAATTTAATATTCTCTTTATCACCTGGTGAAGACAATTTACATTTTACTGGTTTTAATGTCATTGTTATGAGGACAAAATCAAACTGAGACAATTGCCATATTTTGACATCAGAATCGATTTTCGAATGGCGCTTGTAGATATATCACATAAGAGACATAAATGCAGCAATATTACATGGGTGAGTTCACTGGATAACAATCGTATCATTTGATAAATTTCTCTTGATAGTATCAGACGTTATAGCTCATTGAGAAAATGTCGTTATCTTAATTAATATGTTCGAAATTGTCCTTTCTGTAACCCTCGGATTTTCAGGCTCTCTCTTTAGTTGATCTTTATGACAATTTGAAATGATTTCCAATTGAAATGGAGCAACTTCGCCCCAAAAAATGTCATTATCCTACATAAATTATAGTACTCTTTACCTTATCTTAAGGGAAATGCGAGGTACAAATTAGTAAAGCACCTTACGATCCCTCCATTATGAATTAATTGATTCTACCATATCTGTTATGAGAAGATTTTAGGCATCACTCCTCACTCCCCTGGGAATCAGTCAGGGTCCATATATGCATAACGTCAAGATACTATAACATGTTTCTCAAGTTTGTAAAAGTTTATTATTATTTCAAATGTAAATTAAATAATTGATTCACAAATGGATCATTTTCTATATAAACTAATGAGCTATGATAAGCTTACCTTCATCCACCCTAGAGCAGGGTTCGAAGAGATTTTTGAAAACTGAAAAAGACGCTGTGTCTAATTTCAAGGTCAATGTTAATTCGAATAGTAGAAGAAAAAAGAGATAAATTCGTAGGTTGTGAGTTTTCTGACTCTACATGAAGAAATAAAGAGGATAGATAAGTAGGTGTGAGTTTAATTACTCATTTTGAAGAACAAATGTAGTTTTCTTCTAAAGCGTCACTTTGTTAGCGGTTCGAAACCACTTTCGAAATAAAGTGATTCTCGACCGGATCCTCTCTGAGGTTTTCCAGTTTGTGTATCGCTGCGAGAGAATCCATACTAAACTTCACAACATTATTCTATTAATTGACGTATGTATGCTTAATAAATTTTGACTAATATTTCTCTATTTAAAAACAACAACATATGTTTATGTGTTGATGGGGGACACTTACCTGTTTCAATGCATTATCACATATACAATGTATTTTCTATATGTCTACTCCACTTACAATTTTCGTCTA